CAATAGAATGCGCGCAATCGATACGTTTCCAGCATAGAGCGATCGATGGAGGGCATTCCAGCCGCTTTCGGGGTCCTGCGCATATAAGTCGATGGCGGGATGCTCGATCAAGGCTTCGACAAATTCGCGGGCTGCTGGATCGGTAGATAGAGCAGCGCGCAAAAGAATCGTCAGGCCAGCATGATCGCGGCTATTCACTTCGTGGCGCCCAATGGTGGCGATCGCATCTTTCGTTCGGCCAGGCGTTGGCGTGTGACCTGAGGCTTTCCTAGTCTTGGGGACAGATCTCGGGGATGTCCCAAAGCCACCAGGACTCCGGCTTGAGAAACCGGAGTCATGGCCTATCACAGGTGTCCTGGACCCGGCTTGGGAGGCCTGGCTGGCAGGTGCCAGGAGACGCCGAAATCTGTCGACATCGTTTTCCCAGTAGCACCTCCACAGCTGGTGACTCATGGGATTTGAAGCAGAGGGATCCTCCAAGCGATCGAAGATGCACCTAGCTGTGGCTCTCGCGGGAACACGGCGTATTTAAAGGTGCGATCGAACGCGTTGGAAAGGGTAGTGCGAAGGCCGACCGATGACTCTAGTATCCAGATGCTTATGGAGCGAATTTAGCTTGGTTGGATGGTCAGATGCCACAATTTAGTTTGACGAGGCGCAAGTATTCTACTCGGTTACTTCGATGTCGGAAAGGTACGAACTCTCGGCCGGGCGGTCGTGCGGTTTCACAGGGTGCAATGTAGCGGAAGGTTGGAGAGGTAATATGTGTCGCCAGGTTTGAACGGCAGACAGAGGAAGTAAGTACATTACCTAGGATTGACCCTACCCTTAGGGCCCTGGCCGTGATGGAGGGGGAGCTGTGCGCGTCACATCCGGGAAATCAGTATAGGTACATTGCAAGTACCGCGTAAGGCGCATCATGCGTTTGCCCCGGAACGGAAATAGAGTACCAGTACCTCCAATCGGATTTAATATCAGACACATATGCGCCAGATATGAGATGAAATCTGCCTCAAAGTGGCAATTCAAGCCTGTGCCCTCATCCACGGCAAATGATAAAGCGCTGCACGGCCTACGTTTCACCATCAACCGAACACTTTCGTATTCTTCCATTATCGCCATCAAGTTCTTCCAGCCATAGGTATATACAAATGTCCCTTGCTGTTGCATTAATGGAAGTGCATAGATGTCGATATATTGTACCTATACATTGGTTTCCGCGCATCCGGCAGCCAATGATGAAAAAGCCACCACAACGTGGTGGTGGACAGCTGAGACCCCGTTCCGCATCGTTCACATGGCCAGGCACATGGCCACAGGCTTTGGCTTTTATTTGTTCTTTGTTGACACAAAGATCCCCTGAGTAGGTAGGTATGTAAAAGCGCGTATGCCCCTAACTCTTTTGGGTTCATGGCCTTTCGTCATTGCGTCGCCAGACTGCGATAAGTGGCCAATTCTTCGACTCCAACGATATCCGAGCTAGGTTGTTATTAAGAAGCCGACTTGCGCGGGGAATTTCCTCCCCCGCATCGAGCTACCCTATACCATTGATAAAGAAGGGCCTAGGACCTGAGTCGATTACTTCAGCCTCGAGCGTCCGTTAGCACGAGCAATCAGCTTCCTGTCAACCGATGATGGTTCCCACACGACTCCCTTTTGGGCTTCCCCTTTGGGCCTGGATAGATGGAAACCATCTCCTCCGATAGCCATAGATGTAATTGATAACAATCCGGGGTAGGATTCTAGGAGCAGCACTATTGCTCGCTTTTAGTCGACGAATTGCTCCTACCGTGGGGAAAATTCGGAAAATCGGGTTGTCCTGTCGCAGTCGCAGTCGTAGGTCATATATAGACATTCCTGTACGTGACCATGGGCTTTTCCGATTTGTAATTTTGATCCATGTTTTCGTTACTTATCTGCTAGGGATGCTCTCAGGCTGTTAATCGCTGGCCTATGTATGGCCGCAAGCAGGCCCCTAATCTTTCCTGTTCTGTTGATGCCTCGTGCACGTCCCCTAGTCACAGGCGGATGAGCGCTAGTCCCCACATCGCCGTTGTCGGCCTTAACTTCCTACAGTGAGGTGTGCCACAAAATACCGCCGCCCACTTGCTTGCTCGGGATTTCCACCTTCACGCGACACACATTCATATACAGACGAAGGGTCTTCAATTGCTTCTCCTCACCTTGTCGCAAATCCCCAGCAATCGCCCATCATGTCTACCGAGAAGCCCCTTCCCTTCGTCTACCAGTTCGCCGCAGGTAAGAATGCCATTGTCCTATCCTCATCATCATCACCCCACTAATGGTCTCAGGTGCGATTGCTGGTGTCTCTGAGGTAGGCAGCTCCCGGAACACTGTCCCGACGGTACGAGCCTACTGACACCGGATTCCGTGTATAGATTCTTGTGATGTAAGTCCCCCGCGCAGACGAGTAGATGGTCACTTGAATTGGTGGACTGAGACTAATCACGATGCAGGTATCCTCTGGATGTCGTCAAGACTCGAGTGTAATGCTTCCTTTCCCTCGAGCCCGCTCATCCTCGATCGCCCGGCTCACAATTTTAGTCAATTGCAAACCGGAGTAGGCGCTTCAGCCGAATACACTGGTATGCTCGATTGTTTCCAGAAGATCATCCGAAACGAGGGGTATGTTCCCATTCTATGTCTCCTACTGGCACTATTGGCCAGCCTGCATTCTTATGCTGACTTGTTGGACCACCAGATTCTCCCGACTCTACCGCGGAATCTCAGCCCCGATTTTGATGGAGGCGCCGAAGCGTGCGACCAAATTTGCCGCCAATGACGAGTGGGGAAAGGTTTATCGCAACTTGTTCGGAGTCGAGAAGATGACACAGGGTCTCTCTGTGCTTACTGGTGCTTCTGCCGGAGCCACGGAATCTTTCGTCGTCGTCCCCTTTGAGCTTGTCAAGATCCGACTCCAAGACAAGGCTTCGGCTGGCAAGTACAACGGCGCCCTCGACGTCGTGGCCAAGACCATCAAGAGCGACGGTCTTCTTGGTCTCTACCAGGGTCTGGAGAGTACTCTGTGGCGCCACATTCTCTGGAACGCAGGATACTTTGGCTGCATTTTCCAGGTCAGATCGTTGCTCCCCAAGGCGGATAACAAGAAAGGCCAGATGGTGAACGATCTGATTTCCGGATCCATTGGCGGAACAGTCGGAACTATCCTCAACACCCCCATGGATGTTGTCAAGAGCCGAATTCAGAACACTCCCAAGGTTGCCGGCCAGGTGCCAAAGTACAACTGGGCCTGGCCTGGTGTCTTGACGGTGGCTCGTGAGGAAGGCTTCGGCGCTCTCTACAAGGGATTCATCCCCAAGGTAAGTTCAAACCTTGTCAGTTTCAGACAGAGGATAGAATGGGTTCTGACAATAATTTAGGTCCTCCGTCTGGGCCCTGGAGGTGGTATCCTTCTGGTTGTCTTCACAACTGTCATGGACACCTTCCGAAAGTGGCACACCGCATAGACAAATAACCGATGATTTGGAAATCTCGGAGAAAATGTATCAACTCACTGGATCTTGGAAATATAGAGGTAAAGAGTACAAATCGGTAGAGGTTCTTTTAGATGGACATGCCCACTGAAGACGAGTATATATCAAAAGCATCTCTGTTCTGATATCTCGCCTGTCTCCCTTCTGCACTCTCTTTCTGTCTTACTCTCCTTTGTTTTTATTTTGGTTAGCCCGGACATGATTAGCAGAATATCACGTACGATAAGTTTCACGATCTTATGGATATGCGGTTTCTTTATGGTAGGAAACAAGACAGGGGAGGGGCGTTCTGCCCTCGTGGTTATGAATATGTCGATGTGAACGTTAGCCCAATGAGCGTTGCTTCTTGGAAGCGGGATGACGCAGAAACCGTCGCCCAGTTTCAATCGAAAATTAAGTCCACCATGATAGGTAAGGCAATTGCGCCTACATGGCTGCTCTGCCACTGTTATCGATAGCTCGACCACGCGTGATATCATTCCTAGATTGATGGTGGGATGTGTGGATCATGCCCGGCTTAATAAACCGGTGAGGTTGGTAGGGTGGGTACATCTTGGTTGAGGCTTCTGGGTAGAGACTCGAAACGAGACATGCGGCAGGCTGTATCAAACAAGGGAATTGTGGGCCGGCGCGGAAGCACAAAGCAAGGTTGGAAAGTGAAAAGTTTGCGTTTTTATAACGCTGGCCGTTCTGAGCGCTTTGTCCGTTCAATCGCTGCATGAAAAGTCGGTGGGCGGTTCCTCCTACCGACGATGTGCTAAGTTAGGCAAGGCTGGCTTAGTATCTTTGGGGAGTCGGCTCGCTCAGCGACCACCGCCAGGGCCACCCTGTCTACGGGCGGGAATGGGCAAAGAAGGCAGGAATTGATCTCAGAGGACGGAGGCAGCGGTTGATTAAGTAGACAGTGCAAGCTGAGTTTGGGGACGGATCAATCAGATGATCCGAGCTGCTGTGCGACAACGACTGGCGGCATTCACATCTTGGGAGCCTGCTTTGTCCCCCTTGCTGATGCCGCTGGCGCTGGGATGTAGGCTGGCTGCTCAGCTGTGATTGCCCGTAATAATAGCTGCGTGACAAGCGTAGATCCGCTCACCTCCCCCCTCTCCGATCCACAACAAACAGCTAATACTATTCACGAACCAAGCTTCTCTCTTCTCCGATCCGAGATATAGCCCCCGCCCTCGATTCTCATTCAACACTCCCAGTCTCAGTGGCTGGTATTGTTGTTTATCCTCTTTGTGCAGCATGGCTGAATCTCAAGGCTAGCGACGGTTTGACCTTTTTTTCTGAATAAATAGACTGTGCAACAATTAGGTAGTTACCGACAACTTTCCTACTCCTTCACTTTTGTCTCGCCGTCCAACCTTTTCTCTCCTTGCCACCGCCTTCCTCATCATCTACGACCGACCCGCACAAATTTCTACGAATACTCACAGCCTCATACTTGAGGCTGCTGAGCCAGATTTGCACCCATCGACCGCCACGATGCCCTGCTTCAAGGGCATTGCGGTGAGCATCCATGCGAGCTCTGCCCCGCTGCCAGAATATGGCATGCAGAAGCAATCGCGACTCTCACGCATCAGCACCTACATACCTGTACCTCAGCCTCAACTAGCCAGCGAATCCAACAAGCCCGAGCCCGCCAAGTTTGCCATCTCCATTACCCTCCTGACGCCCGGCCTTGCCATCCCCTACTCCGCACCGAAACCGAGTGATTCAAACCCGTGCCCAAAACCTCAGTATGTCGGCGGCCTTACCCCTGGCTCTATAGGCGAGCGAGGAAAGTTCGCCGGCATTGTCAGCCCGTATATACCCATGACAAACTCCGAGAACGAGACCATAGCCGCCTACATCTACTTTGATGGCCGACAGAAGGAAGAGGTAGCCACCTTGCTTCGCCCTGGAGAAGAAACTTGGGTCAATAGTCGTTGGGTGCAAGTTCCAGATTCTGAGGGCGGCGGACTCGCTGAGCGCGAGTTCCTGTTCCGCGAAGTTGGTCTGGAACGCTGGCTCAACGGTCTGGACCTGCAGGGCCACGACGTAGCTGGGAAGCTCGAGAGAAGACGGCAGAAGTTTGAGCGGCGCCAGAAACGCCAGCAGGCTCTCCTCCAGGGGAAGACAGATTCGGAAGACAGCGGAAGGAAGGCCACTCTGCGTTATGGTAACGACGACAAGTCTCCCCTCGAAGCTGTCGATGATGGCTCAGACTCTTGGTCGTCTGATGACGATGAGCCCCCCGAGGCCACTGGTCAGATCAAGGTGGCCATGTTTCGAGTTCTCGCATCCGGAGAGATCAAGAAGGGAGAATACTCTCCCCAGTTTGATGCACATGACGGAGACGACGAGGATTCCGAAAACAAGGATAATGGTAACATCGATGCTGATGTTGAGCATACGACAAGTTTTGCGAAACCGAAGACGCTTGATCCCAAAACGATCAGCACTCAGACAGTGACGGGTATCGATGCCCCCGATAAGCCTTATGCTGTGTTTACTTTCTTTTACCGTGGTGATAGTATGTTTCTGGATTGGCCTTTTTTATATGATCCATTTGCTAACATTTTCTTTTCTCAGAGCAACTACAAAAGCTTGGAGTTATGCAATCCTCAAAGGCCCCCCAGACGACCCCGGGATCTGTGAAGCGGCGTTCAGGCCAACTAGACTTTTCCAACATTGGACCGCTGAAGACTGGCGGGACTGTGGGATTCTCAGCTTTCCGAGACAAGGAGTCGGAGGCTGCTCGCAAGAGAAAAGTACGAAAGAAGAGCAACGGAGCCCTCGTGGAAGATAGCGACGACGATGACGACGATGACGAGGCGATCATCAAGATGGAGGATGCAGATGATAAACTCGATTCGAACCATCTTGCTCCCGAGGATGCCCAGTCCTCAGGGGAGCTTGCTGATGGTGTGAACAGGATTCACGTAAGTTCAGCCGGTCTTGTAGGATGGCGAGAAGCTAACAAATTATTCAGCTTAAAAGGGCGCACTCAGCCGAACCCGATAGCAACATCCCAACAGACACCCCTACGAAAGCATCTACACAAGAGTCGACGACTGCACCCGGCCAATCAGCATCTGGAGGACCCTCCGACCTGCCTCCCCCAGGGCTTGTGGGTAGTCCTTTGAAAAAGCAACGACCCAGCATCGATCATACAAGCCTCGGCGACCGATTCTCCGCAACACAAAGTATGAGTTCTGCTCTAGAATCAGTAATATCAGGCGTATCTGGACCAGCTTCCTCCAGCCTTAGCACCACTGCTGAAGCAAAACCTAAGGTTGAGGAGGAAGAGGAGCTGTAAGGATGAATAGAAAGGTCTAGATGTTGCAGTCCGCGATATGCTGTAGGAATATGTCGAAGAGGCTTATCTCGAGGGAGATCTCATCTCATGAGGAGATCTTAGGCTTGTGGTCATTGATGCCACCTTGGTGGCAGCAGCCCCCCCGTACAACGCCAATAAAAGACGAAGGTGCTGGGGGAGTATGGATTTCTCGGCGAAAGAACGGTTTACAAGGCTACTTTGGCGTGGTGCAAGCAAATAGAACTTGGAAAGGGAAAATTTGTTTCGCGTACTGTGGTTTGAAACCAGCGACGAACAGCTGCGGAACCTCTGGGCGAGCAATTTGCCTCATGTGAAATGATATGCTTTTTGTTTTTGCCTCTTCTGTGAACCTTTTCGTCATTGAGTGAATGAATTCGGAGGGCGAAGTTGGAAGCTCCAACTTCCATGGTATCAAACTCCTTGTTTCACGAGGTGCAGGGCGTGGTCTGAATATCACACTGTTCGTATAAGCCGAGTGGCCATTTCGTAAGGAGGGTTTCTTGTAATAAGACCGCCTTTCTCTCTTTACTAGGATATAAGCAGAGACTGCGCCAACAGAAAAGTGGTCCGGTTATTGTGTCAGATCCATATGGAGGACAACGGCGTTGGTATAATGAGGGCAAGAATATACCCAAAGTGCCCATATAGACTACCTGAGTGGTGGGTCCGATGGTGCGATTTGAATATTTTCTTTCCTGGACAGTGAGATATCGGAAGGGTAATGACAAGGGATTCCCGAGGGCCTTAGAGAGGGCTTTTGATCATGTTGTCGTGGTGGCTCAACTAAGAGGCGCACGTCGACGGCGTCCGTGACCTCCGTGGCCGAATGACTCCTTCGCCGGGGTTGGGCCAGCGCTCCAATTAGTGTCTCACAAGCTGTGGGCTAAACGCCCACCAGGCCCTACATGTCGGATTATCGCTCCTATTCCGGTAGGCTGGTGTATAACCGTATCGAAAGCGAAAGCTCCGGGCTCTTGGCCGTGGGGCGCTGTCTCTTCGGCGTGGCTCTCTCATGCTCCGTTTGAGGGGAGCACGCAGCTAGACGAATCGGCCAGTGCCCGAGATGGCAATGAGAGAGTTTTTTGCAAGAGGGATGCCAAATTCAGTTAGCTGATGAGGTGAAATCCAATGTATTTAAGTGAATAAATACCCGCCGCCTGTTTCTGGAAAGTGACAGCTGCCGGATGCTATCTGATCTGATCTTATCTGATCGTACCAACTCTAAACCAACAGCCGCTGGATCACCCAATTGGATAAGTTACCTGAACAATGGCCTCACCGGAACAAAACGAGCAGAAACCGTCAGACGAACAGAGTTCGGCTAAGAGCACCAGTCCGTTCAATGATGAGTTCGCTCAATTCGCCAAGGAGACGTTGGAACAATGGAAGGTTCCGGGTGTCTCGCTTGCAGTGATTGACGGCGATCAGGTCTATGCCGAGGTGAGCTTATAATTACCTGCGACAACTATCCTTACACAGCACATGATGATTGAAGTAGCGAATCTCACCCTAATGTTGGTAGGGATATGGTTTTGCGTCCCTGCCCGATACACCAGCCACGCCAGAAACGGTGTGGTATGCCGCATCAACGACCAAGGCCTTTACTGCGGCCGCTCTCGCTCACATCATCGCCGAGAAGAAGTACCCGGCTCTGTGCAAGGGATGGTCTACCAAGATATCCTCGATTATCCGCGACGACTTTGTCCTCCAGGATGATTGGATGACCCAGAATCTTAACCTTGAAGATGCCGTGTGCCATCGCACAGGTATGCCCCGTCACGACATGGCGAATCACCGAGAAGACGAAAAGGGGAACAAGCTGTGGCCCCGAGATGTCGTTCGCAACCTGAGGAACCTTAAAGTCACCGGCGAGCCACGCGCCAAGTTCATGTACTGCAACATCATGTACGTGGTGCTGTCCCATGTCATCGAGGCTCTCGCGGGGAAGGGCTTGGGTGAGGTGCTCAAGGAGCAAATCTGGGAACCGCTCGGCATGGACTCGACCTATTTCAGCCCTGAAGATGCCAAGAAGTCTGGGCCCATTGCATCGGGTTATCACTGGGACAAGAAGGCCGAGAAGTACATTCCTCTCGAGGAGATGGCCACCAACGAGATCAGTGGTGCGGGTGCGATGCTGTCCACTGTCCTGGATTACACCAAGTGGCTCAAGTGCCTCTTGCACGAGGAGGCGCCATTCTCGAAGGATACACATAAGGACATTAAAACACCACGGATAGTGGGTGCCATGCCCAACGGCGCCAAGGACGTGAATATGTATGGTCTCGGCTGGGAGCGGACGATCTATAGAGGCCACATCCTCCATGCACACAGCGGAGGCATGCACGCCTTTGGATCGCAAGTATACTGGCTCCCGGAACACAAGTTTGGCGTGGTAGCGTTCGGAAACACTCTTCTTAGCTCTAACGCTGCCGAAGATGTTCTTTGCTACAAGCTCATCAACGACAAGCTTGGTCTACCAGAAGCGAATCGGCACGATTATAACAAGCAGTAAGTTGCTTCATGACGAACGGCATCCAGAGCGATGGCTAATGTAACATGGAAAATTAGCTGGAGAGACCTGTTGGATGGAGCCGCCAAGAGCAACGAGGGTGTTCTTGACAGACTCTACCCTGACAGACCGAATCCTGCCTTGCCCCCAAGTTTGCAGACGGGCTGCTTCGTAGGCACCTACGAAGATGCGGGCTACGGATCCTTTACGTTGCGGGAGGAGCCACACCCTGACAAGCCAGGGGAGACCATCTTGGTGGCGGATAGACCTAGAACTACTTGGCGCTACGTGATGAAGCTCCACCATGTCACGGGTGACTACTGGATAATTTATACGGAGCTACAGGGCGTTGCGGATGCCAGAGCGAACAGCACGGTGGGCGGCTTATTCAAGATTGGCGTCGACGGCAAGGTATCGTCGCTGGATATCCATTGGGAGAATTATCTCGGTCCAGCCACCGATGGGGGTGTGGTGTCGTTCAAGAAAACGGAATGATAGACTGTTGCTTTTAAAACATCTGCATCTTGGATACCGAGTTAGTACAGCATTCTGGTAGAAAATATTGTGACGATTAAGAATTCAGTGTAAAGGGAATATGTCAGACTGTTGAGCTTGATAATTGTTGGATCAACATGGAGATTCAGTTGGCCGTTCTTAAGAAGTAGTTTGTCATCATACAGATGGTGAAGAAGCGTAATGGACATGAGGGGAGCTGCGAGGCGAGGAGGAACCAACCTTTTTGAGATAGATGACATAACAGTACCAACACTTGATTAAGGATGTGTCGCGGGAGAGATTCAGAAATTGACCACACTTAATTTCGGCGTTCCGCCGTGAACCATCTCTGTTGAGGAGTTGGATGGGAGGAAAGAATTGTGATGAAAATTTAGTTGGACTTGTAATATGTAGTCCCAAGAACCTCTTTAGGGTAAAGAAATCTTTCTAGTTGCATAACCTCGGAAGAGAGAGCTCCATCCGCCAAGTATGCAACTGGCGGGGTAGTGGCGGTGCGGATTGCCCTCGATTTGTACTCATACCTAGAGACCGCATTATGCTTACACGAGGGGTAACGAGCATTTTCTGATGGTAGGAGCCGTGTGAGATTGAGTGATAGTAGATGCAATTATTAAGCTTGTTTCTTGACTCATAAGGAAGCAAAAAGCCTTGCACCATGATCATGGAAGTTTGGGGAAAAATAGGAAACATGCATGACCTTGCAGGAAATGAAAGGGATTGCGCCACGACTGCCTGGGGCTGGTGCTTTCCAGCAGCGCGTCACTGCAATATCCCTGGTGCCCAAGTTTTGACCCAAGAATTTTTTGCACTGTGCCCCTCAACCCCACCATTCAGCCCGATCACCTCCTCTTCCTCCTTTGCTCTTCCAACCTCTTCTTCGGAGTATTCGTCGACGACTCTGAAGTCCCGGATCTCTGCTCTCCACCACCACCTCAACTTCTACACATACCAACCATACTGAAACTGCTGTACTGGGGTATACCAGACGAAGTATTTCATAATGGCACAAGCAGGTATGGCTCCCAACATATCGTTGCCCCTCTTTTTGTCGCAATACCCGTTAACATCGCGTGAATAGACATCCCGACTCTCGTTGGTACGTGTGCTTCCCACGTTTTTCATACAGGGAGCAGAATACTTACATGATGATCGATTCCCTTTAATAGGGCAGTTCGTCGAGCTTTACAACAATGCTTACGATACCAACCGCGGAGAGATTTTCAAGTTTTATGTACGATGCTACCTGGCTTGAGACATGGGGGAAAGATTAGTCGCTAACTCTCTGGGCCAGCACCCTCAAGCCATGCTCACCTTCGAGAGCGAAAACCACGTCGGTGCCGAAGCCATTCAGGGAAAGTTAGGCGTACGTCTGGATTATATTCTCATCTATATTTATACTTGTGTTACCTGCTAAACTTGCTTCGCAAACTCAACAGAGCCTGCCTTTCCAAGAAATCCGCCACGACAAACCCACCGTTCGTGTACAGCCCTCAGTCACTGACGGATTTGTCCTCGTCATGATCACTGGGCATTTCTCGGTTCGCAGCCCTTCTCCATACTCCCAAGCCACTTAGCTAGACTAACTGACGGAACTCTTACCCCATATCCAGGCTTCGGGTCTTGACAAACCTTTTGCCTACAGCCAGGCCTTCCAGCTGAAGGTCCCAGACATCATTGATCCGAATCTCTCACCCGAGCAGAATGCGGCGAAGTTCCAAATCTGCAACGACTTCTTCCTGTTGAGCTTCGGATAATCGCAAGGAGAATTGCTTCATCTGTGCACGATGGTGACAGGAGCGCGGAGAAGTTTTGATCCAGTAGCTTTCGGTGGGCTTTAGCCGCCCTTTCGAATGTGGCGGAGCGTTTGCAGCCGCTGGCAATGTGACGATAAATTTATTCAGAAGCAAGGCCCGATAGAGTGAATAAAGCCAACTTTCTCTAATGACCTTGCGTTCGTATTTGCTCGTGAGGAGAGACATGTGTTCCCGATGTCGAGCTGAATTGACTTGAATGAAACCTATAGTCTTCGCTCCTTGTAGATTACACGCTTGGGGCGGATACGCAAGTTCCTTGGTCATTGGGCCCAATTAATCGCTGAGCGCTATCTATGCAGGTTTATTTCAAAAACTGACAAGTACCTGCAGTATGATCGGCCTCCCTTATAGCTCTCGTCAATCACTAGTCAAGACGTACAGGGTTGGAATCGCCATGGGGGCGGTCATCTACTTGTGCCTTCATCACTTCCTTGCGGAACCTTGGGTGGTTCACTACGCGAACACATTTCATCTTTGGAACGTACGGTGTATTTGAACACAAAATGGACTCTGGGGAGATTATGATATCACGCATTTCTGCCTGGTCAATTGCAGCTGGGAAACGCCTTTTGTGGCTGTAGAAAGTCATAAAATTTTTCGTGCCCTGAACCAAACACCAATAACCTTGAATCCCAATGCATGAAGGGTATTAAACCATTTTTAAATCTTGGTGGCAGCCTCAAGAGCCTTCTGCTTCTTGATGATCTTAGCCTGGGCCTTAGCACCCATGATACCACCACCCCACTGTCGGCGAGCCTGCTCGTGCTTCTCAACGAAGCCATCCTTGATAGCGGAGACGAGCTTGGAGAACTCAGTCTTGTCCTCGGAGCGGACCTCAGTGAGGGCGAGGACAGCAGCGGTCTGGGAGGAAAATCAGTAAGCGAAATTGTCCAGAGACGAGTTTTCGGGCACCATTTGTATCTTACCTTCTTGTGAACGACGGTACCGAGACGGGCCTTGCCCTTGACGATGGCGTAGGGGACACCCATCTTCTTGCAGAGGGAAGGAAGGAAGACAACGAGCTCGATGGGGTCGACATCGTTGGGGATAAGGACGAGAGAGGCCTTCTTGTTCTCGATCAGGCCAACGACGTGGTTCAGACCGTACTTGACAGCGTAGGGCTTCTTGCTGACGTCCTCCTTCTTCTTGCCCTCCTTGATGGCGGTAGCCTCCTTGAGGAGACGCTCCTTCTTCTCGGCCTTGGTCTCAGGGCGGTACTTGTTGAGGAGCTTGAAGGCCTGGGCGGCGGTGTTCTTGTCGAGAACGTGCTGGAACTGGGCCAGGGAGGGAGGAACCTTGAGACGGATCTGGAGGATCTTCTTCTGACGCTGGAGGCGGACGTACTCGGGCCACTTGACCATGCGGGAGACGTTGCGCTTGGGCTGGATGTCCTGGCCGACACCGAAGTTGCGGGGGCGCTTCTCGATGAGGGGGTTCTGCCGTTGCGTGTGAGCGAATGCCTCTGTATCGAGCGGGAGAATGGGATCGCCAACGAACCTTAGGAGCCTTCTTGGAGCCAGCCTTTCCCTGAGGGAAAGGGGCGGGGGCGACCTTCTTGCCAGATTTGGGAGGCTGTCATTGAGAAAAGAAGACATCAGCGATATGCTCAAGCAATGCAAGTCTTCTCTGAACTCTAACGAGAATATCGCAGGGCATATTTCAGCACCTTAGATATCTCCAGCCAAGTCATCGCCAAGTTCGTAATGAACCTTGAGGCGGGATGTCTCGCTCGTCGCAAGCGACAGAGCGGACCGAATCAATTGCGCAATTGCGCGTCTGAATCATATAACTGTGGCCATTAGAGCCCATGTAGGGTCTATTTACTCACCATCTTGGATGTTTGGCGGCTGCTCGGTGTTGTTGAGCTGTGATGCTGTGATGAACGGAGTTGAACAAATTCAAAGCAGAAGAAATGTGACAATAATAAGTGGATATTCAAGTCGTGGAAAGAAAATTAGGGCTTGGTGGGTGCAAACCTCCAAATCTGGCTGACCCCACATTAAAAAAAAATTGACCAACCTAGCCACACTGTGGCGGGTTATCGATGCTGCATTAGTCAGTTACCTCAGCCGCTGGTGGTTGTGTCATTGTAAAGAGTTCTGTCTAAAGTGTGTGTAGAATCGTAAGCTTGCAATCAATATTTTGGTTCCTTTTTACAGCAATACCTTGAACTACTTATATCGAAGGAGACCCGAAGAAAAATCCGGTTCGTCATTGCTCGTTGGAAAGCCAGGATCACTGGGAGAGGTCTCAAGGGTCTTTAATAAGACCCCGCGATCTACAAACTGAACATGCCTCCCACACCCTGTGTGAGATGCCATGAGCAACGGGCCGTCGTCAAGAGGCCAAAAAATCACCAAAAGCTTTGCCGGGAGTGCTTTCTTTCTATTTTCGAAGACGAAATTCATCATACCATCACTTCATCAAAACTCTTTTACCCAGGAGAAAGGGTAGCCATCGGTGCATCAGGAGGAAAGGATTCCACAGTGCTGGCGTCGGTGTTAAAGACTTTGAACCAGCGCCATGACTATAAGCTTGATCTGGTATTATTGAGTGTTGATGAGGGTATCAAGGGCTACAGAGATGACTCTCTTGAAACAGTGAAGCGAAATGCCACCCAATACGAAATGCCGTTGAAGATTGTGGGTTACGATGAGTTGTATGGATGGACTATGGACCAAGTCGTTGAGACGATTGGTAAGAAGGGAAACTGCACCTATTGCGGTGTATTTCGTCGTCAGGCCCTGGATCGTGGCGCAAAGAAGCTGGACATCAAGCACGTCGTCACGGGCCACAACGCTGATGACGTTGCTGAGACGGTCTTGATGAATCTTCTCCGTGGAGACCTGGCTCGTCTTTCGAGAAGCACCAATATCGTCACAGGTGACTCCCTCAGTGACGTCAAGCGGAGCAAGCCTCTCAAGTATGCCTACGAGAAAGAAATCGTGCTCTACGCCCATCATAAGAAACTCGATTACTTTAGTACCGAGTGCATTTACAGCCCAGAAGCATTTCGCGGTACCGCACGCAGTTTAATCAAGAGTCTTGAGAAAGTTCGACCTAGTGCTATTCTCGACATTGTGAGGAGTGGCGAAGATATGGGCGAGTTAACACCGGACAAAGTACAGGCCTCGTGTGCTTGTGATGATGGTGGGATGGGAAGCTGTGGATCTGGAGCTCAGAAAGAGGCAGCGCTCAAGAAGGATTCTCAGATGGAAAAACTTGAAACAGAGATCAAGTTAAACAAAACAGAAGAGCCCTCGGATGTGGTCAAGCTACCCATACGAGGAAAACACGGAAAGCAAACGAAAGGATCAACCACGGGAGCATTGCCGAGCCTTGGAAAATGTATCAAGTGCGGATACATGTCGAGCCAGTCCATATGTCAGGCTTGCACCTTACTCGAAACTTTAAACAAGAATAGAGCAGACATAGCAATATGACGGGGTGTTTGAACGGCCACCAATCGAGGCTCACACTCTTGGTGTAGAGAGTAATGGAAGATATGAGTACCGAATGGAATTATTTTCTTCATCATGTTGATGTAAACAACCTAAGGATCTCAGTCCGTAATATACAATGCCTCCTTGAGCGCTTGGACCCGTTGTGTCGAAAACAGCCAGTAGGTGCCCATCAACGACATCGCTCCTTATGAATAACGCTTCTCAAGCTGCATAGGGTGTTAGAATTGGCATAAGGTATTCCTGGACATTATGATTGCGAGAAGAAGACCGACCTTCCAAGGGTTGTTAAGCTCAAACCCGGGTGGTGCTACAGCCTGAGCAACTTGTCCGGTTATGGAACCTGTCAACCGACGGTCACGTTGTTGCACTGTTATTCCAATTAGCTCGTGCACTATTCATCGATTCGGGCGCTTCAAAGGAAGATCGTACTTTGCTATGAGATCAAAAGTTAGCATGTTGTCTGAAACTGAAATCAATTGAAAGCACCCTACCCTGTCCCACTGGTCAAGAGAGTATCGTGGGTTCTTGCCCTCGTTATGCCACGTCTTCAGAGCTGCGAGACCCGTACCGGTGGCTCCGAACATCTAGAATCTGATGAGCTTGAGACTTCGGACTCAATTGGATCATTATCGTACGTACGACAATCATGATGCCGTAGGGCAAAAGTGCCTCGAAAGGGATGGGCATGGCTGCTTCGTCGCCGTAATGCGGTCTTGATTCGGGGGAATAGGCTGGCTTGGTCCTACGGATAGTCTCGAATTGAAGAGCCGTTTGTTCGTTCGCGATCGGAGGGATGTGAAGGGATTCGGTGCTGCCAAGTTGCTGACCTATCTCGTCGTAATGCCATCTATCTGCAATGTCCGAGGATATCGAGCGCTCAATTAAGGCTTTGCTGCCTGAGGCCACAAACGGATGTGTTGTGAAGGATGCGCCCTTGCCAAAAGCGTAGTGGCACTGTGCGGCAACGGCCAACTCCGCACTAAACCTCGCTGGAAGTGTTGCGCCCACACTGTGCTTATACCATCCGCGGTTCGGTCAAGTTTGAAAGACGCGACTGGTTCTAATCATCAGGTGCAGCTGGTTGAGTGAGCTTAGCTCACCAGATGTGTTGAGATATCCGACCAGCATATGCGTAGGATTTCTTTGATTCGACTCTTAACTTGTCCATCTGTTACCAGCACGGTGTCCAGGGTTTAGTAGCACGCGATCTACCACAATGCGCGCGACCTAGGCATTGTTGTTATCCCACACCCCGTCGCATTCGCTTTTTCCCAACCGATATGCCTGATTTCCCATCGAATGCCTCGTGCACTTGCTCTAGAGTATCAGGAGCGCAATGCCGAACGCGCAAGCGATGGAGGACGAGCTTCAACAGAGCGTGCTGCTCTCCGAGGATGCAGACCCAGAGGCCAACAGCAGTGACGAACCTACAACCATTTATGCGATACCAAGAGCACTGAGCAGTGCAGCTTCTGATTCTAGAGAAGATGGACTCGACGACGAGTCTGTCATGGAGGACATTGAGATGACGAGCGACCGAGATGCCTCTGGGGACGAGGTAAACGGCGAGGAAGTTGATGAAGAAGGGTACTATCAAGGGGAGGAAGAAGAAGACGAGGAGGAAGATGCAGAAGGCGAAGAAGATTACGAAATTATGTCAGGATTGCCGCAGAACCACAACAACCACCTCAGTGATGATGATGCAGAGACTGGGGATGAAGACGCAGAGGGCGAGGAGGAAGTTGGTGACGACGACGTGGCCTCCACTACCGTGAGGCTACGCCCCGAGGACGCTGAAGAACGCGATGAAGATAGCGAGGTGTCGACGGTCGCAAGCGCCGCTGACGAAGACGAATCTGACGAAGAGGAGAATTGGGAGGATGCTCGAGACACGGCTGAAGATGAAGATGAGGAAGAGTCCGAGGCTGGACCTTCAAATATCTGTATGTTCTGTAAAGAGGACGAAGAGCATGACCCAAGCGAGGACTTTGAGGCATTTCTTACCTGCAAAAAATGCGGCGAAAATTGTGAGTGCTCGATATGACATACCTAAAGTGTGCACCTTCTGACAGTCGATAGCACATCAGCAATGCGCCCGCGAGTCTGCTGCTATGAACGTATCTAATCGTTAGTCAAACCCCCATTCTTAACTTTGGCTAGCAAGCGCTGATTGTTACTAGATCCCAAGAACTGGAGATGCCCCGATTGCTACGATGAGGAATCGGAGGCTGAAGGCGATGGGGAAAGCGATGGAAACGAAGAACAAGACGTTGATCGCTTAGACTCACAACGGCCTTCCCAAGACGTATTCGACGGACCCGCAGAAAGCGATGGTGTCGATTCTTTGGAGGGACCCAATGGAGAGACTGTGAACGGTTCAGCTGATGGACCCCGTCTTCTTCGAAAAAGAAAGTCGCCGTCTACGGAACCCGAGGAGAACTCGGTGTCTTTGAGAAAGAGGAGAAGAAGCTCACACCTCCTCGCCGGGCTCGAAGAGCCGATGGACACTGCCAGCCTGAGTGAAACCACTGCGTCACGATCTCGAACACTTCGGTTGAAAGTGTCACGTCCGCCACCCGTCTCAGTTGAAAGGCAGACACGCGGCTCGCTCGTACTGAAAATCCAGGTGCGGCCTGGAAATCTTAAAGAGATCTTATCAAGGAGAAAGCGGGATGGAAGGAGGGCTGGTGGTAGCACAAACACACCAAGACCCCCCAGAACGCCGGCCCCTCCAGTCGCTACACCTCAAGTACGCGCAGCACCCGTTATTGCCGCTGTCATTGAAACACCCTTTACTGCCGACTCATATTCACAACCGTTCTATTCGTTCTTTGATCGCGACACGGATGATGTGAAGGGAAAGCCTTACGGCGGGATCCTCAGCGAAGCTGAAGCTGATACATCAAAAACCCTTCCTATGGCGGATGACCGGCGACGATTTGACCAAGCCAAACAGAAGGCTGAGGATGAATGGAGAGCCAGGGTTCTGGCAATCCAAGCTGAGACCGACATTCCGAACCGGAAGCCCAAGAAAGCAAATGAGAATGCGAGCCAAATCGAGTGCATTGAGTTTGGCGGATGGGAAATTGACACCTGGTACGCTGCGCCCTATCCCGCAGAGTATAGTCGAAATCGCGTTCTCTACATTTGCGAGTTCTGTCTCAAGTACATGAATTCGGACTATGTGGCCTGGCGACACAAACTGAAGTGTTCCACAAAGCACCCACCGGGCGACGAGATCTATCGTGACGAAACGATAGCCATGTTTGAAGTCGATGGTCGCAAAAATCCCGTTTATTGCCAAAATCTTTGTTTGCTGGCAAAGCTTTTCCTAGGCTCGAAAACTCTTTACTATGACGTTGAGCCATTCTTGTTCTACGTCTTGTGCGAATACGACGACTGTGGCTATCATTTTGTTGGCTACTTCTCAAAGGAGAAGAGACCAAGTAGTCAAAACAACGTCTCGTGTATTCTTACTCTCCCAATCCACCAAAGAAAAGGATATGGCAATCTCCTCATTGACTTTTCCTATCTGCTCACAAGAGTTGAGCAGAAAACAGGATCGCCCGAGAAGCCGCTGTCTGATATGGGCTTAGTTTCTTATCGCAACTATTGGAGGCTAGTTCTCTGCCAGTACTTCCTGAATATTATGGATAGCGATGACTATAAGAAAAATGGTCTCAGCATCAAGAAAATGTCTGACGACACAGGCATGACAGCGGATGATGTTATTTCGGCTCTCGAGGGGCTGCGGGCTCTGGTACGCGATCCACAGACGAAGCTTTATGCGTTCCGTATCGATTTGGACTATTGTCGCGAGTATGTGACCAAATGGGAAGCAAAAGGCCATGTCAAATTAAAACCAGAAGCACTCGCGTGGACCCCGTACGTGATGGGTCGCAGCGTGGCAAACGTCTTCGATCTCGGGCCACTAAGTACCATAGCTCCACGCGAAGACGATGAAGCGAAGATTCAAGAAGGTCCAAACACTGTTGGCGCCGAGACCAACCCCATCCTGAACGGGGTCGGTAGCTCAACGGATGAGGATACAGCTCACGTTGGCCCGGTGGGAGAGACGGCCGACCACGATCAGCCAGAAAAACAGCGCGCCTTGGAGGGTCTTTCTAGTAAGAACGCCGACGAAGTGACCTCCCCGGCTGTGAACGGGATCGAAACCAAAGATGAACCCGAGATCGTCATACAGAATACATGGCTCGCTTCGTACGAGAGCATTCCCTCCACCAGATTTGAAATCTTCCCGCCACTGTCAAAACGCTCAGAGCGAAATCGTCAGAGCATCAGTCGACCTCCTCCTCCCCCTCAGAGGGTCAGTAGTAGCGCTCCCCGGCCGCCCCCTAAACGTAGCGGAGGAAGTGGAGGGAGCTCTCGCAAACCTTCTTCTTCTCGGCCAAAGTCAAGCTCCTCAAAACGCAAAACTGGCGGGACGGGCCGTGGTCCTGGGCGGTGGCCCAAGGGCACGAAGAAGGCAGACTACGGAAATGCGGATAGCGGACCTGGGTTCCCACCGGGCTGGCGGGCCTCAGATACCCATATTGACGTGCAGCCCGCCGTGGCCAAAGAGGCTGATAACAGCATCAATGCCCGCATTGATCGACCAGCTCAGGACGAGGTCCAGGTCTTCGTTGCCAGTGCTGGCGCCATCACCAACAGCGTGAAGGATGAGGTCGTAGCGATCAAGGCGACCGGGGTTGAGGAGGATGAGGAGGATGTCGATGCGGAAGGTGAGGACGAATAAATGAATTTCAGCCGAGGGTCGCGTTGGAGTTTGTGGACTTGGAGTTGGATTTTTGTTAAAGGATTCGGTATTTACAGAGATCTAATGCGGGCTGTGGCACCGGAAAGGCGTCAATATGTAGTAAGACCGATGGATTCACCTCCCGAATTGTGAGAGGCGATATGAGTTGCAACGGGGTTCGCTCGATCTATTCAATGTCTATATAGAAACTAAGCCCTATTCCCATACGACATGGTTTGGCAATATGATCCATCACCATTTGTTCCTGAAGGGATATGTTCGACTTCGGAAAAAGTAGAGAGATGTGTTCAGCTGCTGCTCAATCATTCAGACCTGCATGTAAGATGTCTCTAAGAATAAGAGCATCAGAGGTAGTTGCCCGGTTCCCATTGCGAGATCTCTCCGTGTATACGCAGAGCACACTTTTATATACTCTCCCTCTCTCTCTCTTCATTTGTCTCTTCAATCCCGAACCGTGTCTCATCACCGACTCATGTACCCTAATCAATCAACCCTCCGCCCCAGCATCAGCATCAGCCTCCGCCATCCGCACGCCCCAGAAGCCCTTGCCGTAACTCACGAGTATCTCCTCCCCCTTCCTAATCCCAGCCTGCTTCCCTTTCCCACCAACGTGCCCAACCACCCAGAACCCCACGCAGAGCTGCCTCCAGCGCTCGCACCACGCCGTGCCGAACTCGGCGTTCGGCCTCGCCTTTACCCCGCGGTAGTCGTTCACGAACCTCGCCTCGTTGCCCTCCCTCGACGCGTCGACGGCCAGGTCCGCGTCCCTGTCCAGCCACAGGTCGTAGTCGCTCTCCGGGTCCGTCGTGCTGCTCGGGTGCACCCGGCCCAGGTACGCGACGATGAACGTTCCCGGCTTCAGGTCCCGTGCGGCGAAGAGACCGGACTGGCCGTTTGCGGGGTGGCCGGCATCGTGGATGGGTTGGATTCTAACGAGCGGGCACGGCGACAGCGTGGCCGAGGATGGGATGATCTCCGTGCCGGGTGAGGACCCGGAGGATGATGCTGGTTTCGTCTGGAGCAGAGATATTTGTGAAGGCGAGAGAGCTTTGGGTTGGAGTAGAGGGGCTGTTAAATAGGGTAGGTGAGAGGGCCAATTCTTTGGCACAGACATGTTTTCTCCTGTGGCCAATCGATTGTGAGGGGGATTCAAGACCTCTATGGCGTAAGGAGAAAGCGCCTTCAAGCGTTTAAGTAAAATATGGCTTGTTTGCCTGCGTGAGCATGTTGGGGTGATTGATGATGGTGAGAGACTGTGGTTGAGTGGGGGGAATATCATAGGGCTGCGTGGTATTCATAGACTATGTACACATCAATTCAAGTCAAGGGACTAGGTTTTCAGTGGCCTGAATGCCATTGTATGCTTTCATATATCTATCTACCTATACTAAATCAAATTGCACCTTTTCTTCCTATACGGTCCCCATCGTACAATACGTACACACAGACTGACCTCTGTCTGCGGTCTTGAACCTCCAGCTGCTTTGTTCCACCAAGTATTCATTCGCTGGCACATGACGAATTTGCAAGATAACATGGCCCGAGGAATTGTCTGGTCCAGCGCGCTGCTGCTCGCTTAACCATTGATCCTAGGACCCGCCCGTTCAAAACGAAAAATTAAAACAATAAGCATGAGAATTAACACGTAGCCCTCCAACTTCCATCTCCTAGTGAGACATCACCTCCCTATACCGCTCCATTCCGAGATCAACAGAATATGCCAAAAGACGATCCTGAGTGAGTGGGAGTCGAAGGATTTTTGAGCGGAATTCGGTATCCTGTTGGATCGTTAGCTTATAGTTACACCAAGTAAAGGGGGTCTGAAGAAATGTGAACGTACCTGCTTCTTCCTCGTCGACTTCAAGATCTCTTTGGCAGTCTCGTCCGCCATGTCAGACAAAGCAGCAAACCGAATGATCTCCCCATCGGCGGCATCCTCGTTCATAGCAAACAGCCCGGCAGTCAGTTGTTCAAGCAGACTGCGGGGAGCACCGTCGCCCTTATTACGGTACTGCACAAGTGTCAGGAACAAGCTGTACACCTCTCCTCCGAGTTGCCAGTCCGAGATATGCTCCTGGCGGCCATCGAATTGCGAAAGAAGTGCTGATAAATGCTTGTAGCCCCTTTCAATGATGGCTAGGGGTGCTACCTGCTGCGAAAGGATACGGTGCGCCTCTGAAAACGAGCCAGCCTTGAGAAGACATTGTACTTCCGCCGTCGCATCCTTCTTGACGCTGCGGTTGTATAGAGCGAGGGCCTCCCAGATCCATGGCGCAGGAATCTGGTATTTCTCTGTCAGGAGGGTGAAGTTCCCTTCCAGATCCGCATCGATCAGACCGGCATGGCGGCATAGGTGTTCCTGTACAGCCTTCTTTCGGGCAAGCGGCTCGCTCAGATGTAGCAATACAAAGATTGCTTCAACCCACTCTCCAGCACTGGTGAGCTGGGACGCATACGCCACTGATGCTGCATCGCTCTTCTGGTTCCCGTTGAAACCGAAAGAGACTTTGCCTGTCGCGACAAGCGCAACTCCCAATTGCCAGGTCAACCTCATATCCAGAGGTGATAGCTGCGAGTTCTCTGGACGTAAGATGGCTTCCAGATCAGCCTTTGGATCTGCGTACAGTTGGAGGAGACCCCATAAGAGATCCTGCCTTTGACTGGTCTTGTCGTCATCCCAGAGAGGGCTGATACCTTGCTCCCGGTACCATGGCTGTGGCAGGGCTTCTTTATCCTGCTGGATATCCGCCAGGAACTGTTGGACCGCAACCGAAAGATCCTCTTGCTGTGAAATAGCGTACCAAAGTCGCAAACCAAACGCTTGCTTCCAGTCCAGTCCAAACTTCTTCGAAATGACGAATGAGTCCAGCCGATCCTCAATCGGAACGGCCTTTAAGCCCTCGCAAACGCATACATTGCCGCTCAAGAGTTCGTACATTGCACGAATAGGCTCCGAAAATTCCGAGAGCATCTTGGAATCATGCCAACCCTTGATTTGCTCCCTCAGATCTTTCTTAGCTACGTCGCTAGTGCCAATCAGGGACACAAGGGTAGCAAGTCGGAAGTTTTTGCCCTCGAGAAGATATTTGCAAGCTTCGGAAACACGATGGCCTGCCAAACATGCGACTGCCTTTTCTTCGCTTGAGCCGGCTAACCCGATTGAAGTCGAGCAAATAGCGTCGACGAGAGTTGTCCAATAACGAGAGAGGTTGGATTTACGCACAGACTGCGCCAATTGCCCGGTCCCGTCATTCTCAAGATCGTCGAAAAGAATGCTCGCCAGCTCCCACACGCGCTTTTCATGGATGCTGGCGGGGTCATTCATTTCTTCGTGGTGGAAGACCCTGGCAACACTCGGGGAGCGAAGCGAAGCTACAGGGACTTCATCCTCAACACGGATCTCTGTCAAGCGATCTTGAGCACCGAGGAATTTTTTGGATAGCTAAAAACAATGAGTAAATAAAGACAACATATCAACATCAGCTTGCAATACATACTTCGAGTGAGAACTTCCCCAACTGAACAGTTTGATTTTCGGTTTGTATTGTTGATCGTTGAAAGCTTAGAATATCTGACGATGCAGAACGGAAGGATGCGCGGCTCGCGGAAAGGGACTTGGGCTTTCGGGTCACAACAATAGTTTCTTGGGGACCCCAGGTTGGACGACTGGCATCATGAAATGCCTGCTCTGCATCATCGATTTCAAGAGATTTTGGTTGTCTTTCATAGGGCCACTAAATTGCGCAAGTAAATTTTTAGCATTAGAACGATATAAAAAGCTAATAGATAAAACATGGGAAGAATCCACCAGAAGTCCAAAAAGAAGTAATCAACAGAGAATTTGTGTACCGACCTTTGGAAAACCTTTCTCGGCCGAGATGGGAACCCGATGGTTTTGTGTCGTTGTTCGGTTGGGCTTCTCGAAGAGAGAATTCATCAAATCGATGCTCGTTGCAAAACCGCGACCCTTTTCCATGCTCAGTTGCGTGGGTGCCTGCAGGCCAGCCAGTCTTGAAGTGGTTGTCCTCCTGAAAGCTGCGGACTTTCGAAGATCTTGGTCAGCTTCGAAGCTGGGATCTACCAGCGCGCCCACACGCCGTGGTGAAGAGTCATTCAGGCCCTTGAGAAGCTGTCTATCTCTTTTGACAGGGCTTACAGTCTTTTTGAGCATCTCCATCCAATCGTCTCCATCAGCAATTTCCAGTTCTAGAGGCCCGGCTGATTCTTTCACAGCTCGCATTCGGGCTCTAAGAATTCCGCCAGGAGTCACTGGATCAGGATCCTGATCCTCCTGGGACGAGTATCCATCATGCTCCGCGACGTGATGCTGTCTGACCGAAGACCTCGCTACATCTTCGTTGTCAGACAAGTCATATCCTTCACCCATGTCAGCCAGGTCCTCGTTGTCGAGAGACAGCCGAACATCGTTGGGTGCCGAATCCGCAGAGCTATTCCCTAAAAAAGACTGCTGGAAAGGAGCAGCGACACCATCATCCATGATTTCCTGTTCATCGAAGGCACCCGGAAGGCCGTGAGATCTTCGAGGTTCAAAGGCTTCGTCAGCATTTGAAGAGCTTACCGAGGAATTCAAAATGAATTGCTGGGCTCGGGAGGGCACAGATGGTTGCTCAGGTACCTCCTCAGTAGCCATCTCCTCGTCAGATTCATCTTCCGAGTTGTCGAAACCATATGTGGTGAAGTGCTCCACAGAGAAAACCCAAACTCCACTATCCTTGTCGTAGCTTTCAAAAGTGGTGTCGGGAATCCTCTTGAGACGATCGACGTGCTTCTTGAAGCGCTTGGGGTCTGTGGTCACCTTATCACGAGACCCACGAGGCCATGATTGCTCAAGCGATATTTTGGATGGAACATTTAGACCCTTGCCGACTGGTGGCTTCTTCGCAGTGACTGGATAAACCGTGGCTGATCGGGGTTCCAATTGGATAATACCGCCATATAACTCTTCCACCTCGATGCCGGTGATATCGACAGGGAACTTGAAAGCGATGGAGCCAACATTGTGACGCCCAATCACGAAGTTGTCGATAGACTGTCGCTGGATCCTATTCATGTTCTTCAGTTCCTCATAGGAAGGTTGAGACCAGTAATCGCCAGGAGCCTTGTCGACTCCACCGACGGAATTAGCTTCAGGTGTGGCAGAGTGGTCCTCCTCGTGCACGATTTTCAGGTCAGTGCTTCGGTTAGTATCAGCCTCTGGTGTACGAGCGCCGTTGATTCCATTGGAATGGCGATTTTGGCGAGGGGTCTCATCCGCCTGTGCAATCGGCGAGCTTTCCGGAGCTGGCAGGGCACCGCGGATGACGGTTTCGCCATCAGGCTCGACATTGCTGGTGTCAAAGCTCACCCGCTTAGACAGTTTCCTTGAGCTGGTGTTGCCATCCACGATCAGTTTATCCTTCTGCGGGGTCGAGAACAAGTCGCTTCGAATGTCGCGGTTAATAACAAGCTTCTTTGATCCTGTGCTGCCATACCACCGGGGACCTGAGCTGGAAGAAAAGGCACCTGGGGCGAGGATACTATCATCCGTGTTGAAATTTCGTCGTAGGTTGTTTGTGGACATGCTCTTGCTGAGAGATCCACTAGAACTAGCACCAAGTAGGCTTCGGCCTAGGGTTCCCGGAGTGCTCGCGATGCTGCTAGCAGGACTTCCACCCGGTGTTCCATAGGTGCTGTATGAAAAGCCGTATGCCCTCTTCTGGGGGGTTCCGTAACGCGACGCAGAGGCGGGTGCCATCTTGGACATAGCAAGAATAGAGCCTCGCTTCGGCTTAGCGCTGCTGTTGAGTGGCGTCGCGAGAGGACCGGGGTTTGCGACCTCGTTATTGATACTGCTTCCGAATAGGGAAGGACTTCCGTAGGCGGAGACGTCATTCAAGTTAGCAGTAAGGCCCTGAGGGGCATTGCTGGCTTGCTGAGAATTATTCAACATCGAGTTTCCAAGGCCCTGGGCTTGCTGATTGGCACTGGCACCAAATAGCGAAGATCCGGCGTTTTGGTTGTTTTGGCCACCAAAGAGGGATCCGCCCGCGTTTTGAGAAGTTCCAAATAGTGATGGCTTCTGCTGTTGATTGTTGGCACCACCGAAAAGACCGGTAGTTCCACTTTGTTGAGTTTGAGCGTTGTTATTAAAGAGTCCCGTCCCAGTGTTTGCGGTTTGGTTTGTGGCAGTACCGAACAACCCGCCAGGCTTTGCGCCACCGAAAAGCCCACCACCACCAGCATTACTATTAGTAGCGCCAAAAGCGCCGGTGTTTTGCTGTTGCTGGTTGTTGGCGCCGCCGAAAAGGCCACCGGTGCTTCCTGGCTGAGCCGTGTTGCCTCCGAAGAGACCACCTGCTGGCTTTGCTTGGTTGCCAAACACAGAATTTCCAGCCTGTTGTTGCTGGTTGTTCTGCTGACCAAAACCACCACCGAACAAAGACCCAGATTGCTGATTCTGTTGCTGGTTGTTGTTTCCTCCAAACAAACCGCCCGTGGTTGACTGGTTAGTGTTGGCTGTGTTGTTGGCTCCAAACAGACCGCCGCTAGTATTCGTATTAGTGGCGCCGAATCCGCCGGCTGTATTTGTACCAAAGGTGTTCGTTGCTGTATTATTAGCTCCGCCGAATAGGCCACCAGTTGCAGGCTTATTAGCCTGGGTATTTCCGCCAAAGAGACCACCTGTAGTGTTGTTTCCGCCAAAGGAACTGCTCGTTCCTCCGAATCCAGTGCCTGTATTTGTTCCAAATCCGGTAGCCGCTGGCTGTGTAGTATTGGTGGATCCAAACAAGCCACCGGCTGGCTTGTTGGCATTGCCAAATAGCCCACCCGAAGCGTTGTTGTTGGTGGCACCAAAGGCCGATGTGCCAGTGCCGCCAAATCCCGTCGAGGTATTGGTGGCAGTGTTATTGGTGTTGCCACCGAAAAGTCCGCCGGTGGTGTTCGTCGTATTGGTGTTTCCGAAGCCTGATGTTTGTTGAGTTGACCCGAAACCACCACCGAAGTTGGAGCTCACGCCGAAGGCACCTGCACCACTCGGGTTTCCATGGCGCCTTCCTTGAGCGTAATCCGCAAGTCGCAGCTCATCAGCCGACCACTTCCTGTACGGGTCCTGGAAGAGGATGTTCTGGAAGCTTTGCGTATTGGTTGTTGTACCCTCCTTCTCCGTAAATGCCTGGAAAGCAGTGTTGGCCGTTCCTGTGTTCTCGGTAACGCCCGTGTTTCCTGCGCCGAATCCAGTGCTGGTCCCAAACCCACTCGTCGTGTTGGTGGTATTGTTGCCACTAAACAGCGAGCCGGTTCCTGTAGAACCGAAGGCTGGCTTGTTAGCATTGTTGCTAAACAACCCGCCGCCACCACCGCCAAAACCCGTTGAGGTATTGTTGTTCGTGCTGCCAAACCCACCAAACGATCCAGTGTTGGCGGTGTTCGTTGTGTTGTTGGTGGCGCCACCAAAGAGGCTGCCGCCAGTATTGGTTGCGCCAAACCCGGTCTTGGCGCCAAAGGTGTTGTTGTTGTTCGATCCAAACCCACCTGTGAAATAGTTAGCAATATATCAGAAGGAATTAGATGCCAGAACGGCCTTGTCTGCTGTACCTGTACCGGCGCCGAAACTAGACGTTGTCGACGTTGCGTTATTGTTGGGGGCGCCAAACAGACTGCCTGAATTGTTGTTTTGCCCGAAGCCCGTGTTGGTTGATCCAAATGCTTTTGAAGTTGGTGTCAGCTTGATTCTCGTCAAATGCGTGGATTCTGCCGCCTTACCTGAACCTGTGTTGGTATTGTTGTTCGCTTGGCCAAATCCACCAAATGCAGTTGTTTGGTTATTGGTGTTGTTGTTTTGGCCAAAGCCTCCGCCTCCGAACCCTGAGAACGACATTGTGATATCGGAGCTTGTCGCACGAGGCAAAGCTATATAAACACGTCTCGATTCGAAGGGAAAGCTTCAAGTCGATCTGTTCGCCCGAAATTTGAGTAGCAGGTTGGTTACTGTCCTCACGATAGCTCTTCCGGACGCGACCGTGTTGTCAATTCGAACTCTCCTCCAAAGCGCAGGCGCAGGGCCGAAAACCAACTGAATTTGGGGAATGATGGAGAGATGGGTGGTGTGAGGCGCGCGTTAGACGCAGCACCCTTTGTGGTCGACAAAGGAAGGACTGGCTGCTTGCGCGACAAAGGGAACGTTGAGAGTGATGATAAAACACAAAAGGAAAATCCTAGGGAGAGCAGAGAGGGTTTATAAGGGCTGGTTGGATGAGCCCTCAACTTACTCACAATCGCTCGCTCACCTAGAGCAGCTGGCTTGACGTGGCGAGAGACAGAAGAGCTCAGGGTGAGTTAAGCTTTTTTTGCTTCAAAAACAGCCTTGGCCAGTCGCGCTGACTAACCACCGCACCACCCCAGCCAATCACCCTGCAGCCCACGGTACTTGTGACCTGATCTCTAGCTGCCTGGCTTTCTGCCTGGAATTGCTAGTGCAAAAGTCGCGCCCCCCATTAGAAATCCACAACAAAGGGCCCGGCCTAGGCTCTCGTCAAGAACGCCCAGTACCAACTGGGGATGGCTTGGCCCAGCTCCAGCCGCGTCTCAGCCCAGGGAGACTTAGCTGGGCGCGTCGCATCGCATCGCATCCATCGCAGCCAATTAAGCTGTATATATCATTGCATCTGCCGCACACAGCATCTGTTTTGGCCTGGCGTCTACTCATCCCTTGTCGCTGCTGCGTCCAGCATTGTGCCATTAGCTTTTTGTATTCACATTGCAGTTTTGCTTATTGTTCCATGACGACAATCGTCTATTGCTTCACGAGTCCCCACTCACCCGCACAGCGCGAGACCGCTCCCAGCTTTAAGACAACAACTCCAAACACCTTACAACTAATTCTCAACCATCCCAACTTCCCATCACCTCCTCAAACGCCAAGATGAATATCCATTCGACCCCGCGCCCCTTTCCAATCCGGTCTGGACCCGGTGGACAGGGCCAAGCCTCACAGCAGAAACAGCCAGCTGCCCCCCAAGTACTAAACAACGAAGACTACAACTCAATACCAGAAGAAGACCGCGAACATATCGATGAAGTGGTATGAGACACCCCTATAGAATACCTGCCGAGCCGAACCCCTTGGAAGCTGACCCAGTCCTCTAGTTCGGGTTGATGGACATGAAGAAAAAAGGCTGGCTAAACAGCTACGAGTTCCGCCATTCGCTAGCAGCACTCGGCTTCGACATGCCCAAACCGGAGTACGTGAGAGAGCTCGAAACATACGGCACAGTACCCCCGGACTGGCCCGAGCCGCACAACTGCCCCGTCAACCGGCTGTACATGTACCTGGATCCCTTCCGACTTTGCACAGCAAAGCTCATTGCGAACCGCGACCCACGTGAAGAAGCAACCAAAGTCTTCAACATGTTCGATTATGATCAGGACGGCATCATATCGTTCGAGGACATGCGTCATCTTGCGCAGGATATCAAAGAGGAGAGAACCATGACAGACGAGGAAATCCAGACCATGATTGATCATCTAGATCACGATGGCAAAAATGGCGTGAACTTGGAAGAGTTTATTCAGATGATGGAAGAAGCTGGCTAGTCAATCGCGTGGAGAAAACTAAATATGCCAATGATTGCTGCGAGGAGACTGGAGAGCTCCAACAAGCGACATCAGCTGAACGGCCTAAATTTTGGTCTCTGTCGAAAAGTTGATCAATTGTCTCGCTTGGAAAGATACCCTAGGACGATTCATACTGTTGGTGGGCCCATTCCACAATGATGCGCAACTGGTTTGTGCTCATGAAATGTTACGATCCTGGCTCGAAGTATTAGAGCAAGTTTTGGTACTGGGGCCGAAGCATGCGACGATGTGATTCGATAGCGCTGATTTCTATATGCTGGAAGATAAGTCGCCTAGTTGGTTTACCATTGCACGAAATCAAATGGATGAGGAGGAATTATTAGGGTACTCATACATTTGAATCAAATCTCTAAATTTTGGATGTGAAGGCGCGCTATCTAGGACTTTGTAATTCAGACCATGTGTAAACAAACTTCCAGTTACACACCAGCCAGACCTCCCACGACATTGAGAAAGAAAGAAGCATAGCAAGGCGAACCACACATCGAGGAAAAAGAGTCCAATTTCGGTTCGATATAGTTGAGGCGACGAAAAGTGTAGGCGAGGTGAATGGATCAAGGAAATAGTAAGCGGAAGCGAGCCAAATGGGCCTAAACCCTAGTATAGAATCAAGGTGGTCGACGGTCTTCAATTACAGTTGGATTAGGTTGTCGTTTTGACCAGCATGCTGTTGCTGCTGTTGTTGCTGTTGGCCGAACGGGTTGTTGTTTGGCTGACCATTCATGCCACCAGGTGATTGACCATATGAAACGGCTGGCATGCCTGTAAACTGTGGCCGAAAGAATGGGTTGTTTCCAGTTGCTTCGGCGTTGATACGGGCAACGCCGGAGCCTGCGCTGTTGACGAACATGCCAGGAGCGGTGTGTTGAGCAGGAATACGTAGGTTTCCGGTGTTGCCAAATGTATCCATACCGTCAGTTGAAGCGAGCAAATCGTTCAGTCTAGCCTCATGCTCGTTCAATTCCCTTTGAGGTGCAGCAAATGGCTGTTGCTGGGGTTGACCCAAGCCACCTAGTTGTGGTGACTGATGTGACTGGATAGGGTTGAAACTAGAAAGTGTCTTTTGTTCTGGAACGGCACCCAGGCTGTTGAGCGTAGGCTTGGCAGATGAAGGCCGGTTGTTGTTAAACTGTGCAAAAGGATTGTTTGATCCAGTAGGCGTGGGTGCCAGGGCTGGCTGTGGGCTGTTTGTGGCCCAGGGGTTATTGCTGCCTGGTTGCAAGCCGGGGCCGTCTGATACAGGTGAGGGGATTTGTTGTGTCATTTGCAATTGAGGTTGCTGGGCGAAAGAGTTGAAACCCGTTGGTTGTGGCTGGAATGCTGCCAGATTCTGCTGCTGCTGCGCATAGAGATCCATCCCAGTAGGCTGGCCCGCAAACCCAGTGCCATAGGTGTTTTGGAATCCGGTTGGCTGGGTTTGTTGGAAGCCGGTATAAGCATTTGCCACGTAGCCGGTCTGCTGATTCGGGACTTGATTCTGGTCAATCTGGTTTGCGAACCAGTCCACTTGATTTCCCTGCTGATATCCATTGTTAAAACCGGTTGGTTGAGGCTGTGTAACTTGAGTTGGGGAGTCGTCGAAAAGCGAAGCGGCATTGCTTTGCTCCAGCTCGCGTCGTCGACGTTCCTCTTCTTCTTTGCTCAACTTGATAGCCTTGGCAAAATCGTCGTCGTCACCGCCGGTGCTCTGTCGAAGTTCCCTCTTCTTGCGATCTTCCTCCTCCTGATATTTGCTGGCCTCGAGTGCCAGACGATATTCGGCATCGTCTTCCTCATTGGCGTTTCCTCTTTCCCTATGAGACCGTCGCTCTGGCACGCGTTCGGATGAGGATTCACCAGGCGGAGGGCCGTACTCTTCCAACCCTGTGACCCGAGACTTCCAAGACTTCCGGTCGCTGCGCTCTGCACGCAAGCGTTCTTCGTCGAGAATGAGCGAAGTCAGCTCCTTTGCTGCGACTCGCACTAGTTTACCAAGTTAGTCAGAGCTTTTGACTCCACAAGCAGAGGTGCGTCGTACCATTCTGTCCCACATCGCGGCCCTCATCGTCAACATATTGAAACTCGCGGAGAGTTTTAATGATGTAAATACTCTTCCTCGCCCAAGTGACCACAAGCTCCGATCCCTCATGCAAACAGTAATCCAGTACCTTCAAGGCTTTGAGCACATGTCGCCAGTTCCTGCCTTTGTCATTAAGTCTCTTGTTGATCATGTCCATGATATCATAGAAGTCGCTCGATCTAATATCCTCTTGGTCAGCTTCTGCAAACACAATCCACAGAGATTCGCGAACGCGTACGTGTTGAAGGTCATCTGAGCGATTTCGCTCATCTGTGTCCCGGTCGGGCCCCATGGGTCATTGCTTGTGGCTGTTAACTTCCGAGTTAGCGCTGAGTCTTGAGGGTTTTTGTTCGAAGATGTTGCGCGAACCTTCTCTGACCTTGATCTGGGTGCTGGAGTAACCCTTGGTGACGTTTCTCACACTTCGCATTACCTTCGACATGATGGGCGATGTGCAAGGTGCTCCTTGACTGATGAGCAGACTCGAATATACCAAATGTCAAACTGGAAATCAATCAACCCGCAGCCGAAGCGCTACCGGTGACTGAGAGCGATACAGGGGATGACGTAGGCGAGCAGGTTCACGCCTTCCGAAAGCCTCAGGTCTGCTGCTTGAGCGTTGCTGGCTCCTTGCGCGAAATCTCAAACAGACAGCGTCTCACAACCGATGGGGTCGGCTCGCAGGTGTGTTGGGAGAATGGCGATGCGGCTTCCGTCGTAGTCTAGAAGCCAGAGAAGGATTTGCTTCTGCGGCGGCTCGGATCGACTGATGGCTGTGGAGTGGCGCACACACTACCAGGAGGTAGATGGACGTCGTGCGCAATGCCAATTACTGGTAGCGGACGCCGACTCTGGAACGCTGTAGTTTGGGTGAGAAGACGGCAGGTCTGGCGCGATTGTCTTGAGTCCAGAGCTCAGTACACGATGTCCCGATTGACGCAGAGATAGGCTTCTCAGGCAGATATGGGGCGGGATCAGGTAAGAGGTGTATTGAAGCTCATGCACCTACAGCGAGTGGAGTGGTTGGAATATGATGGGTGGATACGCAAGCAGGGTGATGACATAAAAGGGGCGCAGCCCAGCATTGCTAATCACCGGAGTTGGGCTACAGGCAGAGTTCAGGCAAAGTTCACCAGCGCAGGGGTCACGTGCCGCCAACGCCGCCACTTTACGTCAGTTGCTGGGATGGCCGTATAGCGTATGCACCTCGCTCCGGGTATTCGACCCTGACACAAGCACCAAGCAGGACATACGGAGCGCCACATATGCAGATGAAAAGATCAAATTCAATATTACTGCCATTGGCCGAGAAGGAGAGAAAAATACACTAACTAGCCCAAATTCCTACAATCTGGTTTGGTTACACTAACAAAAATTGTGACGCTAACATCCGAGTCGTGATATGTGCAAATCAAGAATATCCTCACTGCGTTTCATATACATGGTCAAGAACCTACTGTTCGGCTGGTCGCGTTCCCAGCTGCCTCGTTTCTCATCAACAAAGTCGTTTATCCTAGCATGGCTGGAGGTAGTTGCTCGGGACCAGCCCAATGCGACCATTTCCGTTGTGGACTTCGGCCTCCCACCATCCGTCATCCTGGTGACGGAGAACGGCGAGATAGTCGCCCTTAGCAAATCCCAGTTCCTCAGGAATAGCCGCCTGGTACATATACATGGCACGAGCTGGAAAATAGATACATGTATTAGCTACAAAGACTCTGTAAAGTGCAGACACATGGAGGAAACTTACCATAATGCAAGATCGGCCGGCCATCAGGCGTATAGAGTCTCGAGGGGTCTGCTACACTCTTGCTCCGTTGTCTAGAATCGCCGTTGTAAAGCCCCATTGCCCGAGACGATGGCCTACTAGACCCACGACTTCGTTGAGAGCCATACGGGTCATCGCCTGCAGGAGCCAGCTGTACAGCCATGTCACTTCCTGCATAGCTGCTCACTGGCCTTTGATACTCTCTTTGAGGGGCTGGAGAAGCCCCTCGCACGGAGCCTCTCATTGACCCATGAGGAGAAGATTGCCGGTGGTACTGCTCTGATGGGCGTCCCCTTGGGCTGGCAGGAATTCCATACGAGGAGTCTCTCCGTTGCTGCTGTGGAGGATGGTATTGGTGAGATTCATGTGGGTTTGGAGATACGGATCGATGATCCATCCGACCACTGCCGGTGTTATTAGCCATTTGTGGTTGGGGTGATGCACTGCGAGCTGGCACAGGCGAAACTGCCCGCGGGACATCAGTTCCGCGAGTCCCAGGACGAGACATAGGCGAAGTGCTAGCAGCTCCAGGATCTGCTCTTCCTTCGGAAAATACACTTCGGGTCTGAGTTGTTGCCTTCTGTGTCGCTGCCCGCATAGCCTTGGAAGTGACTGCCGGCGGAGGTACGCCCAACCTTGACGGAGGAGCAGCCTGCGTCTGTGTAGGCTGAGCTCGAACAGATGGCGCTGGTGCAGGCTGAGCCCGAACAGATTGTGCTGCTGCAGGTTGAGCCCGAACAGATGGCGCCGGGGCAGGTTGAGCCCGAACGGATGGCGCCGGGGCTGGCTGAGCCCGAGCAGATGGAGCTGGTGTAGGTTGAGCCCGAGCAGATGGAGCCGGTGCTGGCTGAGCTCGAGCTGGTTGAGCTGTTACAGGCTGGGCCGCTGCCGGTTGGGCTCGACTGGGCTGCGTCTGCCCGGGCTGGTACGAAGGTGGTGGTGTTCCACGATTGACTGCAGCTGTGTCCCGACTACCAGGAGTAGGCACAGAGTGGGACATTGAAGCATTCGGTCCAGGAGCAGGAGTAGCAATTCCATGGTAATGATCGGCCGACATGCGCACTGAAGACTGTTTTCCAAGCGTCACACCTTTCAGTTCAGCCAAGGCCATTGCAATCGGATCTTTTTCGTCAACTTCGGGTTTTGCAGGCTCTGTTTCATGTCGCTTATTGGTCTCCGGCCGGGTAACGGGCAGAACATTTTGTCCTACGCCCAGCGCAACGCTTGCATTAGCATCAATGGGCTCAGGGCTCGCCGTGCGATCCTGGAGAAGATTCTTGGATTGGGTAGAGCCTCTACTGAACAACTGGGGTCGGCGGGGACTCTCATTCTTCTGGAAGCCGGAAGCGTGCCATGTGTTGCGATTCGACTGGACAGGGTTCTGAGCCTCCTTGACACTCTTCCTCCTGAAAGGACTATGATTCTGGAAGAAGCCACTCTTCTTCTTGAATATCCGCTTCTCGGGGCTTGCCTCTGGAGGTGGATCTTGCTTCGTTGGTGAGGTTTTCCCGCTCGGTGGCTCGACGCTGGAGAACGATGTTGCATAGTCACTAGCTTCATCCTTGCTAGACGGCCTGTTCGAGGTTACCTGTGAGCTGAGATCTGAGGGTGGTCCAGTTCGGCATAACATTGTCATTCCATCCATAGGGTATGGATCATGTGGCACTTCCGCCACTGGACCGTGCTGATTAACATCGTATGAGACTTGCTGTGCCTGTTGATAAGTCTCCTCCATTGACTGTCGTCCAGCTGGAGGTTGTCGCTGTGATGTTGGCATATGTTGCTGGTATGTCTCTTCCATCGACTGGCGCGGAGGCCCGGCATGCCTTTGCTGTGAAGCCGACAACTGATGCTCATATGTCTCTTCCATTGACTGTCGCCCGGGCGGGGGCTGTCGCTGTTGCGGTACTGACACCTGGTGACGGTATGTCTCTTCCATCGACTGGCGCGGTGGTGCGTGGTGCCTCTGCTGTGAAGCAGACAACTGATGATCGTACGTCTCATCCATTGACTGTCGTGTAGGTGGAGCGTGTCGTTGTTGCGGCGCCGACACCTGATGCTGATATGTCTCTTCCATTGACTGCCGTCCTTGCTGCGGCTGCCTTTGATATGACAATGACAACTGTCGCTGATGATATGGTTCCTCTACGGGCTGCCTTGTTGGCGGAGGTCGTCTGTGAGATGCTTGTACCTTTTGATGTTCGTATGTTTCTTCAGTTGACTGCCTCACTGAAGGAGGAGGCCGGTGCGAAACTGGTGGCTGCTGCCGATATACCTCTTCCATTGACTGCCTTGCAGGGGCCTGTCTCTGGGGTTTCGTGAGTGATTCCCGGCTGTTTGCAGATCCCACATCTCTGTGCGCTAAATTGTTCGCCAAGGCAGAGTCCGGGTCGTGGTGAGACTCGAAAGTTGAGGGTTGTGGAGATGAAGATCTGAAGGCCGGGTTGATACTCCTGGGAAACTGAGCCACTGAGAATCGATCATCCTCCGAAGCCTCAGACTGGGAATCGGTGACATCCCCACGGCAAAAGTTGATGTATTTTGGTGCATCTGGGATCTCCTGTCCCGTTCCCTTCTCAGTGATGAAGCTGATGATGTCCTTCTCAACCTCCATTTTCTCCAACGAGAGCCGGACTTTCTCGCAGGAGGCGTCATCGCTCACACAGACGGTTGATGAAATGTTGGCGAAAGTCCAAAGACTGCTCTTTGTGAAATCAAGACGCTCTTCCTCGAGGTCTTGGAATTTGTCGGCAGCAGCTTTCCATTCTCTGTTCCACCTTGTCGTAGTCTCCTCAAGCACCTTCACAGCGGCTTCATACTCAGTGTTAGATGTAGCAACACTAATCTGTGTCTTCTCCAGCTTAGCCTTGTTACGGCGCTCTTCCTGTCCCATGACCATGTGTCCCTGAGCCAGATATCCTTTAATCTTCAAGCACTCTTGTTCATACTTGTCCCGAGTCTTCATACGTCAGCATCGTGTTCTATCCTGGGATAGCCTAGCAACGTACCTTATTGACATGCTGCGTTTGTTGTACTTTCGTTTTCAGAAGCTTCTCGACTGTGTTTTGAACGATCTTACGACGTTCCTTCATACCACCAGCGAAAGCGGCCAACGGCTCCTCTAGCTCGCTTTTCATCTGAGCTGCAATATTCTGGTGTTGCTTCGCCATCGACTCGACCTCGCCTCTCACTGTATCCAGCGAGTTCTTCAGCGTCCCCGCTTCCTGGGAACCAAGGGCTTTACGAGTGAGGTTGAGCAGTTTCCTAGCATATTCTTCCTCGATCGACGCCCGCGCTAGTGAATTCATTGTTTAGTAACAAGTCAAGTTATATTTCTGAGACGACGGAGGGCGGGTGTACTCACTGCTGTAGAACGCCTTGAGCTCGTCGCATGTTTGTTTTGCGCCGTGCATCCGTTCTAGGAGAGGACTAACTCCAGCATCGTCCTTACCCCAAAAATTGTTGGCAACTATATATCGGCGCTTGTTAGCTTCTACCTATGATTCACACTTCGTGGGTCGCAAATGCAGCTGGTGGTTACGCACAAGACATGGCCACGGCGGGCACTTCGACGGCCGTCGCCCCAGGCATTGTGCCTGATATGTGTGATAAATTATCCCAAAGGCGGGAATAAAATGAATGGGAGACGCTAGGTCTTTGCGCGTGGAGAAGATATAGTTCGCTTTGAAGGTGACCACAATGTTCTTTGTTAATAAAGTAGATGGATCGTCTCAGATGGATGGGCTCTCCTTGTTTAACTGCCACTCTGACCGTTGGCAGGGCAACCGATGGTCGGGTCGGGGTCAGGCTTGTGGTCACGTGGTATCTGCAGAGGAATCGAGGCCGGGGGCACTTAGCCTTCCACGGTACCTCACCACAGCTGACTTCCGCCGATAATTGCTACCTGGTTTGCATGGCATTCAACCACCTCTCCATCACCGCCATCAAGTCTCCCACTATCACGACACTGCCACGACCTCCGACCAGTGTGGCTCCTCCCCTGCCGTGATCATTTCCGACTTGTTCTTCAGATGCCAGACTGCCATAGCATTCACCTGCAGCGTCTTCCATTTGCAATTTGGCTTGCGTCCCCCCGTCCTCTTACTGGCAGGCCGAATATCACGTCTCAGCGAGGAGATTGATAACCTTAATCGCCATCGCTCTTCTCTACTACCTAGGGCACACTGCAGCTTCATCGATCGAAGGCTCCGGAGCTTTTATATGTGCGCTTTCGATCTGTGACAGCTATACGTCTCTCGAGTCCCCCTCATGAATGTCTGTCTAGCGGAAAACCTCCCTCCCAACGTCAGGAAATTCGCCTTCGCTTCACGAAACTCACCTGCCTGCCCTGATCTCCAAGGCAGGCGCTGTACCGCGTACCCTCGATAGTCACGAACGTACCTCCATGGTCCCCCCACCACGAGCGGGATCATTTTCGCCCAATCCTGCGCACATACTTCATCCAGGCTCCAGTATCTCACCACACCTACCCAACGCGGCTGCGTTTAGTGCTGGCGCGAGTCCAAGCACAAGCAGCCCAACCGGGACCAATCCCCTGACCAAAATTGTTGTTGCTCAGGTGTATCTTTTACTTAGCACCATCAAAGAGGATAAGGATCGCGCAAAGTGGGAGCTTCAAGTTGAACAACTAAAAAAGGTACGGGCTATTTCGCCGATTGAATCCCCATGCCACGCTCTATTCTCTAATATTTCTCTCACAGCTCATCGATGAAAACGGTATGGAAGTGTTTTCAAGATATTTTACCCGGCTGGTGGCTGGCAATGCACCACAAATATTCCCAGGCCTCCACCGGCCGGTAGCAAACCCCGGAAACTACCATATTCTAGCTGAAGAGATGCGGAAAATAGCACACGATATCGATCAAGCTACCAAGATTGCCGAGTCTATCGACACCGGTACCGAAGATATCTTTCGCGATTTTGATCTCTCAACTTTCATGGAGCATTTCAAACTCGACGCGCTCGAGAAGACCATTTTAGCACTGGCATTCAAGTTGGGGAACAGGCCAGACTTAAAAACTAAAGGCAAGTCCTACAGGATGACAATGAGCGGAGCATACATCTAACGTGTTCCCTCCACAGCCGACGCCATACTATCCACAAATTTCCTCACATTCATGGATATCCTCTCTCGGCCAGACATCGAAGCCCACGCAGACCTTACCCCTCAATTTGTGGCTCTCATCGTTGATCGATTTCTCCAATACCACCCTCCTAATTTCAATGCTTCTTCCCGCCGAGATCTACAAACCCACGCTATGCAGCGATATCTCACAGTAGACCAGACTCCACCCTCCGAGATCCTCGCCGTCTTCGACATAACTCGAGTTTTGGCAGATCGGCCTAGCAACGCGCTGGCGCGGTACATTCAAAAGATCGGCTCCGATTTTGTTCGTGATGAGGATACTTGCACAGCTTATTTGCAAAAAGGTCCGAATGATATCAACGCGGAACAAGTGTCTTCAGCCTTGACCTTTGTCACAATTAGCCGGGCACAACCGTATGATCCCAGCATTCTCGTCCAAAGTTTGCTTCGCCTCGTCTCGCCATCGTTTGATTGGACGAGTGTGGTTTTATTGTTTGATCAACCATCTGCTCGAATCTCATCTACCCAATTCCTCAGACTCTACAAGGCTTTGCTTCCTATCGCCGAGGACCCGAGCAAGAACTTCGATATTCAACGACTGTGGGGAGGTGCGTGGAACGAGCCTGAAACTCAGCTATCATTTGTTTGTGCCTATGCGTCTCTCAGCCCCGAAGAGTTGGATGCAACTACGATCCCAGGTCTCCATCGAAGTATCACCCTAGAAGACTATGCCGACTCTCCTGCTAAGGTTCAGGAACGAGCCGCCATAGCAGTGAAGCATCCTCTTGTTTCGGTCGCAGCTCTCTCATCTATCTTCAACGTTGCTCTCAACTCCGTTCATGCGTCTCAAAGTGTCGAAGCAAAACGGCTTTTCCAAGAGGTCGTCGTTCCAAACCTAGATATTTTTCTTGTCTCGGCCTTCGAGGTTCCTAGACAATCGTGGGCTTCTATGGCTGTCGACACCTTAAGCTCACTATTCGAGACCTTCCTCTACAAACGTTCTCCGGAATACGATTTCGTGCTGGACAGTTTATGGAGAAAGGATAAGGAATGGGTTATACAACGGCTTATTGATGCACATGCTGTGAAGCCTGTGGATCTTCCTCTTGTCTTCGAGCACGCCGTCAAGCACAACTGGCTGGATGAGCTCGTTTATCTGCCCAATGGTTTCGGTATCGATTTGGCAGCGCTCGCTCACGCCGAAGAGTACCTCGATCTCGGCAAGTGGGCTCGTTTCAATGCTGAGAGAAGTAATGAGATGTCCAGGACCCTACTCCAATTCTTAATGATCAAAGCGAACCTTGAGATTCAATATCAACGTCCACCCGAAGGCCAAATCCAGGTTAAGACAAGCACCACTCTGCAAGTTCGAACTGTTTCCTCGCTTCTCCAAATCCTGGAGGATTTCCTTCCAAAGGCCCCGGTGCAGGATCTCATTCTAGTCCAACGCCACTGTATCACAGCATACCCTCGTCTTATAAATTATGGCGAAGGCTATGATGACATCGTTGATGCTAATGGCAGCGAAGGTAATGCATTGCCCCCAGCTGCCAACAGCAAAATGGAGGAGCATTATAAGAAGATGTACGGCGATGAGCTTCAGGTACGCCACATTGTTGACATCCTAGACACTTATAAGCACTCCCGCGATCCATTAGACCAGGATGTCTTTGCCTGCATGATTCATGGTCTGTTTGATGAGTATAACCATTATGTGGACTATCCCTTGGAGGCTCTTGCCACAACAGCCGTACTCTTCGGTGGTATCATATCGCACAAATTGATATCGGACCTACCCCTTAAGATTGGATTGGGCATGATCCTGGAAGCCGTGAGAGATCATCTTCCCGAAGACCCGATGTACAAATTTGGTCTACAGGCATTGATGCAACTATTCGTGCGATTCCGAGAATGGCCCGGGTTCTGCCAACAACTCATCCAAATTCCAGGCCTTCAGGGAACAGATGCGTACAACAAGGCCGAAGAAGTGGTTCGCGATCATGAGGAGGAAGTTAGCCGAGGACACAACGGCACCGCTACCCCTCGAGGCGCCGGATTTCCAAGCGAGCCCTTACTTAATGGTAATAACGATACTTCCACAGCTCTGGATCGCCAATCGCCCGCATTTAATTCCCTATATGTCGAGCCTATTCCCCCGGGAGCAGATTTCGAAGATCCAGGGGAGGAGGCGCAAGATAAGATTCAGTTTGTGCTGAATAATATCACCGAATCCACGATACAGGCAATGTGCAGTGAACTCAGGGATATGCTTGAGAAGAGGCATCAACAATGGTTCGCTAGTCATCTTGTTGAAGAGCGAGCCAAAATGCAACCCAACTATCACCATGTCTACCTAGAGCTTATCAAGCTTTTCCAGGATTCCTCGCTCTGGTCGGAGGTACTAAGGGAGACTTTTGTTAGTGTTGCACGCCTTCTTAACTCCGATGCTACGATTTCCAATTCTACAGAGAGAACCCATCTTAAGAATCTTGGAGGTTGGCTCGGCCTCCTTACTCTGGCGCGCGACCGGCCAATCAAACATAAGAACATAGCCTTCAAGCAACTCCTGATGGAAGCGCACGATACCAAGAGGCTGATTGTCGTAATACCTTTTGTTTGCAAGGTTCTTATCCAAGGTGCAACCTCTCCAGTGTTCCGGCCGCCCAATCCCTGGCTTATGGATATTATCCACCTTCTCATCGATCTGTACCATCACGCGGAACTCAAGCTGAACCTCAAGTTCGAAATTGAAGTGCTTTGCAAGGGCTTGAATCTGGACCACAAGAGTATTGAGCCGTCCGGCGAGATCCTCAACAGGCCATCGTTGGAGGAGCCTGCAGATATTATTCCACCCGAACAGGTTGATGCCTTTGAGAATTTGTCCCTCAATGGTCTGAGTTCCACCGTCCCAAGCGGGTTACAAACCCAGTCGGTGAATATCCCAGATCTTGGGCCTTTGATAACCGTTCCTCCTGCCAACGAGATGGTCATTAGCACCAATCGCCTCCACGAAATAGTGTTATCCGCACTTTCCCGGGCTCTTCACGATATCATTCAGCCAGTGGTTGATCGATCCGTCACGATAGCTGCGATTTCTACCATCCAGATGATCCGAAAGGATTTTGTGACTGAGCCAGACGAAAATCGCGTGCGAACCTCAGCAATTAACATGGTTAAGGCAACGGCTGGAAGTCTTGCCCTTGTTACGTCCAAGGAACCTCTTCGGGCCAACCTGACGAACTACATTCGCAACATGGCTAACGACCTCCCGTCAGGTCTTCCCGAGGGAACAATAATCATGTGTGTGAACTCAAATATTGACTTGGCCTGCAATATCATAGAAAAGCAAGCCGAAGACAGGGCTGTTCCAGAGATCGAAGACATGATTGAGAGAGATCTTGAGAGCCGTAGACGCCATCGTGCCACTCGCCCCGATGAGCCATATTACGACAGCAACGCAAGCAGGTGGTCCATGACAATCCCCAACCCTTATAAGTTAAGTCCAAACCTGAAGGGCTTAAATGCTGAACAGATGGCGATCTACGAAGAATTTGGTCGTCAGCCTCGCAGCATTGCTAACGCCGCTCCATCGCATGCTCCATCTACCTCGGACGCCACCCGATCTCTTGCCAATGAAGTTCTCCAGGAACAGTACAGTACTATCCCAACCATACCTACACCGGCAGAGACACCGGCAGTGCAGCACATCGGGAACCAATTGCAACCCTATCCACATGTTCACTCGGGTGGATCAAACAGTATCCCTAATAGTCGCGCCCCAGCGTATCATATGGAGATGCGTGTATTGGTGGAACGATTGACAAAACTTCTTCAAGAGCTTCTACGCGTATCCGGTGAGGCTCGGGAAGATCACTTTCTGGGTCTTCCTCGGCCCCATCCAGTTCTGGATGTTGTCGATGCTCTTGTTCAACTGATCATCAAGGCATCCCAAAGCTCTGAGGAATTTGTCATGTATGCTGTTGAACAGATCAGCGGGCTTATTTTCCAACAAGTCGAGGATAATCTGTCACTCGAGAGCCTGGTACATGTGCTTGAGACAGTCAGGAAGATTTCCGGTCCTACCGTCAATACTCGCGTCCGTGCGTTGTTCAGCCAACAACCTGGCCATACTTACCTCAACCTGCCATTACTTGCAGCGCTGATACGCACTGACTTGATCGATTGGAAAATCGTTGACCAGACTTTGTCGAGGGCCTTAGACGCGCGCAAGGAGGGCTCACTAGAATTTTTGGAACATGTCCTGGACCTTGCTCTCCTCAACAACCGCCCGATCGCGCTCTTCACCGACTTCGTTCGAACCCTTGAAGCAGGATGGACTTGGATCTCTGAGGATCCTACCTCGGGCCCCGGTCAGCGACTGAAGACGAAACTTATCGGCCCGGGAGTATCTCAGCCTCCTGAGGGCGAGGATCCAGCTGCATATCGACGCGACCAAATGGAGTACGTATTTGAGGAATGGGTGTATCTCTGCAACAATTATAATGCTTCAGGAAAGGCTACCCACATCTTCATCCAGCAGATGTGCGCAAAGCAGGTCATCCGTGACACAGACGATTTCTTCCAGTTTATCCGCATCGCTATCGATATGTCGGTGGATCGCTTCGAGCAAATGCTGCATAATGGCAACGTTGCGGATGCCTATACGATGGTGGATGCTCTTGCCACAATGATCAGTATCTTTATCAGCGCATTCCAAGAAGCTCCATCAAGGACAAGCTTCGTGGACTCGGTTCTGGCACTGATTGGCCTTGTGCTCAACCATCACCAGGTGACACGCGGCGATCAAATGAACCAGCGTGTCTTCTTCCGCTTATTCTCGATGCTCCTACATCAATTGCTTACTATTACGGAAGAAGTGTCAGACGACGAACGCAGGCAGATACTCCTCAAGTTTGCGGCCAGGTTTGCTGGATTGGGACCAATAAGAATCCCAAGCTTCACTTATGGCTGGCTTTTGCTCATTCAACACCGAGCATTCCTCCCCACGATTCTGCAGATGCCGGACAACGAGGGCTGGACGCCTTTTGCCAATCTCTTGGTCCAGTTGCTGGAATGCCTCGGTGAACAACTCAAGGCGGTTACTGTTTCGCCCGTGGCAAAGGACATTTACCGGGCGACATTCAAGCTTCTTGTCATTCTACAGCACGATTTCCCAGAATTTCTCAGTGCAAACCACATCAAGCTGTGCGCCAGTATCCCTCCGCACTGCACCCAGTTGATCAACACGATTCTCGCAGCCAACCCTCAGCAAGGTTTGAGTAAGATGGACGAGGCAAGGGCGGCTCATGACTCGGCAGAGGAAGCAACAGATATACTACGAGAAGTAGGCCTACTTGATATGATCGACCAAGCTCTCGACAAAGGTCCTTCGGAAGACGTCGTCGCACAAATTACCCACACAATAACGTCCGGCAACGGACAAGACACAAGCTATGGGTACCTTCCCGTCACGGTCAATGCACGTGTAGTCGGCGCAGTGGTCATGCATATCGGCCAACATGCTGCTGACCGCCTCCCAAGGGCAGGTGGTACGCCGAGCTTCCAGGGTGGAGAGCCTGAAGTAGCGATGCTTTCTTTGCTGGTTCACGAGGTTCCAGCAGTTGCGCGATATTATCTTCTTGCAAACGTTGCCAATCATCTCCGGTACCCGAGCGCCTCTACCGACTTCTTCAGCTCGGCCCTCCTTCATATCTTTAGCAAGGACATGGATGATCCTGAAGAGACGGAGATTCGACAAGACATTACGCGAATCCTGTTGGAACGGCTTTCAGGGTTCTGGCCACAGCCATGGGGGCTCATGTATACGGTACTTGAGCTTCTCAAAAACGAGAAGTACCAATTCTTTGACTTGCCGTTCATCAAGGCCGATCAAGAGGTTTGTTCCAGGCTTTCTAATTAATCCCGTAGCGGGTGCTAATCGTGATGCAGGTCACCGAACGATTCGTTTCTATTTTGCAGCGGGGTTAGGCATCCTCCTCAGATGACTTGGACATATCGTTATTACTTTAAGCTAGCATGATTATCTTGGGCTGGCATCACCATAATTCGCCTGTCTCTGAACATTACACCCCTTGCAGGCTGATGGGGGGAAATCTCCTAGAGATCCTAGGAGGAATACTATAAGAACACCAAAAGTATGTCATTCGACACACAACTACAACAATCGATCTATACGCCTGGTCACAGCGAGAAAACTGTGAACCAATGACGAATTGTTTAAGGGGGAAACAAGCGCATGGCACTCAATGCCATGTACTGTAATATTCTAATGGTTGTACGATACGTAAATACAGTTGCATTGCGGGTTGGTGTTGAGCAAAAATTCACGGCGAATGGGTTGGACATGGGGATGGCGCTAATTAGAAGGCTCAAAAATAAATATAGCACCTCGTATTATGATGACAATTTTACAAGTCTCATTGATTCGTGTCTCATTCATGCTAATAAGCTACATGGTAATTCGAAATAGTCGTCAGTCGAGGCATGCATATTTCCAGGTTCATGTCCCATCCGTTTAAGGCCTCAATCCAGATCAAGCCCTCATCAGAGCGAGATAAAGCCATGCATGACTTGGGTGGCCGTCCCAGCCAGTCTCACTTGATCAACAACGTCATTCTTCAGGTCAACCTCCACCAAGATGTTGCTTTCCCTGCCCATCTCAACACCCTGGGTGATCTCATACTGGATGGTGCGATCCCGCTTGTCACCCGAGTGGAGAGCCAGGTAGGACCCCAGAGCGCAGGAGGCGCTGCCAGTGGCGGGATCTTCAAAGGTGCCCGCCATCATACGCGAGCGGAGGAGGACCTTGCCGGGGCCCTCGTCGAGGATGACATAGTAGAGGCGGCAGATGAAGCCGTGCGTGAACCCGGGGTCGATGAGCCTGTCCTGGGGGAACTTGGCGGGGCTGAGGGTGACCTGGGAGAGGAGCTCGAGGCTGGCGAGGGGCACGAGGATGAAGGCCAGGCCGTCGACGAGGCTGAAGATGGGGGCGCCCAGCTCGGCCTCGCGAATCTCGGGCACGGCGGACAGGTCGCCGGGGGAGAAGGAGGGGAGGCTCCGGAGTCTGGCCTGGTGGAGGTGGACGTCGTGCGGGATGGCTGCCTGGACGGTGCCGGGGATAGGCTGGGCGAGGGCGATGGGGCCGGCCTTTGTGATCAGGGTGGTGATGCCCCTGGGCAGCAGCGAGACGGCGGTGCCGATGGTTGGGTGGCCGGCAAAGGGCACCTCCTGGTCGGGCAGGAAGATCTCAATGTGCCGCCGCTGCCCGCCGTCGCTGCTGCTGGTGCCCTGGTCATCCCAACCGGGGGTTTCCTCGTGGACGAAGACGGTCTCGCTAAGGTTGAACTCACGGGCGACGGTCTGCTTCTGCTGGGTGGTGGGCTTGGGATGGGTGCCCTTGGGGATTGTGACGACAGCGAGGGGGTTCCCCTTGAAGCGCTCCCTGGCGAAGACGTCAAGCGTGACGAATGGGAGTTCCAGGCCCATCGTGCCGGAGCTGTAGCGCGGGACGCTTGCGATAGCCTGGCCGAGGTGCAAGGCGGATTGCGTAGTAGCGCTGCCTCGCAGGTGCCAGGGACGACTGACTCGGCAGAGTTTGGATCTGCAGGCTGGGCCAGGAATGATTGCGCGCCGAAGTGACATGCCCTTAGCTAAGCCAAAGTCTGTTTCGTTTCAGCTGTTCGGTGCGAAGAGAGGATTGAGTGAGGCCATCGCTGCAAATTGCTTTCCCTCGCGATGTGCGGGGAAGTCGCTGAACTATTTTTCTTGTTGTTTCCCGTTTGGCTCATGCGCATGTGTTGCTGCAATCCAATTCAGATCTATCTAGATACATATGTACGAGTGAGACAGCATCAATGCGCTCACCACTGCCGATCAGGTATTTAGGCGGCTGTTTTACAGACGATGTACGTAGTGGGCTGCTTCTAGAGAAAGTGGGTGAGGCCTGGAATCACCCATGTGAGACCTTATAGCTCTCCCAATTAACACCCAAGTCAAGACTCAGATTTCAGGGGACCAGATTGTGGTGAGATAATGTTACTCCTCAACCTGTGTGGTTTCACCCTCGGCGACCTGCATGCCTCCGTACTCAGCAGCCCCTGTTGGGCGGCTCGCTCTCTAGCATGCGGCGCATAGACGGTAGCGCACGGGGATCCTGGGGTTCTGGTCCGGGCGGCTGGTCGCAGTTGATGATGGATGGGAGAGCATCGAGATGCGTCGCGTCACCTTTTGATGTCATACCTTCTTGATGACACTATAGGTGTCGCTGTGCACATGTAACATCGAGCACGGCGGTGGGACAGAAGGGGGGAACTAAAGTAACAGCTAACCATTGAACTTGCCGCATTGGGCATGTAGAGGCTAATTAGCGTTAAGCTCTCACAGTGGTGGTCGCGTGGGTTTGTGAGATCAGATCAAACCCATCTCGCTCGTGGCCAATCACCACGCGGACGAACGAGTAGAGTTTTGACGGTGTAGAATGGGAAGACCATGGACCGAAGGAGGATGGAGGGTGCCCAGAGACAGGAAGCAGGAGGAAGCAGATGCAGCCGCAGGTGCAGATGCAGACGATATGAGCGCGTTTGCTGTTGGCGGTCAGCGGCCCAAGCGACACGGAAGAGGCATAAGCGTCGTCCATTAGGCAGGCTGACCTCCGATCAGACACTTTTTTTCCCCTCGGGGGGGCCCTGTCTGTCGCTCTGGCAGTCCTTTGGTCTGTAGGAGCATGTAATTATTATGCGGGTAAAGTTGATTTCATGTATGTGATAGGCAGTGCGGGACTCCTCACCCCCCTTATTACTGGATGAAGACGGTGTGGGACAGACCCGTTCGCCTGTTGTGCTTTGCGGAGAGGGGTCTTCATTCGTACGATTCCTAACTTCAATGGCCGGGGCCTTGCGAGTTGCCTGGAAGTCAAACTGCATGATGCAGCTGCAACAAGGGCGACCTACGAGCTGCATGGTGGTGTGGAGAGACTGACTGCCTATGCCTGTGTGTGTGTAAGTCAGGAATGTTGGCTTTGGTGTCGAGAAGGACAAACAAGCAAGGCCTGGCAGGCAGGCAGGCTCCTGCGGGCAAAGAGTCGCCTCATCATTGATTCGCTGCACACCCACACGGCAATCCAGCTTGAGACCATCACCATCAGGCTTTCGCCCACTGAGGTCACAAGCACAGGCAGCAGTGCGAGAGTCGCCATCTCATTCGTCCATAGAACGAGCGGGAGTCACCATCAGACAAGGCAGCAGTAGGCAGGCTATCACGAACGGCTGACGGCATGAAGTTCGGTGGTAGAAACCTAGAGCATCAGAATGTCTCGGTGGCAGTTACAGACAGGCGGATCTGGCCTCGAGCGTCCGTCAATCGGGAGCATGTTGCCACGGCGAATGAGAAGCATCCACCTTGGGCTCCAGCCTCTCATCAAAAGGCGGTGGACTTTTCTGCCCGCCCTTTGTTTTTTTTTTTTGGAGGGGAGCGACTTTTGGGGTCGCTTGGACCCTTGCACACCAATGCAGGGAACAAGGGGCTAGTACTCCACCTACGACGTACGAGCAGGGGGTACATAGCGGGATGACTGACGCAGTCACACACCACCCGTTTGACCACTCCACCCGCTACTCAGACAGCGCCAAAAGGCCAAAGGGAAAAAAAAGTGTAAANNNAAAAAAAAAAAAAAAAAAAAAAAAAAAAAAAACGAGAACACGGCAAATGGGCAGGCCACTTCCTTCGCTTAACTCGTCTGGGAATAGACCCATCTACTGAGGTGGATTCGAGTGGATTTTAATACGTAGTAGTAATTTTTATGTATCAGTTCTTACTGGCTCCCCCATTGTATGTCTGCTTTTTGGTCGATTCAATCGTTTCTTCTGCCGCTGTGTATGTCATTCGATAGCCATTTGCTTGTTCAATTGGAGAGGAGCAATGTGTCCTGCCCTCGAGCCGACATCTACGCTACGTTACGGTAGCGGCATGGCTCCAGATGGGCGTCACCGCATGGTAAGACGACCCTCGAGCTCTCGACGTCGAGACGCACATAGCAGACGTACGGCCGACGCTGGCTGCTATTGTATATCGTTCCCACCCCCACCCCCGTTTGCCATTTCCCTTGGCGACCTTGCTTGCATGTTATTTCGGCGACGACAAATTAATACCTCTTCTCTTACCCATCAGTCCTGGACTGCCAGTTGAGCGGTGGAGTCGCATCTTATTTGCAGAGACCTGATGCCCGTAACCCTCCGCAGCTGGATGTAATAGCGTGGCTCCTCCGCCGGGCTCCTCTAGGCTGGGCCGACTAGAGGTGACACCAGCAAGGGAAGCTACAGGGTCCTGGCCTGGAATGCGCCTCCCTGCCCAGGTCGTGACGCCGCATCGGGAGGGAAGGAGGGTGGCCGGCCTGCCCCACCGACGTCTAAGTGGCCCACATCGGAAGCCATGCAATACCGGCAGCCAATGGGAACCCTTGGAATGGTGAAGGGTAAAAAAAAAAGTTCGAAGCTCTCGTGCTTGAATCGCTCGCCTGAGGTCTTGCCTGATATCCCCGGCTACCCTTAGTCGCCCTCCCCAAACAAATCCCCCTACCGCCTGCATCCCTCCAACCGCCTCATTCCCCCCCCAAGCCGTTGTTTGTTGTTCGACGTTGCTTGTCAATCATCGTCATCTGCTTCATCTTCCACTTTCCTTCATCTCCATACCTTGCTTGTCCTTCGCCCTCGCCCTTCTCCGTTGCCCACGCCCGTACACCCTGGCACCTGCGCAACATCTCCCCGGCGACTACGGACAGGTACATCATCACCACCCCACGGTCATCCATCACTCCGCCCGCCTTTTGCCTCATCCAATTGTCGCGAGCCTGGTTGAAGAACAATACTTTCGATTTCTCCCGTCGATACTGTCCAGCCTATACACATACCTCCTAGATAGTCAGATACATCGTCGTCGCCATGCCTTACAATACTCGTCGCAAGTCGCTCTCCCTGCCCAGTCTGGGCATTCACATCCCCGTCACCAATGCCGCTCGAGCTGCGGCTGCTTCCAAGAGCGCTGGTCGCCCATCCTCAGCCTCAACATCGACCTCGCGCCCATCGTCGTCTTCGCGGTCGCAATCGCCCGATTCCCATGCAAACAAGCGCATCAAGCGGTCGCACGCCTCGTCTGACTCTGCCATCATCGAGACGACCCCTCCCCCCTCCCCAACACTTGCCACTAGTGTTGAATCAGCCAACGAAGACGCAGCACCACCCAAAATTGATCTCGAGAGCATCAACGACGATATCGTCGAGGCCACGGTTAGCCAGCTCCAACAGACTGCAAACCGCCCTCATCTTGTCAAGGACCTCGCCACAGTCCTGGCCCAAAGATTATCCTCAGTACAAAAGTAAGCCATATTATCCCTCTCTCCTCTTACACCGCATGTCTCAGGTGCTAACATATCCACAAAGCTCCGCGAACCCTTGCGCCATCATTTCCTCACGCTTGGCCTCTTACATGAAGAGATCCTGCTGGAGCGCCCTTACTCCATGCCCTCTGGCCAAGGAGCTTGAAACTGTTCATCCTCGTCGCACATACTATTTCCTCACCACCTTCCCCAGACAAGCACTCCCAGAGTCTGGCTCATTACCTGGAATCGATATGCCCGCCGTTGTTACCCCCTCAGTATCGCTGACTGACGATACTGGCTCTGACGACGTCGATGCTCGAAGGAGACAATTGAGCCCTTCGCCAGAAATCGATCTCCCCCCTCCTGACTTTGACGAAGCGCATGACGACAAATTGCCTGCTACTCCCAGTTCATCCATCCCCAAGTACTATACTCGCCACCTAGGCGAGCTTCCCCATGACCTTCCTCCGCTGGAGAAGGATGAACGCGAATTCACACAGACTGCAAACACATTACAGAAGCGCAAGTTTGGCGGTGAGCCCACACTACTTGACTTCTCTGAACGCAGTTTAAACATGGACTACGGTCATCGCGACGACCTCTGGTTTGGAGACAATCTCCAAACAGCTTTTCTGACCAGCCCTGCCATGAAGCCAGTCCACAACCGCAAGGATGATGAGGCGGAAAACTGGCTCAAACTAAACAAAATGTTTGAATGGGATCAGTGCGCTGAAAGCATTGAAATTGATGAACTTGACGGCCTCTGGGAAGGCTGTTAATCTATGGGACTTTGGAGTTTTTAACGACTTGGTTTTTTGGTGTCTTCACCCTTTGGGTCGGCGCAACACGGAGTTATAGGAGCGCTCGCCGCACTGGCGAACTTTGCGACAGAGATGTCGCTCCCGGAAAGGAATGGTCTGGTATTGGAAAAATACATGGCAAGGCGTTAAATTGTAGAAAATAATGTACATTTACTTCATGAGTTTGGGTTCAGCATACAAGAGGGTGGGGGGACAATGGAGATATCCAAAAGATTGATGGATCACGCGAAAGAATGAGATATACTATGCCACTCAGTTCCTTTTCCTTTTCCTTTTCATATTCAGTATCGTTTTCGTTTTGGTATTCGCTTCTCTTTAAATACATTTACATTTATATTACACGCGGCCAGCCTGTCGCCCTGTTGACCAACCATGCTGTGCCCAGTGAGATGCTTCCTACCTATTGAGGGGTAGGGTTCATCTTCAACTCGATCCAGAGGAGTGTTCCCATCTGGAGCAGGAACGGCCGCTCAACCTTGACGACCTCGAGCCCTGGCGTCTTTCGAGCCGCTTCTTCGACCAGCGCCTGAATATCTCTGTTCCACCAACACCCGTACTTCTCGAAGTGCTGCCCGGCGTTGCGGTCCAGAAGCCCGTTCACGATCCCATACCAGCCTTTTCCATGCTCCAGGAGAATGATGCGTCCCGTCCCGGGCTTGACGGCCGTGGCGAGGTTGGAGACGACGGCGACGGGGTCGGAGACGGAGCACAGGCCAAACGTCTGGACGATGGTGTCGTACTTGGGGGCCTCCTCGCGCGTCGGCGGCGGGGGCAGGGGGTTGTGGGCGTCCGAGTGCACCAGGCGGAGGAGCCCGTCGAGGTACGAGAGCTGCCCGCCGTGGCTGCTGCCGGCCATGGTGCGCGCCTTGACGACGGGGGCTGAGGAGGCCATGGGGGGTACGGCCCTGGTGAGCTTGCGCCTCGCGACGTCGAGCATGTCGGCCGAGATGTCCAGGCCGGTGAAGGAGGTGATGCCGCGGGGGTCATCATCGTCGTGGTCGGGGGAGCGGCCGGCGGCGGCGGTCGTGAGGGGCTCCCAGTTGTAGTACTCGAGGTTGCGGCCGGAGCCCATGGCGAGCTCGAGGACGGTGCCGTTGGCGCGGTCGGCGAGGCGGCGGCGGAGCGAGGTGATGCCCATCCACCACTCGGGGAAGTTGAGCTCCTTGTCGAACTGCTCGGCGTTGTCGGCCGTCATGGCGAGGGGCCGGCCGGTGGGCATCTCGTTGGCGTGGTCATGGCTGCAGCAGGGGGTGGTCGTCGACTTGAGGGAGGCCGTGAGGGTGCCGAGGACGTAGAAGCCCATGAGGCCGGCGACGATGGCCGCGCCGGAGAGGGGCAGCCAGGAGGAGCTCCATTGGTCGCGGAGGGTCGGCGGTTGTTGCGGAGGAGGGGGAGGTGTTGTCTTGGCTGGTCGAGGGCGACTAATGTGTACATATAATGTCAGTCATCGGTTCGAGAGGTGTTGTGGGACGCAAGCAACCTACGGCTTATACTCTCTGGAGATGTTCGGAACCGGCTGCTGCTGCTTGACGGTCTGCGGCCGAGCTGGTTTGCGAGCAAGACGAGCCGTCGAGGTAAGGGAACGGCATTGCAGTCGGTGGGAGTAGATGGCAAGGCCTCTGTGTGAAGTGTTCATTGGCGCGGCGGAGGCATAGCCATCGAGGCTTTTTGGGAGGTTTTCGAGATTACCTTAGCAACGAACCGGACAAAGCAAAATTTAGTGAGCACATTTCCCCAGCCGCTATGAGCACCTTTTTTTTTTTTGGTCCCCCTGCCCAGCGGCTTGTGACAGGTGCACGGGCGGATCTCAGATCCGATTTGATCCCTTGGATCGTGGGCCAATCATGTGGCGCCCAGACGCCTGTAGGGGTAAGGTTCCAGCAGGCGTGCACGATTTCCAGGCCACAAGCGAGTCCCGTTCGATAGGCTTGATGGGTTACATCTCCCATGCTTCGATCAGATTGTCGAGGGAAGATCACCCGACAGGTGACGTGCGCATGCATGCACTGCATATCTTTTCGTATTCCCCTTTCATATTTTATAGGGTTTCAGTTATGCGCATCGATGCAATATGTTGATTCCATTTTATTAATGCCTGGTATGCCGATTCCAATGAACCTTGGTGTGGATGTGGCTTGCTTCCTAATCCAGGCTGGCGCAGCTACCGACATGCGAGGTTCGGCAACCGGTTTCTCTGTCCTGTGGATTTTTATGCCGTTCCTTTAGGGCGATCATCTTCGACTATTGTTCTCTTGGTGATTTTCACAGTTTCTTGATTGCCACGTTGCTGTTGGTTGGGTTGAGTTTATTTCCTCTCAGCTGATAACTGTAAACTGATTGAACAACCCGATCGAAATGAATGACAATAAAGACATTTTATACATCAATAGCAAAAAAACACCATGAAACGTACGATAATATTACCTAAGGCATATTGAAAATCCAAGTTGATTGACACTCCTTTGAGACATCAATTACAGTCACCATATACCCATGATCGATAGAGGTTTCTGATGGTTGACGCCGAGGTATAGGTTAGCAGACAGTGCATTTTTCCCATCATCGCAGCCCACACAGTCTTCTCATCTCGACCAATTCCGTCCAACTACCCTGCAGCAGAACGGAGAAACTCATCCATCGTGCACGTCAGGATATCTCATCGAGTTCACTTCCTGGGATCGTTTACTTGACATCCTTTCGACGATTTTACACTGTCATATCTGGCGCGTCTTGCTTCGCCATGGCTGGGCAGGCTGATCTACAGGAGCTTTTGCGGATATTCACTGCACGCAAGGTTCCGATGCTGGGTGCCATGCGACATGTTCAGGCTCTCCAGTCCAAGAACCTCAGAAGGTAGGGACGCCACGGACTAACGACATGCAAACCGGAGGAAGTCGCGCTAACAGCCACCGTGAAAGTATCGAGCAGATCGCGGAAGCATCCGTGGCGGACCTTGAAAGCGCCCTGGGGGATGGAAAGCTCGCCAAGAGCGTGCACGCGGCGTGCAAGGCGCATGGGAAGAAAGGTAAGAGGGAAGCAGACGAGAGCGCGTCGGCGCCAGCCAAAAAGCCCAAGCTGGTGGCGCATAAACGCGACCTAGACTACAGCGCCATGTCGTCGGATGAACTGGAGGGCTCGATGAGCTTGCCCCTGGAGGAGGATGAGGCGGTGATACGGGGCACCACGGTCATCACCAACAGAGCCCCCCTGGTGCTGGCCTTCGCAGTGGCACTGCTGGAATTCACAATGGCAGAGCAGCCCCCCAGCAGTCGCCTCAGTCTAGCACAGGCTGTGGTCAGTGCAAACTCCAGGTCCAAGGCGGTCTCTATCGGCATCGAGAAGCCACCCACCGCGGCGCAGCAGGTATCTGTGTCCGAAGGCCAGCCCAAAGTACGCGTCCTGGGGAGAATGCTGCCTGTGCTTAAGAGGTCCGGATACTCATGGAAGGGAGCGACATCAGAGGCTGGAACATCTTCTACTGCATCACAGCCCAGCGCATCAAAACCAGCACCAGCCGAGTCTACTTGGAAGGCCAGTCAGAAACTATTATCAAAGGGGTCCACATTCATTGCGCATGCTACACCATTGTCGAGCCCAGGCGCTCGGCCGGAGTTGTTCAAGGCGCTGATGGCCCAAAAGCCAGAGCTTGAGACAGCTACGCATAATGCCTGGGCGGTCCGGACTAGCTTTGGAAATTCACCTCTTGTACAAGACGCGTCTTTCGATGACGGGGAAAGTGGATGTGGAAACTTTTTGCTTCAGATCATGAGAGAGGCAAACATAACCAACACCATGATCGTGTTGACCCGTTGGTATGGGGGAGTGATGCTTGGTCCAGATCGCTGGAGGTTGATGCGCGAGGCCACAAATGAAGCGCTCTCGGCACAGCGGCGGATAACCACGTTTTCTAGAGAACCAGTCTGGGCGCTCGATGTGGCCGACACAAGTCCGGTAACATCGACTATAGGAATGGCCATCCACCGACCCGAGGGAGCACGTAACTATCTTCTACAATCATTCCATACACCAGAACCCGACGATGGTGGTGCAAGTGCGGGCAAGAAGACGACGGCGATGATGAAAGCGGAAAAGGAGGAGAACCTGGGCCGTCTTTTAGGTGCCTTGCGTCTACTATTCGCAAGCTGGGCAAATGTGCTCAGCGCGGATGATTTGGATAAAAGAGCCTGGTCGTGGTACGTGTCTGTGAGGCCCGAGGTGGATTCCGGGCCATCGGGTTGGGGTGCTAAAGGGCCACTGCAATTGGACAAGATCCTAGATTTACGGCGGAGGTAGTTGATGCATACTGCAGGAACGATCTACAAAAGATTGACTCATCTACATGTCTCGGGAGGGTTTCCCAATAGTACATTTGTGTTTCATCCAAAGTGTTTCTCACGCCGTGGCTGTTAAGGCTGTTTATCGATAAGTGGTTTGGGTGTGCACGCGCCAAACACGCGCTTCATTGGCCTGTCGTTGTCGCGCTTGTTTTCTTTGCGGAGTTCAGCTGTAAACATTGAGCGCCGGACAACGACTTGACAACAGCGACAAAGCGTCTTGAGGAGAAGAGATAGAAGCGAATCTCGCTCGCCAGCTCGCCGCCCTTTAGATCGGAAACCAGCGGATCGTCATATTTCGCTTTTCTGTTCCTGCATCTCGTTCACAAGGATCCAGGGACCCCTCCGACCACCCCACTACTGCCCACTAAGTCGGTAACCCCTCCACAGACCGTGGTAGAGAAGGCTTTTTGTGTTGACAATCCTGGAATTTTAGCCCCATTGGTCTCGGTGACGAAACGTACTCGACGATCACGACAGAAAATCCTACCGAGCGATTATTATACTTTTCTCTACATTGTCTGGAAGGAACTGGCATCACCATGGAGAACTACCAGAAGTTGGAGAAGGTCGGTGAAGGTTAGTGTGTCGAACCCGGAATATATGCTTTTAAATCGTCCTTCTTCCACCTACTAACATGCGGTGCTCTTTTTCTGCTGAAAATAGGTACCTACGGTGTTGTCTACAAAGCCCGGGACCTTGCGCACAACGGCCGGATAGTGGCGTTGAAGAAGATCCGACTTGAAGCAGAAGACGAGGGTGTCCCGAGTACCGCGATCCGTGAGATCTCTCTCCTCAAAGAGATGAAAGACGTCAACATTGTTCGCCTATTCAACATCGTACACGCCGACGGTCATAAGCTATACCTTGTCTTCGAATTTCTTGACCTCGATTTGAAGAAGTACATGGAGGCGCTACCTGTCAGCGACGGGGGTCGCGGGAAGCCGTTGCCAGAGGGCTCTTCTGCCACGGTGGCGAGCTTGGGTCTGGGAGAGGGAGTTGTCCGGAAGTTCATGTGGCAGCTGTGCCAGGGAATCAAATACTGCCACTCCCACCGAGTGCTCCACCGCGACTTGAAGCCTCAGAATCTGCTGATTGACAAGGAGGGGAATTTGAAGCTGGCCGATTTTGGACTGGCGCGCGCCTTTGGTGTGCCATTGCGCACGTACACTCATGAGGTTGTGACTCTGTGGTACCGAGCGCCAGAAATTCTTTTGGGAGGAAGACAATATTCGACCGGAGTAGATATGTGGTCCATCGGCTGCATCTTTGCCGAGATGTGCACTCGAAAACCTCTTTTCCCGGGTGATTCTGAGATTGACGAGATTTTCAAGATTTTCCGGTAAGTGAGGGCGGTGGTAACGGCGGACGTCAAATGTGGCAGGTTCTTGTTCCTACGTATACTGACTTGTCACAGCATTCTTGGAACTCCTACGGAAGATGTCTGGCCTGGCGTTACCTCATACCCAGACTTCAAGTCGTCCTTCCCCAAGTGGGAACGTAACTTCGACAAGCCCCTCTGCCACAGCCTTGATGATGCAGGTCTTCATATGCTTGAAGCCATGTTGGTATATGACCCTGCCGGTCGTATGTCGGCCAAGCAGGCTTGCAACCACCCGTATTTCGAAGAGTACTTAGCCGACCTGCCACCCACCACTAGCAGAACAAACGGGTACCATTAATAAAAGCAACCTGTTAAGATAGCTGATTTCTTTCCAATTATTCAGAGCCCTGGTACACACTACTCACTGGGGATGTATGTTGCATTCGGGCGTTTGCGATGGACTATCATTTAGCTTTCAGGATATGTACAACAGGCACTGACGACTTGGGCTCGGCTGGACGAGACGGCTGGCTTTTTCGTCAATATTTGCTTGCTAATAATCTTAATCGTGACGCTATAATCAATATCAAGAAAGGGGCAAGCAAAAAAAAAAAAAAAGACCAATGAATCTCCTGGCTTTGTCAAATGAGCCTCAGGGGAAGTGGATGTGGAACATCAGACGTTCGATAAAAAGAGCGGAAACAGTTAAGCACTGCAGTTGTAGGTGCTCCTTTTACTAACTTGTCAACACCTCGAGCGTTTCTTTTTTCAGGGTCGGGAGAGGAGAAGGGGTTTGGACGTCAAGGCTGGTTTGGTTGATGGTTTGCTTCAAGGGTACTATTTCCTTTGTCTATGATTTCCTCTCCAAAGGGGCTCCGGCATGACACAGGCGTGATGATAATAGTACATAGACGGCACCAAGCCACGACGGGATATAATTACATCGGACTACTGCGATTCATGATGCCAAAAACAGGTGATCCAGGGCGCTTGGGACAGCTGATTGCGGTGTTGTTCCTGGCCAATCGCCCAAGGACGGAAGCGCTAGGCCGACGCCAGGTCGGGAAGCCAGATATTCCCATTGGGCCAAAATAGAAGTCAGCAAAAAATCCAATCTTATGGGATCAGGTAAGGTAAGGTAAGCGAGCGCGCTTAGCAAGATCCAATCTCAGTTCAGTTCTATTCACGGCAGTCCGGGGGTAGGGGGGGCATGGCAGAGATGGACGGGCCCGTTCTAAATCTGCTCTAGAAGATTGCCCAAAGCTTCCATTTCCGCGCTTGCTAGACGCAGCATTATTTTGGTAAAATGAGCAGAAGCATGGGCGGGTAGTCAAGGGGCCGCGGTTCCTGAAACTCCGCGCCTAGCTAATTGGCGTTTAACGGCCAATGGGCTGACGCTGTTTCTGCAATGCACGGTTAAATTTGGAACTTCTACAAGCGCCGTCTCCACTCTAATGGTGACCTTCAACAATTTGCTGTTTTCGGTTATTATGATTGCATGGCTGGCTTCATTTTCATTCTGTGATTTCCCAGGCCGAGAATAGCACTGAGAAGCCTGTCCAAGCAACGGTGGGATTTGCAGAGATTTTTTCCTTGGGCTCTCTGCATTCTTCCGTTCTGGAAGAAGAAGAAGCTGTAGACAAGAATAAACCAGAGGCGGCGCCGAGACATTGCCCCCACCCATGGCAAACGGGTGAGTGCACTGAGCATCTGGAGGCGGCGAGATGTTTGCCAGCCACGAGTTTCATCCGCCTCAGCACAGCATCAAAACAAATCTCATTGTGTTTGTTTTGATTTTTCCCCTTTTGGAGTTTTCGGTTCGACAACGAACTGCCGGTGCGTGCGTGTCTGTGGCTGGGCGTGGCAGGCGACCGACCTCCGATGGGAAACGGGAGGCTTGTGTGGAAAAACTTTTGGGCGGCAGAATACCAGAGGGCAGGACTAGGTGACGCACTGACACATGGCGAAAGCGGTTTGGTTTTCGGGCCCTATTTTGCTGGGCCCTAGAGGCCCAGGCATTGACGACCGTGCTGTTTGACTGGCCCACGTCGCCATCACGCTGGCGGTGGCGGGTTTGTAAAACAGAGCATGTGTTGGGTTTGTCCGAACATCAGATCACGAGACGATCGACCAGGTTTGAGGACAGGGAGGGACATTGTGATCGGCTATCGTGATCCGCGGTTACATGTCCGCGGCACGGGCTTTCTGCACTAAGTGACCATCGCTGCGGACCATCGCTGCGATGCTATCCTCCTCAATCGAATGATGCTCTGCTGTGTTTTCAGTCTCGACTCACCGGCCCCGAAAAGCCACGGGCAATTTCTATGGGGCTGCGAGCGGCCGAGCACCAACCCCACTATAGCGGGTTCGACCCAGTGCATTCCATGGCCAGCAAGCGTGGACAAGGAATGCCTCACCAGCGGGACGGACGGCAGCGAGTAGCTACCGCTCCTCTGGAGAGCCCAAGCCGACCTTTTGCACATGCTTTCCAACCAGTTGACGCTGGTCGGAGCGCATTCCCCGCGGCCTTTTCGCAGCGCACAAAGGACGGCGAATAGATCTCCGCCAGGTGGGCGGGCAGCCAAGCCACATGCGGCCTCAGCTCTCCAAGGGCGAACGGCAGCCACCGAAGCCACTGGGCGGCCACGCGTCTCGCTGCCGAACCAGCCATGGTTGGGTGGCAGCGACGGCGCGCGTTGGCGAAGCACATTTTCACGTTCGGTACCACGTATAAGCTGCTGACCCCGACGGTAGTGGTGTCCCAGGGCTGAGGTAGCATCACGTATACGTGCCAGCCTCACCCGCTGAGCCTAAACCTGAAGCGGGCGGCAAGCTGCCATCGAAAAGGACATTTTCCTATCTGGAAGCGGAAATTGACCTGGGCAGCGCTGCAGTCTGGAACCGACAGGCGCGTATGGGCTCCTTGGTACGTACTACGTAAGCAACAGGTTGCAATGCAGCCCGATTAGGCGGGCGGGCCTGGTCGACCGACCGAGGGGGGGCCAAAGCGTTCCGTATCCGCAGCCCTCGATGGTAGGTGGGCAGGTCCCCGACCCGATCAAGGAATTTAGATTGCAGCTTGGGTTTTCCTTTGGTCGGCTGGCCCCGTTTTGCTCCTCGCCGGGCTGGAGCAGGGATCTGACCGCTGGGCTGCGTGATCTCGCCTGGTCGGTTGCCTTGCCCTTCCAGCTGACCCCACTGTTACCTAGCGTCAACACCCGCCCCAGCTCTTGGGAGCCGAGCTGAGATGGAGAATGAAGCATCGCAAGGTATGCTGGTAATGGGCCGCTAGAGATGGCATCAGAGCTGTCCAAGCGTCTGGATAAAAGCCGGCCGGCCGTGGCATCAGGGCAAGGCTAGGAAGGGCTCTATGGAGCTGGTCTTCAAGGGAACGCTTAGTGGCTCGCGCAGGGTTAGGTATCGAAATCCAGAGCCACCCTATAGCGTTCACATGTGAAATGGAGCAGAAGGAACGAAGCCGTGAATCTATCACGGGGCCCGCTGCGAGTGGTTGGGCTCACTTGTGAAATTATGTTTCTGGTCCCCTCCACATTCTGATTTCCTGTGGCTGGCGCGATTGCTCGGTGTCCAACAGGCTGATGGGGCGAGACATGCCGCAACGAGGTGGGTGTGCATTGGCAAAGAAGCAGTCACTCTGAGACATGGAGCGCAATAGCGCATACCTACTCTGACATACATATGTACTCATATGAGGGGTGAGAAACAATGTTGCTACCGCTAATGCCTGGATGCCTATCACGCCTATCACTCGCAGGGAAATTCCCTCCTGACGAGATAATTAATGGCCGGGACATATGTGTGATCGCTGGCATGACCAGCCCTTTGGGTAGCTATTTGCCCGAACTGGTTGACGTGTAATGGGGTTGAGCCGGAAGGGCTGCAGAGCACTGGCCATTCATACGATTAACGTTTCGCCTGTGTGGCTGGCCCTCGCCAGATACCAATCAAGGCGAGCGACCCGATTTCGAGGCCCAATAAGCTTTCCGCGCCCGCGACTGAGGCTTGGAATGAATGAGCGGCGCATTCTGGACGAAACGAGGGGTCCAATAGATCGTCATCGTCTGGACCTCTGCAGAGCAATCCAAAACCCCTAAACTGGGGAAGCCAGCGCCACACCGAAGATCCAGGAGAACTTGGTGGAGGGAGGGGCCACCTGTCAAATCCGGGTTAGCTGTACAGATTCGCTGGTGTGCCTTCCGTTTGGGGTCAGGCATCACTGGATGGCGGTATGGACATGAGATAATGGTTCTTTGCATGCCGCACAGCCCCCCTGTGCGAATTGGGTGGGATAGGGGAGCGTTTGGAGGCCTTAGTGTTTCAGTCTTGTAGGGCGATTTGACATATCACGACCGTGATAGACCAAAACGAGTCCCACTCTCTAGGTACATGTGCAGCAGGTGCGTTTGGGATGGGCGACCGGGGATGGTGAGAGACTTTGCAAATGGCCGTCATGAAGAGACAGTCGTTGCACGGTCAAACTATCCATTTGAGATTTCTGGTGAGCAGGAGTCTATCTGCACGATATTTCATGCGCGGCACAGCTTGCGAGGGCGTCGTCTCAGACGGTAGTTGCATCAGCCCAGGGTTAGTTAAGTTAATGCTTAATGCTGATGCTCTATTGTACATACCCAATCCAGCGAACAGACCCATGACCACAAGCCCAGCGGAGCAGGTGATCGAGGTACCTCGAGGTTTGTTATGCATCGCCCAAGCCGAGCACTGCTGCATCTGCCGCAAGATGAAACAGGGTGCGAGATTTCACAGGACCACGACGACACCTGGGGGCCTCAGTGTGGTCTTTTTGCTCATCTTTTTCCTTGGCTTGTTTTTCTTTTTTCCGTTTTGTTGATCTCGGGCCAGCTGTCCCGCGGCAGGCCACAGCTCAGGCGGCCAGCTTCGTGCAATGTTTGAAAATAGGCACGCATAGGCTTGCAGGTACGAGAGGGCGCCTAGGGGCTATCTTTGGGCATCTCTCAGGGAGCAGGACCAGTCATTGGCGGTTGCTTGACGCCCACTGCGAGCTTTCTGGTGGGCCGCTGGTCGGTATGCGGTTAAACGCCCTGTCTTGAAATGCGCCGCCAGCTGTTTCAAGATTAGAAGTCGGCGGGCCAATGGGAGGGGCTCCTGCCCCTTCGGGCCCCTGCCCCGGGGCCACAGCTCAGCGTAGAGCGGTGACCTGTGGGTGGGCAGCACGAACCCCTGGGCTGCCAGTCGACTGGCTGGCAGCGCATCTCGCAGTGCATCGCTGGATTCTCAAACACGGCAGCCGCATCTTGAATGGCTGACGACTTCGATGCTCACCAAGCCAGGGGAAGCGACGGCGCGCGCTAGATGAAAGTCCCAGTTTTATCTGCAGTTTGTGTCTCCTTTCGTGTTCCGGGCAGCGATTTCGTAGTGGCTGCGCAAGATATGGTATTGAATAGCATTCAGGGCGGTAGGTATTAAACATTGTGTCCCCCTCCCTCGGGAGCTCAGTCGACCAACACACACCATCGCACTCAGCTTCCTCTCCCACACCCGGAATTCCATCGCTGGACGACTCCTTGCACTCTCCCCTTGTTCTCTCTTTTCGATACCGCTGGCTGGCAATCTTCTGAGCATCGGACCATTGCTGCTACTAGCCCATTTCGGACTCTCCCCCAGTGCCTGGTCGCCCTCGAGTTTTCCGTCGCCACACGCTGTGCACAGGACATAGCTTGCCTGCTTACTTGCCCACATCCCAAAAAAACCGACCTTACATTAGCATTTCCAGACCCATCCCTGGTCCGTCATCACCGTTGATCGCGACGGCTGTTATTCCCCACAGCCATTGCTCACTGCTCACCTTTTCGCCCACCTCCGGACGGTGCCACGGCTGCTGGGTTCTTGCTGTCACCACTCTTTTGGGCCACTTTCCAACAGGCCCTGATTTCTACTTAGGTGGTGTAGGCCCTCCCTCCCATCTTGCCGACTCCCTTTTACTCATCCTTCAATTCCAATCGTCCTGGCGGCGACCATTTTATTTTTCTTCAATTCTTTTTTTACTGTCCTGGTGACACAATCGTTAATTCAACTCCCTTTTTTGTGTTTTTATTTTTTATTATATCGCATTCCTTTCTTTTCAAGCAATACTCTGGATAGTTTGCTTCATATAAAACAATCGGCTGGTCCCGGGTTTCTTCTTAGTGTTTAATACTTGCCAATTCCGGTCGTCGACCACACCAGCAGCAACGATATCTCAAACAGCATCTGCTTCAGATTTCGAGTTGTTAATTGAGAGGATTTTTCGCTTCCAGAAGAGATCCTTCCGACAAAACAGTTAACCAATCCGCTTCAAACGATTCCAAGCCACCATCGCCTAGCTGCAAACCATCGCCAACCCCGAACTTCGGAAGTCAACTCCCCGAAACGGCTAAGAAGGTAGACGGCGTCTAGCTTCCCGTTTGTGAACTCTGTCCGACCGACTCATTCTTGTTGGACGACCTGATTGACTCGTGTGCCTGAGTGATTTTCCTGACTCGGTTTATTTTTTCGCGTGCATCGCCATCATCTTTGCCCAGAAAGCAGAGACGAGAAGCAAGCAAGAAAAGACAAGAAAAGGGTAATTGAATCCGCTGGTACCTGCGCCCAGCACTCTCCGTCAGCCACAACAGCCGACGACAGCACACACGCAATTCGGACCCGTTGAACGATCCGGACCCGCCAAGCCACTGTGGAATTTTCCCGCGTCCAGGCCAGCTGGTGATCGACATTTCAGGCGACTGAACATTCTGGACCCCTGCCGGTCTCTCCGTCACCCCGCCCCTCCTAGTGGTCATTCCCTACGTTCCGCATTCGCACTCCCTGGACTGTGGCACCTGCCGGCTCAGCCTCGTGCAGACTCTTGAACGTAACCCACGCTACACACCCCTTCGCACGCCAGGTGTCTGATATATCAGCGCATTATTGGCTTTCGTGTCTTCGCTCCTGACACATTGTATCTCAAGTTGTGCACACACTCCCGTGCCCTTTTCTCCAAGTACTCCTCCGCACTTGGACAAAAGCCTCCCGCCTCCCGTCACTTACACGGATCTTCCACACCCAATCCTCACAATCACACAAACCGCCCGTCATGGCTTCCAGGCAAATCTCCATCGACGAGCTCAATAAGACTGCTCTCGAGCACTTCGTCTACCAGCCCGTCAACCGTGAGATGATCTCTTATCTCGCCCAGGCCGCTCACAACGTCATCATCTGCGATCCTGTCCCTCCCAGGACCCAGCTCCCTCCCTCCCCTCCCGGTACCCCAGAGTCTGGAAACGAGGAGCCTCAACTGCCAACCCTCGAGGAGTTCATCACCCAGCTTGTTGTCTCCTCCAACGTTCAGGTTCCTACTCTCATGTCCAGCCTGGTCTATCTCCACCGCCTCAAGTCTAAGCTGCAGCCTCAGGCTCGAGGTATCCGATGCACCGCTCACCGCATCTTCCTTGCCGCTCTCATCCTGTCTGCAAAGTACCTCAACGATAGCTCCCCCAAGAACAAGCACTGGGCCAGCTACACCAACATGGCTACTGACTACTACCACTTCGGCTTCAACCGACAGGAGGTCAACACCATGGAGAAGCAGCTCCTCTTCCTCCTCGAGTGGGACCTGAAGGTCTCCGAGCAGGACCTGTACCGTGAACTGGATTACTTCTTGTCCCCTCTGCGCCGCAAGATCAGCGACCGCCATGCTCGCAAGATGGCCGAGCGCGAGGACAAGCGCAGACAGGAGGAGCTCCACGAGGCCGCTCGTCGGTACCCCAGCCCTCCTCGCTCGCGATATGGCGCTTCCATGCACTCCAGGTCTGCTAGTGGTGACTCCATGGGCGCACCCCCCGATCTGGCCTACAGCAGCGATGCTAGCTCTTACGACTCTGATGACAACGACAACTCGTCTCGTGCTAGCTCGCCTGAATATGACAGCCCCCCGGCCAGCTACGACTCTCCAGTCGAGATTGTTATGGATTACGATGTGGGCAAGACCCACGGCCACGAATCTGGTATGCTTCCTTATGAGATCACGGCCGACCAGTACCACCAAATGCAGAGTGAGGAGTCTAAGAAGCGTGCTCCCCCAGTTGTCAAGCGCAGCGTTCTCGGGCGCATCTTGGGCACTGGCCGCTACTAGCCGATGAAAATTCAGTTTTCATGGCTACCTGCAACCTCAATTCTGCATTAAAGTACAAAAAAAGCAAGGCGTTTTTGGGATATCCTGGATTTTGTTAATAGCGCCGCCCCCCCTCGAGGGATAGGCGCGCAAGCTATCGTTTTTGTTTGGCATTTAAAGGTGTTTTTACGTGTGTGGCTTTACCCCCCCTACCAACTCTTGATACAATTTTTCCTTTGTCTACAAATGAGTGTCTACATGACCTGTACTTTGCCGGGTGCGGCGTTTAATTGTTTTGGATACCAGCGAGACGGGCGCAAAGAAGCCTGATCTTGGTCAGTTTGAGCATTGTTTTAGCTTTCATTCTTGTGGATAGTACCAGCTACGAAGGGGGAGGTGTATTGACTGCACCTCCCAATGATAGAATGTGCAATGATTCCAGCATTAGACAGACGGCTTGAGACTTATCGGTCTCAAAGTCACCCTCTATGAGAGATAGATTGTGAGAAATAATGCATTAACGGATTTGGTTACACTTAATTTTTTCTTCATATTGCGGTGTCTTGCCCCTCCCTGTGACAATGATATGACAAAGTGACAGCAAATGACATAGTTGATCACACACGCCCCCCCCTTGTGATGCTGGTGAAATGAACCCGAAGTGATTGACGACAAACCCTTGAAACCTGGACCCGGAGCTCTCTTTCATGCGTGCACACTCATAACCACGCAGACGCATGAACTGACCTCTCCCAACGGCGGGTACATGTGGGGGGTTCAGGTTGGTCAAGGATCCGGCCACCGCGCCCAAGGTCACGTTTGAGGGCTGTTTGGGCCATCCCCCCTCCCCTGTGAGGCGAAAAGGTATCGGGCCGTGACGCAAGCGGTACGTGTCTCGCCGAATGATGGGATTAATTGGGCACTAATAAGTCACCTTTTAATTTTTTGATGGTAGGCAGCAGCATATGCATGTCTTACACCGAGGGCTGGGTGATGAGGGTCTCGGTTTCGGATTTGAGACGTGGGGGGGAAATGATCGGCTCACATTTGGGGCTGGGGACGGTCTGATTTCTTCAACGATGGCAGGTTGTCAGATGAAATGAGGAAGAGTCAGACTGAGATGGAGGGTGGTCGATGTGAAGGTTGGACGGGGCAACCGGAAGGGTTTCTGTTCGGTGACACAGTAGATCATCGCACTAATTACCGGGAGATCGGTTGGCTGTCGACGCCACACGATTGAGAGAGGACGAGTGAAACAGGATGGGATTCAGTTGCGACCTTTGGTCCGTGTCGGCCGAGGTGGTTGTAGATTACACCGAGGATAAAAGCGTGGCAGGTTATTTTGTTGCACTAGATATGTTCTGGTGTAACATGTCTCCCTGAGTCTATAGTTCAAACCGGGGTGACAGTATCACCTTTCATCAATAGTAAGATCTTGAATGTGATGAGTTGGCCGAGGGAAATCCAAGCACATGTGTCACAGGGAATGGTGAAATGATCATTTACGGAAGGGTTCGTATAGTGAGGCTCAACGACTGTCTTTAGCAGTGAACCCGGATGAGAGCTAGACAGACGGACAGGCGAGATGACTGTGTTACCATTGCAGAGAAAATTGAATTATATTGTTAGTGCCTGCTTTCTATGCAAACACCTTTGGTGAAAACGACTTGTAGTTAATAGCTGAAATTGGACTTTGTTGACTTGTTAACCTGACAACTACAGGACGTGACTTTAGCGCCATCTCTTGACCCATGAATACTCTATCCATTGACACCGAATACCCCAAGACAGTTTGCAGCGGTTATATCTGGTGCCTAATCGACATGGATAGTTGAGACCGGCAATGTGCATTGGACGGTTGCCTGAAGTCAGAACTTGCCGCTTTGGTTTCTTGTTGCTCTCGCTAGGCAACCTTGCACGGCTCACACTACCAGGTCGGCCAACTTCTAGCTACCACCTTCCACGATACTCAAATGTGAGGCAAGGAACGCGCAATAGCTACGGTAGCTAAGGTTGGATTCCAAGCCTCTCTTCTCAGCTGAACCTGGTTTCGTCATAGCTCAGCCCCATGGCCTCCAACACCGTCAACGTCGTCTCCCTTGCTGAGGACACCAGGGTACGACGATACTCTGCGCCGCGAGCCGTCTGCCTTCGGTGGAGCTGCCTTGCCGGATAGCTGCTCTCCGGATGCAAGATCATGGGGAAATTGGGCAGTCCGATGTTTAAGGTAGCTCTAGACGAACTGCCTTGCGCATGCCAATTTTAGAAATTAAGCTGTGCTGCTTAGCCTGCTGCGGCTACGTCATCGTCACTCGCGCAAGCTTCCGTGTCCACTCACGAACCCCTTGTACAGCCCTAACTTGTTCCTGGCCAGGAACCGAAGGCGCTATCATCCATCTGCCGAGCACGTATCTGTAATCGCCTCCACATTCCCAGTTACCATCCGTCTCTGCTCAGCACCAGGCTCAGCCACGCCGCTGTTGCGTCGTCAATTGGGCTTCGCCAGCGTGACCGGGTCGATGTCATCCCCCATGCTTACCTTAACCGAGATATCAGATGCGTATAGCTTCCGCAAGAGGCGTCTCGGGTCGTAGCATTCCCCCGCTTCCCGAAGCACCGCCCGGGAGGGGCTCCTGGCCCCGACTCCGATGACTACCTAGGTAACTAACTTCAAGGTTGCCCATAGCCTCGAAGTCTGCGGGCCACTTTCGGCCCTTGGATGGCTTTTCCAATCCCGGTGCCGTATTCGCACATACGACGGCGTGGAAGGCTGAGGTTCTCATCGTACACAGCTAGGTCATCGCATTTGCATTGTTAGGCACACGCCGTCACGATGGAAGATGCACCTGCCGCAGGCCAGGGAGATAATACTTAGTCCTTCATGCATTCAATCGGACCGCTTGTCACTCATCCCATGGCTATCCTTTGATCTCACCTGGGGATGGTGGCTCATGATGTATCTAGCGAAAGCAAAGCCTAGCACAATATGTGATTTTACTGAAAATGCATTGTATTATACACACTAATAAATTGCCTTTGTGAATAGATGCTCTTTAAGATATTTCAGACAGAGTAAATTCTTGTACAAACTGGTCGCAGCCACTTACTGCTCTTGGTTAGAGCTTCGATGGGATTGGCCACTGCTCTCGCGGTAGAGGACCTCCATCATCAACCCTCTCCCTGATCCTTGATTCAGTGTACTATTTTCTGTCAGTGTCATTGCCCCTTTCATTCTCTAGGTAATGCTTACATTAGCCCCGGCACTCTGCAGGCTCAAGAATCTCGGTCGCGTAGCAAGTGGTCCGTCCGGGCGGCCATCATAGAAGCCGTTTTGTTTCCAGTCGCCGTGGCGAAGGGCATCTTCATCATCGAAATCCTCGACGTACTCGTACCTTCGGCGCTCTTCGTCCATGCGGATGGGAGGACGTCCATGATCGGATTCAACAACGTGTCTCTCAAACCGCTCGTCCCTGCGAATGGGATGGCGTCCATGATCAGATTCAGAGTGTCTCTCCCACCGCTCATCACGGCGATCGTCACGGCGTCCGGCGTCGATGTGAACATCAACATGATTTGACGTATGTCGTACGCCTCGCCCATCTTCTCTCCGATGCTCCACACTCCCTCTGCGATCCTCCGAAGCCTCTTTACCCTTCTTCGGAACTCCCTCGAACTCGCCAAGCCAACCGATGACTTCCATGATCCCTTCTCTGGCCATCGCAAGCTCCATCTGCCTATGGGCAAGCTTCTCGCGCTCATGGAGCACCCACCAGAGCCTCGTGGGAAGACCCATCCACGGCCCCGCGCCGGCGACCTTGCTCGTGTACTTGGTCATCCCCTTGATGGCGTCGTGCACCCCGCGGATCAACGACTGGACATATAGAGTCTTCTCCCTGTTCTCGCGCATCCCGTCCTGGACCGACTTGAGCGCCATGAGACGCTCCGCTTCGGCGAGGTCCACCTTGACGCGCTCGACGAGACGGACGTACACTGCATTCTCGTCCCGGACCTCAAACAGCGTCTTGCACTTGACGAGGAATTCGGCGATTTTCCACGATGCGCCGATCGCAGCGGCGGCACCGCCGATAGAGAGGGCGCCGATTCCGAGGCTTTCGAGGACCGGGTGGTTGAAGCTGCCGCGCCCGTGCCCGTGCCCGTACTTGTCGCCGTGCCGCGACATCGTTGATGGTGGGCCGGTGGTCGTAGTATCGCCAAGCTCGAATTGACTTTGGCGGGATCGGAAATAGGTCTTAATGCTGCGGAAGAAGGGTAGAAACATGCAACACTGTTTGGAATCTAATCTAGTGGCTGGGCATTGCCAGCTGATCCGTGTTTGTTGACATCAGGGGGCCTGCATACCGCGCTAGTCCGAATACAGACAGTCACAAACCCACATCCCGAGGATCTGCGATGTCACTATTCATGCTTGATGCTTGACGGAGGAACTTGGTACGGCCTCATGGCCTTGTCTGACCACGGGAAATAGCGGTGTTTAGCTAGATTGAAGAGTGGCACCATGCTTGATAAGTAGCCTTTCCACTGCCTTATGACCATATCTGAGTGCTGCTGCTCGCGGCGTCCGGCCCCACTCCCCAGCCTTGTTAATATTTGCACCATGGTCGATGAGCAGCCTCACTATTGCTTCATCACCTCTTCCAGCTGCAATTGCAAGTAGTGTCTCCCCGTACTGATTACACTCATTGATGTCTGCGCCATGCTTAACAAGTAGCTCTACTACTGCTTCATAGCTAGCTGCATTCACAAGCGCTGTCTGACCATACTTATCACACGCATTGATAGATGCGCCACTCTCGATGAGCAGCTTCACTATTGCTGTGTGACCTTCGCTAGCTGCACATATAAGCGGTGTCTTTTCATTAATAGATGCGCCATTCTTGATGAGCAGCTGCACCATTGCTGTGCGACCTCTTCTAGCTGCTCTCATAAGCGGTGTCTCTCTGTCACTACCACATTTGTTAATAGATGCGCCATTCTCGATGAGCAGCTTCACTATTGCTTCATGACCTCTTCCAGCTGCACTTGCAAGTGGCGTCTCGCAGTTCCGACCACACTCATTGGTATCTGCGCCATTCTTAAGAAGTAGCTCTACTACTGCTTTATGGCCCCAGTAAGCTGCATTTGCAAGTGGCGTCTTGCCGTTCCGACCACACTCATTGGTATCTGCACCATTCTTAAGAAGTAACTCTACTACTGCTTTATGGCCCCAGTAAGCTGCCCTTGCAAGTGGCGTCTCGCCGTTCGGATCACACTCATTGATGTATGCGCCATTCTTAAGAAGTAGCCTCACTACTCCCTCATTGCCTTGCTTGGCTGCAATATCTAGCGTCGTTTGGCCATGTCCATTCTTTTGGTTGACATCGGCGCCATGGTCGATGAGCAGCCTCACTATGGCCTCGTGGCCTTGTTTAACGGCACCAACGACCGGCGGCCAGGTGGTGCGTCTAGGGCTAACTGCGGCGCCATGGCCAATGAGCAGCCTTGCCACCGCCTCGTGGCCCCTGGAAGCCGCAGCGAATAACGGTGTCATGCCGTTGCCATCAGCGTCGACATCGGCGCCATGGTCAATGAGCAGCCTTGCCACCGCCTCGTCGCCTCTGGAAGCCGCAGCGAATAACGGTGTCTCGTCGCTGCCACCAGGGTCGATAGTGGCGCCATGGGCAATGAGCAGCCTTGCCATCGCCTCGTCGCCTCTGGAAGCCGCAGCGAGTAACGGTGTCCCGTCGGAGCTATCTAGGTCAATAGTGGCGCCATGCTCGATGAGCAGCTTCACTACCGCCTGGTGACCTTGGTCAGCCGCAATCCATAGCGGCGTTCGGCGGCTACTGGTTTTTGCATCTATACCAGACTCTGCCATGGCCTCTCCTACAAGTTCGTCAAGGCCTAGGTAGGCTATCAGATGCAACGCAACTATGCGTTGTTCCGCGTATTCGCTATACTCTTCCCGTTGAAAGGGCATTTCCCAGATGGATAATGTCTGGAAAGAAAACTGTACATTCGCGGTTTTCTTCAGTAATTGCGATGCATAGCTAAATTGCTGAGAATTTCGGGTATGCTGGCCCCAGTAATGAGCTGCGTAGCGGAACAATGGATATCTCCGTTTACGTATTGCAACGTCTTCCTTGGTAACGCAGTGACCTGACGCAAAAGTGTCAAAACATTGGTAGGTAATGCAAATATGGGCAATACTACTCTCAGCATTTGGCGAGAACTCCGCTAGCTTACTTTCCAGAAAGGTCTGGGCTGTTAGATGGACCAACCTCACTTTTTGACGGGTTCGATCAATATAGACAAGCCCAGCACAGAACGAGACCACATCCTGGAGATCTGGGATGTCGCCTGTATCTATAGCTCTTGCACCGGGCTCGACAGCAAGTGCATGCCCGAGTTCGTCAGGAGACAGCTCTCTTTTCGCAAGAGAAACCCAGGATAGCAATTTCTTGGCATAGGTCAGCCTGTCGCTCTTCTGAGACTCAATTCGTTCAATGGCAGCCTCGTAGGCCTCGGAATATGCGTCTGGGTTTGTCCCAAAGGCGCTTGTGGCTTCCTTGACGCTATTCGAGGTTACCTTATCTTGAATAGCGTCCATATAGAGTTTTGCGAGCAAGAACCTGTACTGGTGAGCCTCAGCGTGGTTAGGATTTCTGACGGTATACGTACATTCCATTGACGATGCGCTGAATCTTCTCCTTAATGGCCCTTTGAAGGTCAATGTCCTGCTGTATAAAGTTAGAAAATCTTGAAATTCGAGTCTCAAGGTACGCGTGAATATCCTCATCGCGGGCGTGCAGCTGGACCAATGTGTTGTTTTTAAAACATGACATTCTTCGGATTTCAGGGAGAGGCCTTGAGGTTGCAAGAACATTGACTGCGTAGGATTCTTGCAGCCCTTGAATCTCTTGCAGATACCTACGTCGGCAGTCATCAGGCCCGATGCATTCATCTAGGGCATCGATAACGATGAAGACTCTGGGATAGGATGCAACGATTGATCTTAGAAGCTGGCGAATTTCTTCTAGCGTAGGTTGTGTTTGTCTGGCGTTATGCGTATAGTACACGGACTTTACGGCTTCTGGAAGAGGGGGCCGGGATTGAAGCAGCTGTCGTAGCATGGTTTTGAGGAGATTCTCGACAGTCTGAGTCTCCTCCCTTTTGTAGTTACAATATATATAGGCTAAACCGCTTTCCTTCTGAGATCTGTCGAGATCATCCACGATAACAGATGCAATGATGGTCTTGCCGGCTCCGGGCATTCCCTCACAATGGAGCGTTTTCCCACTGTTGTTTACCCAGTCATGATACTCCTCAGTTTTGAGAAGCCACTCGCTGGTTTTCGGAAGCCGCTTGTTGCGAGTATCGCTGTGTTCATTGCCGTAGGTTATGTCTGTGATCCAGTGAAGGATCTTTTGCTCAGCTGCATTGGTTTGACTGGCACTGACTTGAGCCACTGCGCCCTTGATTTCCGACACATCTTTTTTCCCACGTTAGTTACCGTCTGATCTGATCATAGGGTTTAAGACAACTGTGACATTTGATATGCTGAAAGGTTGGGAGCGAACCAGAAGCTACGAAAATATTCGTGCAAAGGTGTTTTATCATCAAGACGAACCTTGAGCCATAGACTGAATCAGAGGAGCCTCAGCCTCGATTCTATTTGGTGCAATGATACTGAGAAGTTCTTTAGCGTAGGCAGCCGCCGCCATGGATGCGTAGCCCTGCCATAGCTTGGACTTATGCGTGTCGCAGTAGTCGGAAATACCGCGAATAACAAGACAAGGGAAAAAATTCATGAGACCTGCAGCTTCCATTTCAAAGCATAAGATCTCCCTCTCTCGTGCCAACTTGTCTCGAAGCTGTGCATCCTTCAACAACTGGTTTCCGGATGCGATCAATCCGTAATGGATGATTGGATCATCCCCGCCTTCAGCTCGTTCCATTCGAGAGATTAAGTTGCCGCTGTCATCGCCGCAAACTGCCGTACAACTGTCATTATCACTCCCTGCATGAGTAAACGAGGACTTATAAAGCGTATCAGTACCCATTTCTGGTTGCTTGTACGTTTTTCGGAGCCTTTTGTTGTTCTGGAAGACTGCTTCGATGGCCTCTTGGATTTGATGACCTTTTCTTTTGTGCTTCGTCCGCAGTGCCTGTATTGCATTTAGAAGAATCATGGGAGGTTGGTTTAAGAATCCACTCGTAGCAAATTTCTCGTCCTGTTTCTTCTTTCCATAGTCGTGTTGGAATACGCCGCCGCTACTGAGGCCTGCAGAACTGACAACGACATCACCTAGCCGTATATCATGAGTGGCACTTGGCACCCCGCCGCCTACGCCCACCAGCAGGCCGATTTTGATATTCGGGAAGCTGTGGACCATGTCCTTGGCGACGCTGGCTGCATTTACAAGTCCGTATTGTTTATGCGGCAGGGCAGCGATCACGACGTTGTGCTTCCCGATCCGACCCAAGGTATAAATGTTGTTATCATTTTGTTGGACTGATTCTGGCCCCTCGTGCTCTTCATCGAGAAATTCTTGAGCAGCCACGTTCTCCGTATCTGTAGCACAGATCCATCCAACGGTATACTCATTGCAATTTGGCATCGTGGATGCTGCAGCTGGGGAGCGGCAGCGTCAACAGGATCGAGTTGGATGGAGCGGGCGGGGGACAGGCTGGAGAAGTGGTTGTAGTCTCGTTGAAAAAAATAGGTGTGCGATAACTGGCATAAGCAAAAGTAGAAGAGCAGATGTACCCGATTGGTTCAGGTACAAGAGGAAAGAATAATCTCGTTATACCAGTCGGAACTGCGCGATTGATGTGCTGGTATTTCAGAACGGCGGGTAATTTTGGAAGGAACAAACTCGTGTAAAGAATATGTCTTGTATCCCAGAGATGACTCTGCGGCACAGCACATCTGGTTGGGCTGCATTCACCTGGCTGGGCTGAAAATGCGGCTGACGGCGAGGCTGCATGGGGGGTACTTACAGAATAGCTTGTGAAGATAGATGGATTGAGCATCTTGTCTTCCTGTGCGAATTATCCATCTTTGAGGGCATTCATAACATATTAAAATATATCCTTGAGATAGCCGCTTGTATCCATCTTGGGGATAGCAACCTCCTGACGATCTACAATGGACAATGCTCTTTTCAAAAGGGACCAATAGGTAGTATCTGAGTCTATTTCGTTCAGGAAAAGCGAGAACCAAGTGGAGAACCTACAGTAGAAGTAAAGTGACAAAAAAGGAATATGACATCAGTGAATGAACAATAAAGAAGTCAATATAGCACACATGAAGCTATCCCGTATTTGACGATTTGTGTTTAGTGGGTTGACGGAAGAAAGGCACTCAATTTTCCCATCTCAAATGAGAGCTTGATTGAGCGACCGGACATACCTGTCCAAGATGCTTACCATGCCATCTACCTTCTATGAAGATAGTGAAAGCGCACGTAGAAGGATATAAGTGTGAGCATGCAAGGGTGACCGTGCCTGCATAGTATAAGACCTTGGACTGACCGTGTGGTTCGTTGCACTCCTTCTGTGTTGAGTGAGATTTGTGTAGGTTGTCAACGTAGGTTCGATAGGTGCAACTTTCTGCTCTACGAGTCATTGCTTACGAAGTATATTGGCACATCGAGTTTGCGATCTGATTGACCTTGAAAGAATTTTTTTTTACCCCTCAATTTGACGGTTCATGGCAGCGATTGTCGTACGAGGGGCGCTTGGAATGCCAGAGGCATGGGCCATCATAGGTTGCGCAGGCTGCTGGTCGTGAGAATTATAGATTTCAATCATGATGTTATTGAGATATCTTGTCCCACTGTCGTCTCCATTTATCACTTGTTCGCCATGCACACTTATTTTCTTGGCCGGCATCATACCCAAGATTCTGCTTCCTCCCATATGGAGACAAAGTTTATTATACCCATTCCACAACCCACACTGCTATCAAGACGGTCAGATGTACACGCGTCTGTGGTGTGATATGATTGCCTCCATCATTAAGTCCGGATTCCATATCGGCACATGAAAACAAGCTTAAATCCGGGATCTCCGCCCAGAACAAATAACCACGGGCAGGGGGATAGCTTATTACTTAAAAAAGTTAAAACCGTCAAGTCGCGAGGAAAAGGCTGAGGCGCCGCGCGGCTGGAGGCTAAGATGAGATGAATTAAGATCAGCGGTTTGAGCAGTGTCAGAAAGTTCACCGTTGGTGTAAGCAATTGAACCAAGTCCGCGGCCAAGGGGCAGATGCTACTGTAGAGGCGGCCGCTAGCGTCAGAGGCATCGTCGCATCACCACTGTGCCCTCGACCAGCATCCTTAATCCCATTAAGCTCAGTCACTGTTGAATCAGGCTCATTGCGGGGAAGCTTACTGGAACCCTGGACCGCTAGGGCACTCTTCTTCCAGTAGTCTATTCGAACACGGGCCTCTTCGACCCATGCCCCCATCACCAAAACCGTATAGTCGAGGTGGCTGAGCCCGCGCAGGACGCGTGGTCTTGGGCAGATCTACACTTCCTGGACGAATGATCCTCGGCCTTAACCCTCCCTCCCGTCGAGGCTCCACTGCTCGATCTGAACGTGTCGGCATCACTCGGCGTCGGATGGCGGGTGTGTCATGGACTTTAGCGACGCGAGACCGCTCGCCATTGGGCGGAGTTAGGCCTTACTCTTACTGGCGCGCACGATGCATGGTTGAGCGTGGCATCTGGGTCGTCTCATGCACGAGAGGGTGCTTTCGGGGGGCTGTGCTAAGTGACAGGGAAGCGGCCGTCTCGTGTGTCAACCAGCCTTTTCTCTGGTTCTCACTCTATGGCTTCCAGTCCGCGGCCCAGTGGGATGATGATTACCAAGCTCTTAGAATCTTATCTGTCCGGCCGTGAGCCTTCGTCATGCTCCATGGCGCAGCCAGCCGGGACTGAATACTGGATGGGCTGCTAGCTTTGACCCACAGATGAATGGATGGTGATGGCCTTGTTTGTACATTTTCTCCTCTGGCCGATGGGATACAAGATGGGGGCGACAGATCCTCATCCGGATCTCGCCATCTTGTTTGGTGCCGCCCATCCTCCTTCAATCGGGACGTTGCAGTCGAGGTTGCAGCTAGAGGTGAACCGATGATGTATTCTTCTCATGTGCTTCGCATATGCCTGCTCGCTGTGGCGTTAATAGCGAATGCGTACGGTTTGTATTGTCCTTTCCTCATACGTCCTTTCCCCATTCGTCGATTTGGAGATATAAAAGAAGCGGCCGCTGACTGATGTCATGTACTTTCTTGTGATATATAGCCCTGTCTTTAAAGAGAAGCATACCCAGTGACCTGTTCTACCTCGAGGACCTGGTGTTTTCGTCACCACCAGGATCAGACAGCGCCGCCAAGGAGCTCGATGTCTCTTTCACGTTGCAAGGGGACTACCAAGGAACCATCAGGTTGGGTTTGCATCGTAACGATGGAATCTTCCACCAGCCAGTATCAGTCAACTATGTACGAGCCGACGGGACATCTCACTCCTTCGAAGAAATAGCTCGAGGAAGCCACTTGGCGTTCCAAGGCACGGCTCATGTTCGAGATGGCTATACGAATGGCCATCATGATATACAGAGGAAGGCTGGATGGGCAAGGATGAGCTTCTACACCAAGGACGGAGTGCAACTGGGTGAGGGATCGTTCACTATCGATGATATCAAATACCATGTGCAGACCGACTACAACTACCGCAGCACTTGGTTTCCTGGCGAACCGGAAGCCCCTGAATCAGCGAAGCCTTACATGGTTGTGTGGAGAGACTCTTTCCCTTCTCAAGATGGCAGTGCTCAAGATCTGGAAAAGCGTGCGTCGGATAATGAGTCGGGCTGCGCGTTTGACAGCCTTGATTTTAACCACCCCGAATTCGCCTCCACTCGAGAGCTTGATGATGGTATGGGAAGCCTTGACGAGCGCCAGTTCAGTTCCGGAGGCCTCGATAATCTTGACCTTACAAGTGTTATTGGTTCTACCAGTGGCTGTCCTAGTACTAGACTGATCGCCCTCGTTGGTATCGCTACGGACTGTAGTTACACATCCCAGTTCTCCTCCAACGATGACCTGCGCCAACATGTGTTGTCACAAATCAACACTGCATCCCAGATTTACGAGGATAGTTTCAACATCTCCCTCAGAGTCCGGAACCTGACGATTAGCGAACGTGACTGCCCCTCGACTACATCGACATCCACCCCCTGGAATGTCCAGTGCAGCTCGACCACCAGCATCGGAGACCGGCTCCAGTCCTTCTCCACGTGGAGGGCACAGTCCAGCGACACAGTGAACGCCGTTTGGACATTGCTCACTTCCTGCAACTCGGCCTCGACTGTTGGTATCGCCTGGATGGGGACTGTGTGCAACGACTCGGGCCGGAGGAGATCAACCCCTTCCGCCAATGTGGTTGTGAGAACACCGGCCGAATGGCAGGTAATTGCGCACGAGATTGGGCATAATTTCGGTGCTGTCCATGACTGCACCACTGGTTGTTCAGGCAGTACTGCCAACGGCGGTGATCGCTGTTGCCCTTTCAGCCAGAGTAGCTGTGATGCCACCGGCCAGTACATAATGAATCCAACCTCGAGCCGGGCGATGAGTGTGTTCTCCCCTTGCACCATCGGTACCATCTGTACCGCGATCGGACGGAACCTCATCCAGACAAGTTGTCTCCGCGGGAATGATGACGTGCCTACTATATCCGAGGGGGTCTGTGGAAATGGTATCGTCGAAACAGGAGAGGAGTGCGACTGCGGCGGCGAACAAGGCTGTCAGGGGAACAGCTGCTGCAACCCAACCACGTGCAGATTCACAAGCGGCTCAGTCTGCGACCCGTCAAATGATAAATGCTGCACGGATCAGTGCGCTCTCGCCAGCCAGGGCACAGTATGCAGGACCAGCTCCGGGGAGTGCGACCCGGAAGAAACCTGCGACGGCTCCTCCGCCAGTTGCCCAGAGGACACACATGCCGATGACGGGGACTCCTGTGGGAACGACGCCGATGGGACGACGTGCGCCTCTGGCCAATGTACGTCCCGGAGCTGGCAATGCGGCATCGCTCTGTTCAACTCGACGAGCAGCAACGCGCAAGCCTGTAATTCGAACAGCTGCGAACTCGATTGTTTTGGCTCTGGAAATACAGGAACCTGTAACAGCACGGGCATGTACTTCTTGGACGGCACGTCTTGTGGAAATGGTCGTTTCTGCTACAGCGGCGACTGTTCGAGGAGCAGAGGTGATGGTGGTGGTAGCTCCGGCGGCAGCGGCGGGAACAGCGCAATGGATTGGATCAACAACAACCGGACACTCTTCATCGTCATATGCACAGTGGGCGGAGTGCTGGTGATAATCGCCTTTGTCGCCTGCTGCTGGTGCATGTGCCGCAGGTCAAGGAAGGCAACGAGTGCTCCAGTGCGGGCGCCGCCCATGTCTAGCAACTCGCGTGGATCTGCGCTGGTCAACAGGGCAGTGAATCGACCACCGCCGGCGTACCAGACGTCGCTCTATAATCAAGGCCAGCGTTATGCCTAGTATGTTTGAAATGAATGGGTTTCGATTGGCGTTTCTGATGGACATTTTGCATATAATGCAACTGATGATATATTGAATACAAAAATACTATATACTGGATGATAAAGCCTTGTATATCTCTCGACGAACATATATATGGTTACAATAGTAAACGATTGTTTATACTCGCCCTACCTTCTTCTTTTGACCACCTTGCGAAGCACTCAGCATAATTCATAGAGTGTTGGAGGCTGTGAATACCTAAAAGCCCAACGAATAACAATTCATCATCTTGTTTCATAAGTCAGCCTGCTCCTGAACAGCCCGAAGAGGGGATTGTTTTTATGTTACTCCGCTTGGAGAGGTCATCATCTAAGTCTGTCTGAAGCACAGAGTAAGCTCATCTCACTGTGGAGAGGTGATATCCGGCGGATCCGCATCAGGGATGCCAAACCCAACATGTGAGATCTCAACCACCCTGGTGGTTGTCCGGAATATCTTAACCCTTGCTTTGTGGATATTCGGATTTTCTCGATCCTTACCTTGTGGAGGCTCGGAATATCACGACCCTGGCCTCGTCGAGCCTCATGATTTTCGAAGTTGGCCTTGCCAGGGTTGATGTTCTATTAGAATGATAATTGATGAGTGTAGTGCCGAGCCTATAAATGGCCCAGGTTTCCGCCGGTTTAGAGAAATGCCTCGCTGTAAATATCGATAGCTCACCTGCACCGGTAACAACTTAAACATGGAGATCGACCGCAGCCTCTATATTGAAGGCACGCTTCACCGTGCCACAAGTGGCAACCTTTCTGTTCCACGCTTCTTCGGAAAGATTGCCCTGGAAGAGGCAGTTGGGTCAACTTTTTGGGATGCGTACGGCACTCTTCCTGCCACCCAAGAGATAGCTGGCACCAATGGCCTCGCTGTGAGCCTGGTGAGTATATACATATCATCATTGTTGTAGTCAGAGACCTAACGTATTGATATTAGGACTTTGCCCAAGACATAGCATCTCGGCTCAACGATGTCCCCAAACGACTAGATTCAATGGATCAAAGTGGTATTGGATATGTCATTGTATCCCTCACTTCACCAGGTATCGAGGGAGTGTTCGACAAAGCCAACGCTACGGACCTTGCTACCAAGGTGAACGACGAGATCTATGCCAATTATGTCCAGCCGTATCCGGACCGCTTCGGCTTTTTCGCCGCTGTGGCTATGCAAGATCCCGCAGCTGCTGCCAAAGAGTTGGAGCGTGCTGTGAAGGACCTGGGCGCCAAGGGAGCGCTGATCAACGGCTACAGCAACATCGGAAGCCCTGCAAATTACACTATCCAGTATCTCGATGATGAGGCATGCGAGCCATTCTGGGCCAAGGTGGCGGAGCTCAATGTGCCCGTGTACTTGCATCCTCGAACGCCTCCAGTAGATCAGCAGGTCCTCTATGGAAATGGAAAATACCCCCTCCTGGCCCAGGCGGCCTACGGTTTCGGAGTAGAGACGGGAGGGCATGCATTGCGGCTGATGCTATCGGGGCTCTTCGACCGGTACCCAAACATCCAGATAATCCTCGGTCACGCTGCTGAGGCGCTTCCTTTTCTTGTTCACCGGACCGACAATAGGCTCTCAACAGGCAAAAGCGGATCCGGCGGACCTTACAAGAAGTCCATGAAGTACTACCTGCGGAACAATTTCTATGCCACCCTCGCTGGAATCCGACGGCTGAGCACGGTCCTGAACACGATTGAGGAGATGGGAGAGGACCGAGTCATGTTCTCCGTGGACTATCCGTATGAGTCAAACGAGGATGCCAGCGATTGGTTTGATTATGTTGAGGGTCTCAGCTCTGCTACGAAGGAGAAGCTTGCTTGGAAGAATGCTGTTCGGGTTTTGAACATTACAGCAGGCCTGAAGTCTTACCAGACGGATAGTGAATTTCTCTGAATGAGATCCAAGGACGGATAGCAGTGGCAAAGGTTAGTTTACTAGATGGGGATGGTGTGGATGGTCTAAGCTTTGGCTTTGTATAAGTTGGGCAGTTGAGGCATGGGTAAGAAGTGGTAATATGAGGTTGGTATTTTATCATACGCTGGATAGAATATCTTGAAGTTTTCATATCATTGAGCCTTTTGTATGAAGTATGGCTATCTGTGATTGCATTTAGCCTCTGGCAAAAGTTCTAGGCGAGTTACGACCAAGGAACGATGACTTAATAGAGAGCCTTTCCATATTATTAGAGGTAGACAATCTAGCGTGTTGTGGAATGTGGACCTGGAAATAAAACATTTGAATAGTATTAAAGCCTTGGGAACGGCGATTGCCGGATGCTGTACTGAGCAATGAAGATTTCACGCTGGGTTTCCGCAACGTAGGAGCCAGTCTAGGTCGTGGGTGGATGGGACAGGCCGCGAAAAAGAGAAATTGTCCGCGTGCTTGATTGGAATGGTCTTGAAGAAAAAAGGGCTCGCTGCTTCCAGATAAACTTCCGTGATTGATGATTCAGGGTTTTCGAATCCGGCGCCGGCAGACGTTATCGAGTCGGGAGTCGGTGGTTGGTGCAAGGTGTCGGATTTCTCGAGGAATCGCCATTTCTTAAAAATCCGGCACTCGGGAAGGTGGAGCCTCCCCGAAACTCGGGCTCCTGCCAGCTTTTCGGGGTCCAGCGATGGGGCCATTCCGCTTGGGGCCTAGCGCCCATGGCGTGATCCTCATCTTGAATCAACAATTTCTTGTCCGGCAACAGGCAAAATGCCTAAGCACGCAAAAGTCATGAAGCCGTTGCGGCAGAGCCGTCGGCAACACCCCACGATGGGTCCTGATTGTTGTAGATCCGCTTGTAGGCCCAGGCGGGTTGGCAATTCTGTTTTTTTTTCTTCCTCATCTTCTCCGAGGCACCAGCGAACCCCGTGGTTGATCATCCTTGCCCCGGACCTCGAGTCTTATATTAATATCAGTTTCAGGGGGGAATCGACAGCGTCGCCCTTCACCGGTCGTCTGCCATTATCTCGACTCGATCTGGTAGTTAAACGATTCCACGACCCGGCTGCCAATACCCCGCGATTCGATCCACGATGGGAAAGCAATCGTCCACCCTTCCCTTTGGGCAAAATGTCCAATTGTCGGCCATCTCTGGCCCGACATATGTGACTGCCCAGCTCCTTGTCCAGCAGATCGCATACAAGCTCTCCGACAAAGTCTTTTCCTACTCCCCGGAGACCTTCGACCTCGACTTGGCTCTGAAAGAGTGGGCCGCCAGCGCCGAGAAGAACATCCACAACTATGAGCCTTCCGTGCTCTCGCTCCAATCCAGAACCGGAGCCGGTGCACTGGCTCTTGGATACATCTTCTCTCCCGACTTCGATGTTACCAAGCGACACATTCCTCAGACTCTTATTGCTGCCTCCGGCAACCTGAACCAGCTCCGGGCTTCCCTGGATCAGCTCTCTCTCCTTTACGGAGTCTCCAGCCCATTCGTTGCCCATATTGCTGCCGCAGACTACTCCGCAGACGCTGGCCTCGTCGCGAACTACGATGTTGCTCTTAGATTGGCTGAAGATTTGGGTCTTGGTCTTGTTGCCAGCTCTTCCACCTATGAGGCCCAGCACATGTCGCTTTTCTCCACACTTCTGGCTTCCCTGATTCCTACTCTCCATATCTATGATGGTATTCGCGTTTCTCGGGAGACTCTCCGTGTAGTTGATGCTTTGGGCGAGACCGGAGTTGCGGACCTGTATAACAAGCTCTCCGCCGAAGCCGGCAACCTGAATAAGCGATTAGACAATGCCGGTAAGGTTGTCGAGCTCCTCAAGCTCTTCAACGATGAGCTTGGAACCGTCTACGAGCCATTTGAGTACCACGGTCACCAGGAGCCCGATGTGGTTCTTGTAACTTTCGGGAGTGTTGAGTCCCAGACAGCCAAGCAGGTCTTGAGCAAGATCGCTGCCGAGGGCGCCAAGGCTGGTGTTGTCAATGTTCGAGTTTACCGACCTTTCATTGAGGAAGCCTTCTTGAGTGTTATCCCCAAGTCTGCCCGCACCATTGCAGTTCTCGGACAGGTCCAGACCACCGCTGCTGCAACGGATGAGGCTACTCAATCCGCTCTTTACGCTGATGTCTTGACTGCCGTTACCTTCTCTGGAAAGTTTGATACGGATCCCCTCGTTCTCGACGTCAAGTACACCCCCTCTCAGCCTATTACTCCTCAGGGCATTGTGGATACTCTTCACAGGATCTTCAACAATGATGGCGAGGCCAATCTGCTGCCTCCTATCATCAGCGCTCAGCAGTACACCTTCTGGGATGTTGACAACTCAGCCTCCATCGACTCTCCCAGTGTCATTGGCAACGTTCTTTCCAAGGACTCCAAGACCAATGTCTTCGTACATGAAGCATATGACAACCTTGCTCAAGGTGGTCTGGTCCGTGCTGATATCCGGGCTTCCAGCAAGGCTCTTGAAGCCCCTTACGAAGTGCGAGACGCCGACGTAGTCGTTGTTGGCAATGATGCCGTTCTCAAGGAGGTTGATGTTGTCAGAGGACTTGCTCAGGAGGGTACCCTCATCCTTAAGCTCAATAACTTCAAGGAAGATGAGATTGAGAAGCGAATCCCTGCCTCCGTCCGCAAATCCCTCCAGGAGAAGGCAGCCAACCTTCTTGTGCTGGATGCATCCTACTCACCTGCCTTTGAGAAGGATGAGGCCTCCAAGGTTTTGCTGGAACTTGCTTTCCTGCAAACCGCCCGACCTGATCTCCCCGCTAGTGACATCGGCAAGTTGATCCTGTCAGAAGGCCACTCCACTACTCTTGACGAGGTCGTTGATGCCATCGGCCAGTGCTTGCGCAAGATTGAGATCCCCGCTGCTTGGGCTGAGGTGGATGCCGATTACGCCGATCCCCAGCTGGCAGCTTCTATCCAGCCTAACAGCTTCGTCTCTTTCCAGAAGGAAGAGCCCGAGGAGGCTTTTGAGCTCCGTGACTGGCAGGCTGCTGCCAAGGGCTTGGCCTTTAAGGAGGCATTCAATGCCGAGACCAAGCTGCGCCCTGACCTTCCTGTCCAGACTTCCACAATTCGCGTCAAGGAGAACCGAAGGCTCACCCCCTCGGACTACAACCGAAACATTTTCCACATCGAGTTCGATCTGGGTGATTCTGGTCTTACCTACAAGATTGGTGAGGCTCTGGGTATCCATGCCGAGAACGACGAGGAAGAGGTCAATGCATTCATTGAGTTCTACGGCCTCAACCCCAACGAGCTTGTGCGAGTCACTTCTCGTGAGGACGCCTCTGCACTTGAAGTCCGCACGGTCTTCCAGGCTCTCAAGCAAAACGTTGATATCCTCGGAAAGCCCCCAAAGAGGTTCTATGAAGCTCTAGCCGAGTTTGCTACCGATCAGACTGAGAAGAAGAAGTTGGAGGCTCTTGGTGGCCAGGAGGGCGCTGAGGACTTTAAGCGCCGCAGCGAGGTTGACACCCTTACCTATGTCGACATTCTAGAGGAGTTCCGTTCTGCACACCCTAGCTTCAACGACCTCGCCAAGATTGTTAGCCCTCTCAAGCGTCGCGAGTACTCGATTGCCTCTGCTCAAGCTGTCACTCCCAACGCTGTTTCCCTCATGATTGTCGTTGTTGACTGGGTTGACACCAAGGGCCGCACTAGATATGGTCATGCCAGTCACTACCTTAGTCGCCTCGCTCCTGGAACTGCTGTAACTGCCTCCGTCAAGCCCTCAGTCATGAAGCTCCCTGTCAACGATACCGCCCCTCTCATCATGGCTGGTCTTGGTACCGGTCTGGCGCCTTTCCGAGCCTTTGTCCAGTACCGTGCCATGCAGAAGGCCCAGGGCAAGGAGATCGGCTCCATTCTGCTCTACCTTGGATCTCGTCACCAGCGTGAAGAATATCTGTACGGCGAGGAATGGGAGGCTTATCTAGCTGCTGGTGTTGTCACTCTCATCGGTTCTGCTTTCTCTCGTGATCAGCCTCAGAAGATCTACATCCAGGACCGTATGCGCCAGACCATTGACGATATTGTCAAGGCTTATATCAAAGAAGAAGGAAGCTTTTACCTCTGTGGTCCCACCTGGCCTGTGCCTGATGTGACCGAGGTCCTCCAGGAAGCCATTTCTCTCGAAGCCAAGATAAGCGGAGCCAAGAAGGTTGATCCTAAGAAGGAGATTGAGAAGCTCAAGGAACAGGGTCGTTATGTCCTAGAAGTCTACTAAGTGATTTCTATGTTGTTGGCACGAAAAGCTCATTTTTTGAATACTGGCATTATCGCAGTATATTTCGTTACTCGAAATTGAGAAGCAATGCATGTTCATACGATAAAATTAGTTCTGTCCCAGGTATATCTTGTTTATATCCAGCTAGAATAGTGTATATTGGACGATTATGCCATGAATTGTCCCTCTCTTTTGACTTAAACCCACGTTCCCTACCCAATTAACTTCTCCATCTGGTCGCCAAACTTTCTAAACTATAGGAAACAGGCTTCCGCCATCGGAAACCATGAATCCAAAGGAAGAAGCTTTGTGAGTTGTGTAGATGTAAGCGCTTCAATTGGCCTTGAAACACGGAGGCTTGGGAGAGCGAAGCAACACACTTGGTCAATTCTGATATTTCTTGAGACAAATGAAATGGAAAGGAAGATTTCGTGTTGAATAGGATAGCAATATTTATGAAATCCTCTTTACTAGAACGGAATGTTTGATTCACATATCTGTGCACAAACAAAGGGCGGCTTAATCGTCCTCGTGTGGCTGCAGCTCCAAGCCACAGGTCCTTTTGAAAATTTCAGCCACTCTCAGCCAATGCTTAGCTCCCCGACTCAAACTCACAATTGCTCAACCTAACTCCTTACATCTGACAACTGCCATCCCTTAACTAATACTGAGTATCAAATCTAACGAGATTCCAAACCATGTCGGACAATAGGCTTTCGACGAACGCAAGGCCGAGTTCGAATGTCAATCAAAACGGCAAGCGACGAAACGACGAGGGCCAAGATGACCTACCACAACCCTACAACGCCAGCTCTCTGCAGCCCGTGAAGCGACGAGCCGTCTCGCCATCCGAGCAGCCTCGCAAGCAGAAGCGACCCGGCGCACGCGCCCGAATCTCCGAATCCCAGCGCGAAGCCATCCAGCGACGCCAGGTCGAGCGGGACCGCGAGAGCGCCTCCGTCCACGAGGAGCACAACAACATGCGTGGCAACCACGACGTCGTCCGGCAGCACTACAACAGCGTCCCCGAGCGCGGCCGCGAGTGGCGCACGAGGGACAGCAAGATCAAGGGCCTGCGCGTCTTCAACAACTGGATCAAGAGCTGCATCATCCAGCGGTACTCCCCCGACGAGGACCACGCGCCCGGCTCGCGCGAGTCGGGCCGCTCCAGCGGCAAGGAGCTGCTCGTGCTGGATATGGGGTGCGGCAAGGGGGGCGACCTGAACAAGTGGCAGTCCGCGCCGCAGCCTGTCCAGCTCTACGTCGGCCTCGACCCGGCGGACGTGAGCATCACACAGGCGAGGGATCGGTATAGGAATCTAAGCTCGCGCGGCGGGAGGGGAGGAGGCCACCACCGACGACCTCCGCCTCGCCTTTTCGACGGTCGCTTCTATGTCAAGGATTGCTTCGGCGAGACCATTGAGAGCCTCGAGATCATCCAGCAGGTTGGCTTCGACCCGTCACCCATGAACCGACGCGGCTTCGACGTCGTCAGCATGATGTTCTCCATGCACTACGCCTTCGAGTCGGAGACGAACGCGCGCAACATGCTCCGGAACGTCGCCGGCGCGCTCAAGAAAGGCGGCCGTTTCATCGGCTGCATCCCCAACTCGGATGTCCTGGGCGAGCACGTCCGGAAATGGAACGAGGAGCACGCCGCCAAGAAGAAGGCAGCCGAGGAGGCGAAGGAAAATGGCTCAGGTGCCGATCCAGAGCCTGCCGAGGAGAAGGAGGAAGGTGAAGCCGACGACGATGAGCCTCCCGCCGACCCCGGCGCGGAATGGGGCAACTCTATCTACCGAGTCCGCTTCCCAGGGAAGACCCCCGAGGATGGCGTATTCCGCCCGGCCTTTGGCTGGAAATACAACTTCTTCCTGGACGAGGCCGTCGAGGAGGTCCCGGAGTACGTTGTCCCCTGGGAGGCCTTCCGCGCCCTGGCAGAAGATTTCAACCTCGAACTGCAGTTCCACCGCCCCTTCCTCGACATCTGGGAGGCGGAGAAGGACGACCGTGAGCTGGGCCCCCTGAGCGAGAGGATGGGTGTCCGGGAGAGGGGAGGGGGGTCGCTCCTCATCTCCGAGGAGGAGAAGGAGGCCGCAAGCTTCTATCTAGGCTTCTGCTTCTACAAGGTGTAGAAATCTGTGGCTGTGCCCTTTCCTTTTCCGCTGTACAGTATCTCTACATCAGAAAAATTCGGCATGTGTATTCTTTAAGTTCTTTAGAAACGGGCAATGGGAGAAAGATAGGAATGGCTAGCGCATCATCAAGAAGAGAAAATGAATGATTTTTTTTAACAATCTCCATGACGTATTGCATCTTTTCTAGGTCTCAATTGAACTCTCATCTTCTAGAATAAGTCTCCTGGTGATGATATATCATATGGGTGGCTATTCCCTTTCTTCATTGCGATATCCAGCCAGGCTGTCCGAGGAATTTCAGGGCGTAGGCCTCATCTAGTAAAATGTCAAAGCTTGTGATAAAATTTTATACGAGACTCAACATTCACGAAGGTTGTCCAAGAATCTGGCAGGACCTCCGGCAAGCCGTTCTCTTGTAAACTTGGTATGTCAGTGCTGTCTAAACATTACTCGTTCAGAGCGAGTGCTCAGAAAATATTATCACATTTGACTACATCGGGTCGAGAAATCATGTTCAATTTGTTCTAAATATTGTTACAGGGGTTGGCTTTGAATATAAAGACTGAAGCACCCATATGTCATGATATTATATTAAGGTAGACTTATTCAGATAGCCTACCAGGAGATTTCATAAGTTTAAACCAGTTAAGTCAAACACCAAGCCTAAGCCAAATCCCACTCTAATGTGAGGGGGTATTAAGACCCAAAGGGCCTGACATGTTGCCCAACGCTGCGCCGAACTCGACTCCTCGCCATGCAACACAGGGCCCGAAGGTCTGTTTCGAAAATGAGACCGAAAAGGAAGGGAATATTGGAAAAGGGGGGATGGGTCAAATATCGTACAACACAGTAAATCACCAAGTAGAGCTGATCACGGGCACCCAGGGAGTAAGAATAATCCACCATAGACGCGCGTGACATGTTATATATAACCTGCCGTCGTAGCTGGGGTATCTTTCACGATTACATCGTGTTTGTTGCTCGACGCCAAATCATGAGTGCTGCAATCCCTGCACATGTCGTGGCACCTAGAGCCATGTATAAGCTGGTTCTGTCCGGTGCTTCTTCCTCGCTCTTCGGGAAGCCATTACTTGGGTTCGTTGCTGTGTCGGCCAGGGCCACGAAAAGCTCAGCGATGCTGTTCCATTTCACGCTGACATGGAGAGGAGTGCTCATATTCAGCGAGGAAGTATACTGGTCAGGTTGTAGCTCGCTTCTCTGGGTCGTCTTATCCCTATCGGCTTTGAGAGCAGTGTAGATGGATGGCAATTCATCAAGATGTGGATACTTGGAGCGCATCTCTACGATATGAGAGAATGAATCCGGCTCAGACGAGTCATAAGCATAGCAGATGAGATCACAAGCATCTAGTTTTGTCTCGTTTTCGAGAATTGCAGGCTCCAGCTCGCCGAGCTCTTCCAAAATAAGGTAGACCTGTCGCCCACCAGGGAGCTCCACACTGTTCACTGCCCGCCGGGGTTTGATGGTTGGGCGATGAAGGCCTTCGAATGGACGATTCAAGAATGAATCAAGAAGAGAGGACTTTCCTGCCCCAGGAGCACCCAGGATATAACACATCACTACATTCCTCTCAACGCGGCCCGGACGTCTTCTTCTCTTCCTTGGCTTTGTTATCTTAAGTGCAGAAGTGAGGTTCTCCTTTGGATGTTGTGGTTCAAAGCCGAGGTATGCAAGATATTCAATCGTGGTCTTTGGCTCGAGAAAAGTGGTCATGCTCCACTGAGCAAGCCAGCCTTGTAGAGTTACGTGACCGGCCTCGTCGCGAACAGTAGAAGATGGGAAAGATGACTCAGTCCAGAACGTTGGCAGCCCAGGCGTTGGCGCAAAAAGAGCCTCCAGCTCGAGGTCGTTCAAGCCGCCGTCATTATCTTTATCAAACAGAAGAAAGAGATCGACGAAGAATCTGTACCCCGCCGGACTTAGCTCAGCAGACGAATATTCCGGGACGTCGAGCTTCGGGCGTAGAAATTTGTCCGCAAGGCTCAAACTATCCGTATACTGGTATTTGCGCAAAATGATCCAGATTGTCTCGTGACGCCCCTTCTCGGCATATATAGTGTTGAGCTGCAGGAAGCCTTGCTGATCGATCCCCTTCTCTATAGCAGATGTTGGAATTGATTTCGCGATAGATGCCTTGATATTCTCGAGATCATCACTAGTGAGTGGTTTATCAAAGCATTTCGCTTGGAAGTCTCGCAGTTCCTCGTCGTTAAGATAACCATCCTGATCCTTGTCGCATAGGTAGAAGATTCGCTTTAGGGCAGCAACGCAGGCTGGCTTCAAGTGGCCTTCTTTGTAGTCGTAGAGTGGCGCAATAGGATGTGTTACAGCTTTCTGGCAAAGGAAGAAGACCTCGTTGACATTGCGGTGTTCGCGAGCACTGGTCCGGATGCAGGAATCGATCTCTCTAAACTCCGCCATGATAGGGAGCATTTCCTCCTCGACTACCTGGGGTGTATTGTTATGTCCTGCCAAGTCGGATTTATTGGCACAGAGGACGACGGGGACGTTGACACCGAGAGACCTAAAGTAGGGCATCCAGAACAGAGCAACCCTCTCATAGCTGTAATGGTCGGAGTATACGAGGAGGATAGCGTTGCACTTGCGTATCTCCTTGCGTAGTGTGGTCCTGTCTTGCGGCCGCGCCGAAGTATCGACAATGATGGTGGTGACATTTTCGGGCGTCCCAATGCTCGGAGGGATGGTGATCTGGGGAAGAACGGGCTGTATCTTGTTGGTGATGAATTGATCCTTGACGAGAGAGGCTATGAGACTGGATTTTCCGGTGGACTCATCGCCACATACACATATGCGCACTATGGGAGGGAGAGGGCGGCATGTTAGAATGGGTTCGGGCAGATTGGGCATGCATGTAAGTTCTTGACAGGGGATTTAACGAACCGGTCGTCATGGTGGAAGTCGCAACGTCGGCGGGGGTATATAGAACCGGGCGATCGATGAGTTACGTGGATGCCATTTCCAAAGGACAGGAAGAGCAGTCAGGCTCGCGGAGGAAGCAGAGAGGCAGTTCAGCTGAGCGGGAGATGAAGGAGACAGCAGCGGCGGTGGACGTGAAGCTGGTAGAAAATAGCTGTTCAGCTGATGACTGCGGTTCGCCTCTTTGCTGGTGCACTAATTATGATGTAGGCGCGAAGGGGCGGGAGCCATGTGCAAGGTCGTCGTTCATGGCTGGGAGAGCCCACCAGCCTTCTGGATTTACCTGCCAATAAGGCGCTCCCAACCCCCAGCCGCCTCCACTAGACAGGCCACTCAGGTCGCTGGCAGGCGCAGAGAGACCCCACCTGATTCGCCCCAGCAGGGTCAATTAGCGGCTAGACCTTCTAAGAGTGCGCTAACGGGCCCGCGGGCTGGATGGATGGAAGCAACATGCGGTGTCTAACACCACCAGCGCTGCATGACGCATGTGGTCGAGTAACAATGCATAGATACCTAGGTAGATAGGTGCGTGGGTTGTGTGAGTGAAGGCAACGCTGTGCATGCTCCAGTCTGGAGAATATATCTACATGCTTGTGCTATCAGACGAGGCTCACTACAAATATCCTCTTCCCACGCACTGCGATAGCGGGTGCAAGGACCAGCTATCCATGAGTCGCTGGCAGGATGCTGGGTTCTGGTTTCCCGACCGCCAAATGGTGGTTCCTTCCTTACCAATTAACCCGGCCCCAGCTCCAGCCCAGCAAACCACATCCTCTCGGGATCTAGTTACCCCACACAGAGCGAACCACTCCCATCAACCACCATACATACGCAACCTCGAGTGTGCGACCGGACTGACCACTCAGGATCCAAGCGCAGACTGTCTTTGCACCTCAATTCTGCCAGGCAGACTTGTCCGACAATTGCAAACTCGCGCTGAGCCTACCCATACACACCGAGCAACGTCCGAATTCTGGCCGAACAGCCCTCTCACGCGATCGCGGCCTCAATCTTACTCCTCGTCGCCAATTCATTCTTGTTGAAGACAGAACCAATCTGCTGCGCGCATGCCTTCTTGGGAGTAAAGCTCTCACAAACCGACACAATGTTGTAAGTCCATCGCAATCTACCGCACACCGCACGATCCAATCCTCTGACATCCTCGCAGCGTTCTCCCCCCGCCCCCACGATACCCTCTCAATGGCCAATATGGCGCTGGCGGTATCAACCCTCTGGTACCTGCGATCGAGACCAACAATTCGCTTTCCAATCCGACTGGACCTGAATGGCAATTTCTTGTCGGAGAAGGTGGCTATTCTCCTCCTAGTTTGTACGAATTGCGCTAGGCTAACTGGCTGGTATCCAGGAACATATGTCTTGAAGGAGGATCTTCATCTTGCAACGCCGCCTCCGCACCCTTCTGAAGCACCTATTATAAATCCCAATCCATTATCAACAGCTCCACAGCCGGCATCAGCCGGAACAAAGGTGTCACTTCTTAGCCTCGATGGTCGCTCGAACCCGTCCATGGTCTTCAAGAATCCGCTGGCATTCGTGGGGAATGGGAACAGCTCTAGCATTCAGGAACACCCTAGCGAAAGTCGCCTTTCGGCAGAGAGCAAGTTTAGCAGCGAAGATAAACTAAGCACATCTATAAGCGATGCGCCAGCAACGTCTGTCACCCTCGGGTCTGCGCCGGCCTTTGGAGAAGGCAATGCTCTTCTCGTCCCAGTGCCTCTCAAGGACGGAAACAAGCGAAGGAAGCCAAAGAACAATATGACTAAGAGCAATTCATCTTTCATTTCTCGCGTCATCGTCGATGAGAGCCTGAATAGGAAGCTGACCGACCGGCCGGCTGATGGACTCTTCGCTTTCGCCAACATTAACAGAGCTTTTCAATGGATTGACCTCTCCTCGGCTACGAAACAGGATTATTTGACCAAGATTTTGTTTACCAAGGCGCACTGTCTATGTCATGATGTCAACCTCATTACCAGGAGCTCCTCGCACATCGACATCATCATGGGCTTTTCCACTGGCGAAATCATATGGTGGGAGCCTATCTCCCAACGATATACTCGACTAAATAAGAATGTACGTATAGAAGAAGGCTAGTTCTATGAAATCGCTCAAACTACTGACTTCATGGATAGGGAATCATCAACAGCACACCGGTGTCCGAAATCACATGGATCCCCGGTTCTGAGAATCTGTTCCTGGCGGCTCATATGGATGGGTCCTTGGTTGTGTATGACAAGGAGAAGGACGATGCTCAATTCAATCCGGAGGACGAGGCCTCCGGTGCGCCAAACGGAACCGACGGAGAAAACGGCGCAGCCTCCAAGACGAAGGGGAATAAGATACAGGTCGTCAAGTCTGTCCACTCGAAAAACCAAAAGACAAATCCAGTAGCAGCATGGAAATTATCCAATCAACGAATCAACGCATTTGCCTTTTCGCCTGATAACCGGCATCTCGCCGTAGGGTCGGAGGATGGGACGTTGAGGATTATTGACTATCTTAAAGAGGAGTAGGTCCACCCTGGTGTTGGCTACTAAACGACTATCTTGCCGTACTAACCGTTATCCTCAGACTCCTGGACCTTTTCTACTCGTATTATGGAAGTCTTACCTGTGTCTGTTGGTCACCAGACGCGAAATATGTCCTCACTGGTGGACAAGATGATTTGATTTCAATCTGGTCGGTAGCTGATTCAGCACTAGTTGCGCGGTGCCAAGGACATCAGTCATGGGTTTCCTCGGTTGCTTTTGATCCTTGGAGATGCGATGACCGTAACTACCGCTTCGGAAGCGTCGGAGAAGATGGACGACTATGCTTGTGGGATTTCAACGTCGGCATGCTGCATCGCCCAAGAGCCGTAAGTCATTTCTTGTCGTAGAAACGTGGCGGTGAGAAGCGTCTAACGATTGGATAGCTTTCTGTGCGTCATCGGGGATCTATCTCTTCCCGATATACTGCGTTGCAACGAGCCGAGACTTCCACTACCGCGGCATCACACCTTCGCTCAAACTCAAATCTCGAAACCGAAGATGATGAAGAGGATACGGTCTCACATCCTGTTGAGCCTCGGGCTAGAATCCCAATCCTCCCACCAGTCCTGGTATGTTTGAGCTCTCGGCATACGCTAGTTTGATGTGGCTAACCCGCGTCTTTTCTCTTTCAGAACAAGAGCATCGATACTCATCCTGCCTGCTGGCTCGATTTCACCGAAGATGCCATTATCACAAGCTGCAAATCAGGTAAGTAGCGCTCGGGCCGTACGATAAGGATTGTGAATGATGACGAATGTTAACCTTTGTCCACAGGACATATCCGCACGTGGAATAGACCTGGGATCGAACCAATTCCAGGATCTGCTCAAAAGAGTGGGTGAGGTTGTTTAAGTTAATTGTATATATTCTTTGATGCCGTGCAAGCCGATGAATGTCATGCCAATTTGTTGTGTATTGTTATCAATGATCAAAGCCTCATGTGAAAAACTTCATGTGAGCGCACGGGATTCGACATGTGTCTACTCTGAAATTGTTCTCGTGTACGGCCCGGCCGCGGTCCGGTGAACAGCGCAATGCCAGGTTTTCAAAAAATACGACTTCAAAGATAGACAATCAATGCTAGGATCATCGATCCGTATACATCATGCTCGGAGAAAGCTGGAATTACATGACCCCAGACGAAAACTAGCCGGGATGGCAGCTAGTCATCCAACCCTGGCCAGGAATTTATACGGAGGGTATCAGACCAGATCGCAAAGGACCGCTCGATCCCATTGCTACCTCTTCACAAGCAAACAGCGGCGGGGCGCGCCCGCTTTTGTTTTTGCGAATCTCGAAACCCTTAGAATGGGGCGATTGTACATCTCTATCGGGGCTCGGCAAGCTCGCCGTTAAAGCCCGCCGGACTTAAATAGGAAACCTGGCGTGAGGCGTGCATCGCAACATGTGCGTCCGCGACGTTAATGTTCCGGCTCGGTATCGAGCGGGAACGAAAGCGGAGACCCGGGAAGCGGCGCATAGTGCTCGCCAGTCTGCCAGCCCACGGTGCCTGTCTATCGTAGCTTGCGTATAATAGGGACACGCTCCTCCCCTCCTACGTACACGCTCACACCCTGGATGATTTGCAAGAGAATGTGCTTGCAGAGCCTGGACATCTGATGTGTGTATGGTGGCGTGATGTAGGCGCGGTTGCAGTTACCACACACTACCATTCGGGACGGCAGTGGTACTCCTGCAGGGCTGAAGGCACCCCTGGTTCCATCCCGTCAGGAAGAACTCGGGAGAGGGCTGTCTTTCGTACGAGTGACGACGTAATTGTACAGACGACAAGTTTTCCCGTTTTGAGACCTTGGGGAGAGGAAACCGGGTGCACGTAGCATGATGGCGAACTCGCTTATGTTGACCTCGGAGACCGATTCGACGGGGGTTGATCAGGGCTTGCGCATCAACGAGCTCTGCTTGAAGCTTGTGATATTGCAGCGCCCGTTGTCCACGCACTTGATGCTCGCCGACGGAGCAAACCAGCACAGGTGTGGACCCTGTGACCCGGCCTTATCTCAAGATCCCTGAGTTTTGCATTCCGTTCGCTGAGCGGGTGAGGATAAAAGAGGATACAACGATGGAGCCTAGACCAAGAGCTGACCAGAGCTCTGGGCCCCAGGGACGGATGGGCCAGTAAGGGCCGGGAGATAGAGAGAAGATATACCCGTGCTAAAACATCCACTATCTGCACGGCCAATCGAGATGTGGCGCGGCAAGATAAAGGACATCATCTAATTGCCTACAAATCTTGATACCTGAAGTGGGCTCCGAGTATTCGTGATCCCACGGCCCAGCCTCGGCGCGCCGCATGGGCAGGGAGACTAGAGGAGAAGACCCAATGTGAGGATGGATCCGGCGCACACACAAACTGACTCAGCTGAACTACTGCGGCAGTCAGCCATCACGAACCAGCCAACCGGGTGACATGAGAGATGAGACACCAAATTATTGTGCCTTCTTTGTAGCCATCAAATACTGCAATAAAGGTACAATAACCCCTAAAAAAGTACATTAATCCTTTTATTAGCTTCTAAATAATATTAAAGTCCTTTTTTGGTCTTTTTTTAAGGATTTTTAGAATCAAGTTGTAGTGAATACAACACAGAGCCTCTCCAATATGGACGCTTGAAGTACCGGTTTGGTGTCTCATCTCTTATGTCACCCGGTTGCCAGCCACAACTGATCGCATTGGCCAGGCTGTGAGTAACCTTAGTTGGGAATACCACCTCACCACAGGACACTGGCGACCTCCGAGGGTGCATTGTGCAAATAAAGTATGCCTACATGGCAGCGTAGCATGCGTCTTCCAGTGGCCTGACAGGCTGCAGGCATGGGAGGTCTGATGATGCCATGTCAAGGTACTGTTCCTGTTTGTCGGCAGGAAGCGAATTTTTCTTCGGCCAAGGCTTCTAGAGCCCGTCCGTTTACAAGGATAGGCGAAGCACCACAGTAACCCTCCCTGCTTGGCAGCAGACCCTGCTCCTGGAATGCAGGCCTAACACCAACATGCATGCAGAAGCAGGCGGGTAGGTACTGATGATGCGCTGCTTCAGCTCTGTGCCTTGATATTGTGGACGGGGCCAGCAACTAGTTGAAACTAGCACCGCCGAGAGATGGCTCAGTAAATAGATGATTATGCCCAATGGCTGGTCGACGGGCGCCCGACGATGGCGGAGGCATGCTACCTGGCTCTAGATCCATTGCGTGCTTGTATGAGTGGTTAATCTGCCCTGGCACGACAGATTGGGAACAGTCGAGGCTGGCTTATCGTGCCTGAAAATCATCGGATGGACTGTTTCGGCAACGGCGGTTGGGGCTGCTGTCGCAAGCCCGGCCCAGTATTTCGGGGCGCACAAGGGAGAGTTTGGACATTTGCTCCGAGCAGCGTATGGAAAAGACTGGATTGATCGTTGCTCTCAAAGCATCAATGCGCAGTCTTCTTCATGCTCGCAGGTATCTGCGGTACGGGCTGGCGCCGGGCTCATCCCGGGAATACAGCGGCAAACGGGGCGGACATCAGGGCTGGTGGATTTGAGTCGGTGTAGCTCTGCCGAAGACTCCCGAGGTGGCTCAGCATGACTCTTCATTGGCCGCATCTCGAGTCGCGCATCCCGTGGCTCTAGCATGAGACACCCCCTCCCCCGTTAGTGGGCAGATTCTTCTTCGTGACGAGGGCCGAAGCATTTTTCAGGTTGACTTTGTCACTGCTTTGTTTTGCAACGGCCAACAAAGTATGCTCCCCCCGTTTCGAGTTCATCAGGGTCCATATAAGCGCAATCAGGAGGCGCCCGCCAGCAGCGCACGCAGATGCAATTCCAATAATACTGCACATCTGCGCCCCCACCTGTCAGAAGGGACCAAAATGGCCTCCAATGTAGGACAGCAGGAATGAGGGAGTGCATAAGGGCATCCGCGCAGTCCTCTCACAGGAATCCGTATAGCCAATGCGAATCCTGTCATCACACGACGACGCACTACAACTCCGTCTCTCGTGAGTGCTGACTGGAGTCATCAGAGCGAGGTCATTCATGAGACGAACCACCACCACCATCACTGCCACTCCCATTAAGTGCCCCTCGTCATAAAGAAGAAAAGAAGGAAAACCCTGATAGGCACATACCCCTGCCGCCATTCGCATTGCATCATACCCACTTGGATGGCTGTGATGGGGCGTGTGCCATCCAACGGCCCCTGTAGACTAAAGCCGATGTGTGTGCAACCACGGATCCGTCCTTCACGGAGGTCCATTGGAAGGTTGACACACCAAAACGGAGGATCGCAGTAGAGAGTTGATGTACTGCTTCGGTGGCTTGGATTGCTTCCTATTACCGCTGATGCGTGATGAGCAGAGGCTACGTAATGTTAGGACTATCAAGATCCAAGAGAATTTTTCCGGCCGAGAAACATACCGAAAAAACGGGTAAATACTTTGGCATTCCAGAGGTCAAAGCGCGATAATGCACGGGCTGTTCAGCGCGCGCCCGAAACACCTGGGAGATAGGCATTATTAGCAGTTTCTGTAAATCCATGAGATAATCGCTGCTCGTAGACAGTTAGAGAGCGGCTTGACCTCACGATACCGTAAAGCGCAAGATAAGCAGGCAGGGGGTGAGGGAAGGTACAAGCCCCTCTTTCCTCAGCAATTCGCGAAAGCCGGCCCCACATGACTCAATCCAGCTTCCCGTGGCGTGCGTGGAAAGAGAAAGAGCGATCGGTTGAAACAGCAGTGACCTGCGCGCGTACTTATGATCAGCGCTGTTGCAATCAGTCTTTTGCCTCGCGGCCCAGAATCAGTCTGGCCAGTTTGCTGGGTCTGTCCAGTTTTCTCCTCTTTTCTCCTGCTCGTCGTTATACCCGAACTTGTCATAAGATCATACGCCTCAAGCCGATCATCAGCCCAGATATCGGAGGCGGCTGCAGGCCCCACCAACGCACCTCGCCTAGCCCTTTCCCACCGGCTAACTGAACCCCTCCCCCCCCACGCGCATCGTACCTCCGATACAGGGAGTACCCGCGACAAAGTACTGCTGGTGCGCTTGTTCATAGACTGGACCTGACGGGACGGTTGTCAGCCATCCTGGAGACCTGGCGTGTGCTCAAGAGCAACGAAGAATCCTGCCGCTCCCATTTCAGCCTGAACTTAAAGAGTTCGCACGCCCCATTTCGGATTCTTGTCCTTCCTCTAGAATCGCAATTCTACCGCTTCTCAACCCCTTCCCTCACTCTTCCCAGATTTTGTGTTTCTTCTTCCCCAAGCACTGTACTTGGGGCTGCAGAAGCATCACCCTCGCAACACACACAATGCCGTCAATATTCTCGTCGGTAACCGGCCGCAATGCGGCCAGTCTCTTCGATATTCGGTAAGGACTCTTTTCCGCTAACCAGTTCTCACTTCGCCCCGCTAACCGGCTTGTTCCCAGCTTGGATAGCGACTTCATCGTATTTCGAGGAAACGAGCATGAGTCTGCGGGTCAGATGATCAAGGGTGTTGTTGTCTTGTGTCTTCCGTCTGCGCTGCGCATGGAGGATGTGCGCCTGCGGTTAACGGGCACCCTGAGAATAAAGTAAGTCGCACGACAGTGTCTCGGCGCCACCACGTGGGTCCAACGGCAAAAACGTCATACTAACGCCTGCATCACCAGCGCTCCGGGATCATCGAGTCAAAAAGGCGAAAAGAATACGACAATTCTCGAGCATCGGTGGGCGCCTTTCGTGGGAACCCACGGAAAGAGCATGACCCTACCTGCCGGAAACTATGAATATCCCTTCGAATACCTTCTCCCCGGAGACACGGCCGAGAGCGTCGAGGGAATCCCAGAAGCATCCATCACCTACCGCCTAAAAGCAACCGTGGGCCGCGGCAAGCTCGCATATGATTTACACGCCTACAAGCACCTCAGAGTCATTCGGGCCCCCGAGCCTGGTGCCCTTGAGTTTCTCCACGCCATGAGCGTAGAAAACATCTGGCCCAACAAAATTGATTACTCAATCATCATCCCTCAGAAGGCCGTGGTGTTTGGTGGAACTGTCAAACTGCAGATGCGACTGACTCCCCTACTGAAGGGATTAGAAATGGGAGAGATCACAGCAAAAATGGTGGAAATTCGTGAGACTTGCATTGCCTCGCCTACAGGTCTCAATGTACGGGATCACAAGATTGAACGAGATGTATCGACATGGAAATTCGGAGTAAATCGGGAGGAACATTGGCATGACATGATCGAGGACACTGGTCAAGAGGGATGGGCTCTGGAAAAGCAGCTCACCCTCCCCAAGAAACTCCGACAGTGCATTCAAGACCTGAACTTGCACGGCATCAAGGTCCGCCATAAAATCAAGCTCACAATTGCCCTGGAGAACCCCGATGGACACATTTCTGAGGTAAGGATTGGAAATATCCATATCTTGTCGGTTTACATGGCTAACATATATTTGCAGCTTCGGGCCACCCTCCCGATATCTATTTTCATCTCACCAAACCTGCCCCTTGATGATGAGGGAAACCTGATTGAACAGGCAGGTGGTGTTGCTCCTGAACAAGACCTCGGGGCTACCGCTCCTCCCGGCTATGGAGAGCATGTTCTGGATCAGCTCTATGATGAGGTTGAGATGACGGGCTTCCAAACACCAGCTTTCCAATCTGGGGTCAACAGCCCCTTCTACATTCACTCCCGTGCAGGTTCAAGCGAAAACCTAGCCGGTATGACACACGAAGCACCATTCACACCGTCAGCACTGTCATCGAGACTGGCAGATGTTTCAATCGACCCGAGCCAAAGAAATACAGCTTTTAGTTCTGGCCATCATGGGCACCACACAGCGAGATCGGAGCCTGCTTCCAATAATCTCACGCGACACAACAGCAGTGAGGATGACCGAACACCGGGATCCGAGTCTCCGCAACATATTCATATTGATGAAAGCGAATTCGCGGAACTCAACAAAGTTCCCAGCTATTCAACTGCGCTTAGGATGCCAGCGTCGACTCGCAACCAAGCGGAGGCCTTCGATCTCCCCGACTACCAAACCGCACTGAGTGCACCACGAACTCCACCAGCCGCTTCAGAGGCACTCTCTGGCGAGTATCTGCCTTCTATTTCTGAAGACTTTGCCGCCGAACACGGTGTGCACAATGGCCCAGTACGAGTAACTTGCAGGAGGAGCCACACAGACACAACAGCTAATGGTCAAAGGCTTCACATTCTTCAGGCTAGGGACCAGATGGTCTAAATAGACTACTGGGTGTACATCTATCTATTTTGCATTGAAGCTAAGATTTGCATCAAATTAGCGGGCGTTGGGAGGCATTCTATTTGTCATTTTTGGGTTTTTACGATTATATCCAACTTCATGCCTAGGACGTGCATGGGATTTCTTTTGTGTTTGGGTTTTTCTCGGGCGGACATTTCTTATAGACGGACAGGTTTCAAATTGGGGTTTATTGGGCGAAATTGATGAAGACTCATGGACTGAGCAAGAATGGAACAAACCGATACAGGTTCAATACAAGAAAGTAATGGCCAACGGACACTTGCCTTACTAAAACTGACTCTGATTGTTTTCCCGGTTGGCGGGTATGTCTCAAGCATGTCTCACCTATAATTACTTATGCTTTGAGTCGATGACTCGGACAGCAACCTGCGGTGTCACGCAATCATCTGATCCGATCCAAGGGTGTCTTTCCCGCAGTTAGGAGCAGCAGCAAAACCCTGAGCAAGCGCTAACAGTGGGGTCACAGGCCAATCTAATTTTTTTCAAGAATAGCACGACTTTGAGCGAGGGGATGTGACGTCAATGAGTTCATTTGAGCATTTCCTCTCCGGCCTTGACAGACGAGCCGAGCTCTTGTGGTAGAGTACACAGAATTCCATCGCAAGATTCGCACCGAGGGCAGCAATTACCATGACGGGATGCCTCCCATGGGATTCCCTGCAAATAAGATGCTTAGCTTAGTAGCCGTGTTCCAAGAATAACTCCCACGTCTCTCCTGCTCCCGTTCTTACGTGATGTGCGCTGTGGGCGAGGCCCCAACTTCCTAATAATTTCGGACGACAGCTGCTATTGCCGCTAATAATCTCATCACATTCCCCCCACCCAACTGAGCTTGGCTCGTCCAGATTAATATTGATGACAGCGATTACCAACGGCAAGTCTCCGAAGTCGTCGGTCCATATTACGACGCCGCTCACTGCACCAGGCTCAGCGCAGGCCGTGTATACATAGTACGCGAGAATGAATACTTAGTAGTAAGCGGGAGTGCAAAAAGAATTCCAAGACCCCGTCGTGCGACTGTTGCTTTCCCCGTTCCCCATCCTGCCGGATCGTGAAGGCCAGCCCGCAGCAGCTGATCCCAATATAGTAAGGCAGGTAAAGTTGCATCCTGCCAACGGGACTCACTCAACCTTGCACCCCGACAGTCCGACTGACCATTCTGTTCTTTCAGCATACAAAATTTCGATTCGCTTTTTGGGACAGCGACGACCACGATCGACGACTCCCGTCTCCGATTTCCCTCAACTACCGAGCGACTTACCATCCCGACCGCCTCTCCATCAGCAGATCCTGTCCTCCCCCGCACACACACACACCTCGCGATCTGCCGACATAGCTGTCTACCATGGCAACCTCGCCCCCCAGCAGCACGCTCCCTTCGAGGGCAGCGACAGGCCTGAGCGCATACAGCGAGGATAACGCCTACGACTACGATACCACAAGCGTACGTTCCACACAAGAGCCCTCTTTGCTGGACCAGGATGCTCAGGTCGGCGCCAGATACGTGGGGGGATCTTGCTAACCGGGCTTTTGCAATACAGACAGCCGGTCTTCTGGCAGAACGCCTGCAAGCATGGAAGCATGCTGTTGGATATCTCGAGGAGTTCATTGGGGTCATGGAGAAACTCCATGGCAAGCACGCCAAGGAGTATGAGCGTGCTCTCAAGGTTGGACCACCCTCTCCCGTTTTTCGTCTCCCGCCGCGGGGGATGACCGGTTCTCGCACAGCACAGCCTTTTCTAACTGCGATTCTAGACCATCTCGAACCCATTGAGGGAGGGCCACCACTTTGACCAGAGTCTCGGCGGTCTCGCCGGTTTCTTTGAGAACCTGCGCGCAAATACGCAGTCACTGATTAACACGAATATGGAAACGGAAAAGGCCATTAAGAGTTCGGTCCTTCCCGTCCTCGATCGTCTTCACAAGGAAATCAAGGCCAAGTCCAAGGAGCTTGCCAATGGTGCTATCAAGGGGGCCAAGGAGGTTGAGAAGCTCCGTGGCCTCACCCAGAAACAGATTGAGTTCCTCGGCCAACAGACGGCAGCGTATGACGCGGTTAGTGGCAAGCTCAACTCGATTGACGATCCATACGTACTTCGCCGAGGAGTCCTCTATCGTCTCACCGCGCAGTGCTCTGCTGAGAACAACCACCACAATGACCTCGTTGTTGTGCAGCACAACTTTGCGACCTTTGAGGCGCGCATCATTTCCATCATTCAGCAAGCGATGGAGCAATTCACCACGATTTGCGGTGGGCAGGCAGACAAGACCCGGGCTCTGCACACTGACATGCTGAACGCGATCCAGCATGTGCCGCTAGAGTTTGAATGGGCCAACTTCACTGTCCGCTACGCCGAGCGTCTCGCTCAGCCCAACGAGCCGCCTCGCTCCATTGACCAGATCTCCTTCCCTGGCCAGGCACACGAGTCGACAGTTGCAGTGAAAGAAGGCTCGCTGGAGCGAAGATCGCGAAACAAGCTCTCTTGGGGCTACACAACCAACTACTACGTCATCACAAAATCCCGCTTCCTGCATCAATTCAAGGATTCCGAGATGATCAAGGACGAGCCAAAGCCAGAGCTGAGTCTCTACCTTCCCGACTCCGTTGTCGGCTTGCCAACCGGTGACAAGTTCACAATCAAGGGCAAGGACAGGAGCAGGACGGTGAGCAGCAAGCTCACTGGCACAGCCGAGATCAACTTCAAGGCATCCAGCGCCGATGATGCCCAGAAGTGGGTTCAGGTCCTCTCGAGCCTCATCGTCGCTCCAGACAAGGAGAGCCCCGCAACACCTGGAGCAGCAACGCCCACGTCAGCAAAGTCCGGATCGCCCAAGGCCCAGAAGGAGGCAATCACTCCTCCACCGGCAGCGAGCCCCGTCGACTCGCATCAGGCGCAGGAGGCGGGCGTCACAGAGGCTCCCGCAGCATCCGCTAAGCCTGCCGTGGCTGCAGACTCAAAACCGGCTACTGCAGATTCAAAGCCTTCTGCAGACACAAAGACCCCTGCTGCGCAGAAGGCGGTGGACACCAAGTCTGAGCTTCAATAGGTGAGGCGGACGACGAATTCTGTCTACTGTGCAAGGCTGCCCAGGGATGGGCGCCCGAGAGTCCCGGGATGAGATATAGCGGCTGCAGAAGTGTTTCTGATTGCGCGGCAAGGCGTTTTTTGATGGGATTGATGGTTTGTGATTGGGGTTTCTTCTTCGTCTAGTATGCTACTTACATTATTTTTTTACGAGAGAAACATGAAACAGACAATTAACTAAACGAACAAAAAAAAGAATTAAGCATAATCACGGGTTATGTAAGTTCCCTAAAAGCTCTCTGAACACAGTCCAACACATCCCAAGCAACACCTTAGCTCTCTCATCACATCGACCACATCATGCTACTGGGCCCTGGTCAGAACCTACTCTTTTGTGCTCGATCGGCGCATGACCGAAACCAAGCCGTACGGCAACTCAACACCTACGTAGCACCCGTATCTGCCTCCCACCCTCCATCGACGCGGGTGAAATGTGATGTAAGCCTGCCTCGCCTTGGCTGGCTGCCGTGCGACACGACTCACATACCACCAGCTCGTGCGGGGGAAGGGCCTGAGTTCCCTTCCGACACAATTGTGCGGGCAGGGGAGCAGTGACGACTAGCCCGTCAGGCGAACCAGGCGAACCAACACGCAGAGCCTCATCACATTGCGCCCGGAGTGGAAAGGCAACGGAAATGTGGGGTAGAGCATGCAGCATATCCCAGCCGGCCTCAAAATCGACCCTTTCAGGCCGAGACATGAATGTCGACATAGCCTCACTTACCGAGCCGGGGGACCAACCACGGAGGCAGTACGGTAAGAAACGAACGGCCAGCGCAGCCCAACTTGATTCCAAGAGGGGATCTCGCGGGCGGGCTTGGGCCTCAACCGTACTTATGTACGTCGTTGGTCTCTGCCACGCTCCTCCCTGGGTAGGTTTTGGATCAGGCCCGCAGATCGAGGCCGCTCTCCCCCATGCAGGAGGGTGGGTTGGGAGGCCCTTCCGGGTGTTTTTGCTAGCTACTTCCCCAACCTGGGCAGGATCACTGCCCGGCAGGAATGTGAGTCGATGGGTTGCAGTGCCTGGCCCATTATTATTCTCTCTTTATTCTATCGTCAGTTCTCATAAAACCTTGGCTGCGTGTGTTGTCTGTACCACCGGTCGGGCATGATTTCTGTCTTAGATGCCTCGCCTCCCACGGATCGCGAACCAGAGAGGCCAGAGAGGGAGGCCGGGAGCTGAAAGGTGCACTACCTTGGTCTCAGATACAGCCAATCTCTCGCCGTTGTTCTCTCGAGCCGCCGGTTTTCCCAAATAGCTTGATAGGTATCGGCATGGCACAGCAGCTTAAGCGCTGATGGGAAGGCCAACCAGGGGAGCAGAATCGGGAGGGATGGCGGGGGGCAGGGCAGCTCCAACACACAAATTCGTAGAATAGGTTCACCATCCTTGTCTTTGTGGCGTCGTTGACCGTATGCAGACTGCTTTCACCCTCCTAGAGCCTTGTTCATGCTTGCTCGTCCTGCAGCTTTTCGTAGCATTCCCTCTTCCCCAGCCCTTGCTGGCTTGTCTGTCTCTCCTCCCCTTCCCCCCCTTTCACTCAGCCATGTACCGTGTTGTTTTGAATACGTCCATCTGCCGCCTCACTATCTCCCTTGGGTAGCTGAAGATCACTTATATAAATAAGTGCCGTCCGGACCCCAGACGCCCCCCCTCTCCCATCGTGTAGCTTAGAAGAAGGAAAAATAAGATAAAACTTGTAAGACCAACACTCTCGGTCATTCATAAGCCTTCTTTCATAAGGACTAGACCAAGTCATAGCCACAATACACTTTTGTTCGTTCCCCCTTACCCCTGGATCCGGGAGGAAGAAGAAGAAGAAGAAGAACCAGGCCCCAGCCCTATGTACCAGGATCGTCACTTGGAGACCCCCCCTCTCAGAAGCCATCATCACCAAGCGCCCTTCGCCAGGACGCCGCACACAACATGACAAAGCCATGGGCCAAGAACCGCAAGGAGATTGTCCGGCTGTACATCCGCGAGGGCCGGACCCTCCAGGAAGTCAAGGGCATCATGAAGAACATGCACAACTTTGATGCATCGTGCGTTTTGAACCCTCCCACCTCCATATTCCTCCCGAGGGCAGAAGACTCTGACTTTTTCCATTCGGTTATAAAAAAAACAGTATACGTTCATACCGCCAGTGGTTCGACAAGTGGGACGTGACCAAGTACAACTGTAAGAAGCGCCAGCAGCGCCGCCGCATGCTCCAGCAGTGCATCAAGCAGGAGGAAGCATGCGACGACCGGCGCAGCAACAGCCCGGCGCCCGACTCCTCCCCTCGCCTCCCCTACCCCAAGGCACTGTCGGTCGCAACTACCGCCAGCCAGGACGAGTTGACCGGTGAGAGCAAGACCCCGGACCAGGTCGCCGAGGCCGCCGCCGTCTCCCGCCTGCCCCTGCCCAAGGTGGTCGAGGTCAGCCAGAACCGCAACGACGTCTCCCCCCAGGAGGGGTATTCTCCCTGGTACAACAAGCCCAGCTCGCACCGCGAGTGGACTACCGCGACCAAGCCATTCAACCACAGGAAGCGCCAGCAGCGCCGCAAGCTGCCACAGCAGCAGCAGCAACAGCAGCAGATCATCAAGCAGGAGACGTACACCGGCCTCCAGAGCCCACCACTGGACACCCGCCTCCCGTACACCAGACCGATCGACACCCAGGATCCGCTGCCAACCAGCGAGCGCAAGTCCCAGGACCTGATGGCCGGAGGAGCCGCCAGCCCGCCCTCGCCCAAGGCGGATGAGAACCACTTCGTCCTCTCCCCCCCGGCGGAGGCGCCCTGGGCCAGGAACCGCTGCCAGGAGGGAGCTTATGTCCCACACATCCCTCGGTAGAGACCCGTCCGCTTTTTTCCCATCATGCCCGCAATGCCTGTGCTAACTCTGGGGGCTCCAGGTACCAAGGACCAGAGTACTTCGGATACTCCACCCCGAGATACACCGAGCCGTTCGTCTTCACCCTCTCGGACAAGCCTGCCTGGCACTACCACGATGGTCGGGTCAATCCGTCTTGGGTGGACCTGTCTCCGTCGTCGTTGGAGTATGATCTCAGTGTCGGATCCGACACGTCGGGCATATATGAGGGTGGGTCGGCTGCTATCGAGTTCGCTCAGTCTCGAAATAGCACTGCGGCGGATAGGGACCTCATCAAATTGTAATGTTAGAGTCAAAGGACACACGGCACCGAAGTAATGAGTAATGATTATTGAACGATTGTTTTATTTCTCCGCTGTTTCTATGTTTGGTTGAGCGTACCGTGACATCTGCTCTAAACATATGCTTATGGGCTGGATGAGTGAACCACCGAGATAAGACTATCAGTCACCACTTCTGATTCCTAGAGCCCTGCTTGCATACCTGACACAGGCCCTTTTGTGGACAATATAAATGGGTCCCTTACGAACGGGATCGACCTCCTTTGGCATCTTCTCGTCTGACCGTGAATAATGCTCTAAGAAATGTTCGAGTTCTTTTTTCCGTTTTTACTTTCATGTCCTGAACTTCGACCGGCCCAAGTTCATTTCACTTTCATGTCTTCAACTTGTACCGATCGAAGTCCAAGACATGACAGTAAAGACGAAAAAAAAGACCCATTTACATTGACCACAAAAGGACATATGTCAGGTATGCAAGTAAGACCGTACGACATCATGCACACATACGACGGCAATATGCCTCACCTCTGGGGATGTCAGCCCATATAGGTTATGGCAGATACCTCGGTGTCTAAATATTTCCAAGTCAGCAACAGAATCTTAAACCTGTTTGACAAGAAATAGTGGGAGTAAAGGTGTATCAGGTATTATTAATGCCTTGTCAAAGGCGGTTTCGTCAAAGCAATATGGCTAAGTTGACCGTCGTGATATGTGAATCATCATGTGAGGGAGAGAGAAAATGTGCAAAGATATAACTTACAGAACATAGGCCCGTCTCAAAGAGAGCAACATTGCGATCAAGACCTTGGAAATACTTCGACGGATCAGCGACATGATGACACTGGATATCCACGTGCAAAGGATTGTCGATGTGGTCAATCAGAAAAATAGAATAAATGTGTCTTCGTAGCGTGAAGCTCAGACATATGCTTGTCTTTGTTTATTCGTGCTCATCAGGACGCGCAGAGTGAAAATTTCTGTCTTACCTTACGTAGCTACATGCAGTCCAAGGCTGGCTTTTCTCAGTCGTTAGCATCTCTGGACAGTTCGAAGAATTAAACAACAACAAAAAGATGCAATGCAATGCTCAGTTATGCATGAATGGAAAAATAAGATAATGTCTGCATCGGAAACCCGGATAAGACTCGTCATCTGTGTCATCATAAAATGCAGGATGAAAGAAACGTTCTTGTCACTTACCAAAATGAAGATCAATCCCCATCTCAAGATAGTCAATGAAGTACAAGACATGCTGTGGTCACTATCGCAAGTATGTCAGCATACCTGCGTAGCCAAAGCTTGTCAAATGAGACAAAATATAGAGTTCAAGATCAGTGGGCGAGGTTTTCTAGGCCTGCCGCAAAGTGGCTTCTCTTGCTCATGCGTTTATATTCGGAGCCCAGTGCCGCTTCATCATGTTGAGGGACAGGTGGTTGTCAAAGGACGATGAGTCGCATACCTTTCTAATACTTGTCTCATGTTAGCCAGCATGTTCAAGGTTTAACAAACAGACAATTGAAGTTGAAAGATATTTCATAATCAGAAATAGCCATTTTATATCGTCAAAGAAGTTCAGCCGGTAATTTCCAGCGTATATTTATACGAAATGATCATCATGAAAAAGGGAGGAGAGTAGGGATCTGCCATCATACCATTTAAATCATCACATCGCGCATGCGCGCGCACCTAATGCCTTACATTTAGGTCATTGTGCCTCTGATTCATCTATCATGTATTTGGTTAGCAAGTTGCGACCACACGGTATCATTTGCTGCCAAAGTGTGATGTGTAGAATTCTTTCAGACTGACGTGTAAAACTAGTTTCATTCCAATAGGTCAAAGACTCTAGTTTGCGGTTTACAAGTGTCATCAGGAAGTACGGGGAAGGTACAGGAAGACCAGGAATTGGCATTGACTTACCACCAGAGGGATGTTGTGCTGGAAGCTTGTTGTGTAGAAGCAAAGAAAGAAAAAAATTTCTGGAACGGAAGCTCCAAGAAAAGTGCATGTGGTGGGGAAGCAATTTATCGGTCTTATGTAATCAAGTCACGGGACTTCGCGTCGTTGACGTGCCATCGTCTTGAGAGCCAGAGCAACCCTATACCATCCAATCCCCTCCAGACTGTACGATTGATTCTCTAGATAAGTAAAGCAAAATGCCTGAAATTGCTGAGGGTATGGTCTCTTGCCTTTTTCTTTATTCTCTTACACGGCCTATTACTCACACGCTCTTAGTCGCGAGGATTGTCCATTTCCTCAAGCTCACGCTGGTTGGTAAGCGTATTGCCCAAGCTTCTGCCATTGATGACTCCAATGTATTTGGCAAGGTGGGCACGACAGGTGCCGACGTGGCGGCTGCGTTAAAAGGGAAGAAGGCAAGTCTCCTCCCAGAGCACCCATCGCCCCAATGCCTAATGCCCGAAAGTTGTATAGGTCATATCCGCCGGTAGCCAAGGCAAATACTTTTGGTCAGTTCCCTTGACCCCACGCGCATCAGAGTCTAAAGCTCATACTCGAAAAGGCTTACACTAGAGAAGCCCCCGCATCTGGTGATGCACTTTGGCATGACTGGTAGATCACATCTATTCCTCCCCTGCTTGGTAGGCATTATGTTCTAACCTACCCCTTAGGATGGGTCCATATCAGAGGTGAAAAGACGGCCTACACAAACTACTATAAGAAAATGAAAGAGTCGGACCTCGAGCAATGGCCACCAAAATTCTGGAAGTTCCAGATCATCACCGAAGGGGATCCCGAAGTCGAGGTAGCCTTCACAGATGCCCGCAGGTTTGGCCGTGTCAGGTTGGTAGATTGCCCTGGCGATGATATCCGGAAGCACTCCCCCCTCGTGGAAAACGGCCCCGACCCGGTCGTCGACAAGGATCGGTTCACCGAGGAATACCTGCAAAAGAAGATGAAGACACGTCACGTGCCGATCAAGGCACTCCTCCTGGACCAGACTATGATCAGCGGCATTGGCAATTGGGTTGCAGACGAGACTCTCTATCAAGCTAAAATCCACCCAGAGCAATATTGCGACGATTTCAATGACGAAGAAATCAGCACGCTCTATCAGAACATCCGCTACGTATGTCAGACAGCTGTGGATAAGCTGGGCGACTCGGACGAGTTTCCAGACCACTGGCTGTTCAACTACCGATGGGGGAAGGGGGCCAAGGACACAGCAACTAAGCTCCCCAATGGCGAAAAGCTGGCCTTCATTACGGTTGGGGGCCGCACCAGCTGCTATGCTCCGGGTGTACAGAAGAAGACTGGTCGTGTTGCGCCTGGGGTGAAAGAGGAAACAGTGGAATCGGCCAAGAAAGACCCGCCCAAGAAGGGGTCAGTCAAGAAGGAAGCTCCGAAACCCAGAAAACCCTCGCGCAAGGCCCCGCAGAAGATCAAGGACGAAGAGCAGTCGGATGAATCCGACGCCGAACCCCCCAAGAAAAAGAGAAGGAGCAAGGCTCTAGATAAGGGTAAGATGAATCTATCAACGGTACCTGAAAAGATAAAAGAGGCTCCGGCTGAGGGTCGGAGACGATCCACGCGATTATCAGGAAAGTCAGGCGACGCGCAGACGTCGAGCTATTGGTGAGAGCTCCGGGAGTCAATTGATTAGGAGTGGTACTTGTGCATGGACAGGGGCTGGCGGCGGAAATTATTTGAAATCTCTGATGGAATTTTGAGCTTGCGGACAGACTTCCGTGTAGCTCGCCAAATCTTTTTAAAGTATTAAACTAATCAATGCTGGAATATGCTGATATCCTAAACACCTAATTTTTCCCGTCATTATTTTCATGCCGATGCTCTAAAAACCACTGGCTTTGTAAATGACCTGTTAAAACGCCGTGCCGTGTGTGTGCCTATGCTGCAAGCTCAGCATAATGCCTAGGCGTTATGCAATACTTTATACTACCTCGAAATAACGTCATAAAATGCCCTCTCATATAATCATAACCATCCCCTCATATAGGTGCACCAAGTAGTGCGATGAGACCAAGCGAGCCCAATGCGTGTCCTCTTTCTAGGACGTGCCGCTCGTGGAATCATTGAAGGGGTATCAATAACTTAAGGCCAACTCGGCCATTGTCGCAAAATTTTGTGAAAGAAGTTTAGTAGAAGTGTAGCTGGAGGGGTGGCGAGGATGCTGAAGAAAAACAACCATCAACTGCAACATTCAATACTGGGAACGTCACTCCTCGTCTTCGCATTGGAACCCGACAGAATATCGTCGTCCGTGTAATTGGACTGGGATGACAGTGAGAAAGTTTATGAAGGGTTGCCCATTCTTCTTGTAGTTGCAGATCCTGGTCTGGATCTCTTGCTGGGCGTAAACAGCTTGGCGCAGATGTTGGAGAGCTGCCTTATTTGCGGCAGCCTCAGTGTGTGATGCAGGCGGACTGCTGGGGCCAGGATTTTGGAGGAAGCGGCAGTTCTGCCCAAGAATTTCGGGTTGGGAATAGCCAGTCAATTCACAAAAAGCATCGGAGGCGTAGACGATTGGCATGTCGGGAAGCTCGAGGTCGCTTACAATAACGGCCACCGAGCAATCGACAGGGCCCAGATCAACACTGGGATGCGGGCGGCCTGTGACTTGCAGCTGTAACAAGGTGGTAGTCAGCACCACGGCTCAGAGGGCAGAGTTGTGAGGCGCGAACGAACCAGAATAGACATCAAATCAAACCCAGTGCCCGAATATAGGCCTGGGTAAATGAGATCGTCCCGGACGGCCGGGTACGAAGTGGGTGTTTGGGGAACAAGTCTCTGTTCTGGTAGAGAACACTGTTGACAGGTACCATGCAAGGTCAGCTATTGAGCAAGGCAAGGCAAGGTACAGGGGAGTACCAACGTTAAGGGCGTGAGCCTCCCAAGGGTTGACTTGGGGTACCGCTTTGAAGGCCATGATGCAGATCGGTGGTGTAGTGTAGTGCAGTGTAGATTGGTGAATGATGACGCTTGGAGTTGATTGCAAAGAAAGGTCGTCTAGTAGGGGCGGACCAGTGGGTTTTTGACAAGAATTTAAGCCAGCTGCGGGATCGAGATGACAACAATCGCACCAGGTTGTTTGTCACGATGCTTTCCGGGAGTGGCTACGAAGTCGCCGTCCACCGGGTCGGGGCTGACGGGGCATTGGCACAGAAGCAGGGAACAATTGAGCAGGATTTCAGAACCAAATGCTACGGTAGCACGCCAAGAAGGAGAGAAATATAGGGCTGCTGGTGATAATGACAAGGGCCAGACTCCGGAGGTCAGTCCGGAATGTGCATCGAGGATGGGCCTGGTCATGCGTCTTACAGCAGGAGGGAGCCCGGTGCGTGGTACACGTAGGGAGAGGTGCCAGGGCGCTGCTTGCATCTTCGGGAGTCAGCGACTCACACCCACGCGATGGGCATAGTTTGCAGGCGCACTGGTATGATCGTGAGGGCTGTCAGGGTGTCTGGCGATCGAGGATTGTAGCGGGGCAGCTGGTGGCTGTCGAAAGGCAAAAGGCGCCCGCCGAAGAGGCTGAAGCCAGCGCAGAAGGCCCATCGTGGAATTGGGACCATATCGAAGAAGACCAGTAGCGGGCATCTTCGATGGCCGGTGGTTCAGGCCAATACGTGGGCGACGTCAAGTCATCGACATGGGAGAAACGGGGCGGACGAATGAGAGGCGGCCGATGGCGGGAACTGGGCCCTGATGGGACGATCGATGCGCGATGGCCGTCGAGCCTTTGCCCCTTGCGATCAGAGGTTTTGGGGAGGCGATCGGCACGCCAGTTGTGTCACTTGGCAGCAGCCCCGCTGTTTCTGCAAGTTGCCGCCCGAGGCGGAGGGTGAGGACGGAGCCGTGGTTGGGCTCGACGGCTCTCGACAGCAGCCAGCTTTGGACAAGAGACAGCAGGTTTTCAGGGTCCTGGGTCGCAGGAATCCATGCCATGTGGACCTCGAGATGGACAAACCGGAATCCCATCGCGTCCCAGTCGCCTCGCATGATGTTGCTGTCATGGTGGCAAGACGCCCGAGTTAGGAATTGTCCGTTGTCACCCACGCAACTAGTCCACATGCGCTCGTATGCCAGTAGGATCCTAAATCTGGACACGCTGGAGGCTGTCAAGTCTGACAGCTATTGCACACATCTGGGATCCCAAGCCAATAGCGGACCGAACTATGGTCTAGTTGCCTCACGTTGGCTGCTGGCTTGAGCGTGCATCGATAACCGCTCCTGCCCATGCAAGGATGGCCTTCTGTCTTAGGGTACGCCTCTTCTTCAGCTGATCCGACTCTTTGCCCTGGCACACCGAATGTCGCTCCTGACCGAAACATCCAGGGCCACGACTCTTCCGACCCGCTGCTGCACGAGGCGACGATCGTGCCAAAGCTCAGCCATCGTCCATATTGTAAATCGAGGTCTCGCCGCGACCTCGTACTTCCAATCATATAACGGCCGAGTATGTCTCATCCGGAGTTCCAATGCTGACCTAAACCATGGCGTTGGGATAATCTAGGATGAAATTGCATCTGGGATTTCCATTCCGAATGCATGCAGCTAGCCTAACACCGAGATCTTGTGGCGCTCGATGAGGCACGTCCCAACATTCGGCAGTACCACCTGTAAACTTCTTTGGCCTGTTCAATTGATATGTAACAACATCCCGTTGTCTCTGCGGCGGAAGTGAGAGGGTGGTTGTAGTCAAGTGGCACAGCTTGTCCCGCGATCACCAAAAGAGTTTCATGTGATCAGGTAGGATTACTGCCCGCAATTGGGATTTATGAAACATAACACAATCGATTTCACAGGAAATGGATAGAATTATGATAAGAAAAGTGTTGTAGATCCCGGAGTTGATAAGTGCGGTGCTTTGCGGATGTTCAAGCAATGATGCTGTAAATGCACGGTCAGCAAACTTATCGCTGGGTCCATGGCGCGATAAGAACATTGCAAGGCTTAACACGTCTAACGCGTCTTCCAATCCCCTTCCCCTCGCATCGCACACTTGTATCCCACCGCAAATCTCACCGATCAATGAACCTCTAACTGAAGCACCGAAGATCGATTTGTTTCACTTATTATTGTCGCATCTCAACAACTAAGAATTTCGATTGCTCTGTTGAACAACCACCGCCATTGTGACGCAACGCGCCCGTACATCCATCTAAAACCGAAGGCACTCCAGCCAACCCACACGAGGTGAAAAGAGAGACGGCGAAGAATAGGGAGGGTTCTAGATGTCTCGCCATCGTACCCGGCCTGGTACATCGGCCCCGTCATCGTCTGGAAGTTCAGCGTCCAGAAGCTCCGGTTCCACCACCGAACTTGTCTACGATCCGCCTTCCTTTCCACTCAATCGAACAGCCTATTCATTGCTTGGCGACCTCTCCCGTTCTCAGGAAACAGCATACAAGAACCAGATCCGCGGCTCGCTACATGCATTAGGTCACAGCGTTTACGATTTGCAGGATCGTCTCCAAACCCAACGTCAACGGTTACAACAGCTACAAACCCGCCGAGAGGAGCGTGGGATCGTGTCTCCCGATGAAGCTCGGCTCACTTCCCACGTTCAAAGCCTTGAACAGCAGGTAGACCGACTTACCAATCTTGCCGAGGCTGCTGTGCGAGACGTCATCGATCAAAGAATAGAGCTGGAGGATAATGGCGCTGTACTCGATAAAATCTACCAAGACGCTCCCAATGACCAGGGTAACACAAATGGTGCGGTAACTCGCCGGCAGCGTCGTGTCAATGAGACTACAGGAGAGGGGGAAGAAGAGGATGGTGATAATAAGGATGAGGACGAGATTGACCAACCACCACCGAAGAGCATTCTGGACACATACAGAGAAGAGCGGGTCGCGAAGAAGGATGATCACACCTCCAAGGACATGTACCAGCGGTATGGCTTGGAAAATGACTATAATGCCTTCAAGAAACTATGGCACAGTGGCATGGCTGGCCAGGATGGACCGCCACTCCCCGATCCAAGCAAGTGGTTCCGTGCCGACGGGACTCCAGTCATGGGCACATCGATCGAACAGCTTTCTGGAGAAAGCGCCATGGATGATGACATAGCTGTTGCTCGCGAGGTTATCAGCCTCACCTGCCCACTATCCCTTCGACAATTGGAAGAACCGTACAGCAACCATAAGTGCAAGCACACATTCGAGAGGAGTGCTATCCTTGATTACCTTACGGGATCTAGAGGCCCGCAGCAATGCCCACAAACCGGGTGTTCACAGGTATGTTGCCCTTGACATATCCTATCCTCGTACAAGTGCTAATGTATACAATAGGTGTTTAAAAGATCAGATTTTGCTACAGATTTCTACCTCGACGAAGTCATTCTCCGCCAGATTCAACGTGCTAAGCAGATGAATGAAGAATGCGAGATGGATGTTGACTCTGATGATGATGTTCGGGACCAGTCAGTGATAGCTGGCCCTGAGCGTGTGATGCGAAGGGGAGTGAAGCAGGAGTTGGCTGATCGCTCCAAAAGAGAACCTCTTTGAGCGATGAAGATAGTAACAATAACACGATACCCCAGGCTGTCGATTATGAGCCTGATTCCCAACCCGTGCGAATCACCCATTTCAAGAGTATTTGATATGATGGCCAATTGCTGATGATCGAGGAAGACCCGGCACTGGGTTTCCAAGCCTGATTACTCAATAATCACAGCAAGGAGCAAGGGCTCATTGGCCGGCCCCAAGCCCAGATACTTTCTTCCCATACCCTTCTGTTATATGCACCTATTGGGCACTCAATTCGCACCAACGCACTCAACCATGAGGCGCTCGCCTCATTATGCATTATGATACATATAGTATACAACTGAAGTGTACAGCCCGAACCAGTCGGGTTCGTTTCACAGCCCCCCAAATTTTTCCAAATTAGAAGCGATATTGCACCCTTAGGGAAAGTCCCTTCTCACAGCAAAGAAGTAGTTTCCAACTTTTTCACTGCCACGGACTTGCTTCCATCCGAGCCCCGGGACGTACACGACTCCCATCACTCGAGGGCTATTCCAGCCCTTGTCCATGAAGAACCGGCGAAGCTCGTCCTCATCGAGATACTTGTTCCAATCATGGGTGCCCTTGGGCACGATCTTGAGGATGTCCTCCGCAATCAGGTTCGTGGTGAGCCAGCTCATCCACGTCCTCGCGATCGTGCTCATGACCAGCCAGCCCCCCGGTTTGACAAACGGCTGGACCTTCTCCAGAAAGGCGCCGGGCTGGTCGATGTGCTCAATCACCTCGAACACCGACACGATATCGTAGCCCTCGCCCTCCTTCTTGGGCACCTCCAGCTGCTCGATCGAGCTGTTCCTGTATTCGAGCTTCCGGCTGAGGCCCGGGTCCTTGCGCGCGTGCGCCTTGGCGACGGCCAGGACGGATGGGGTCGGGTCGATGGCGAGGACGCTGCGGGTGGAGCGCAGGCGGGCGGCGCTCTCGGCGAAGATGCCACCTCCGCATCCGATGTCCAGGTACGAGAGGGTTTCATTGCGGGGTTCGGGCTGCGAATTGAGGCACGCATTGATGAAATCGTGACGTAGGGGGTTCATCAGGTGAAGCAGTCGTGAGGAGCCATGGGGATCCCACCACTCAGAGGCGAGCTCGGCGAAGTGGGAGACCTCCTCTGGGTTCACCGAGGAGAAGGATGGATTCGGGTTAGAGGTCGAGTGGCATCGTGAAGGGAGCACCACATGGGCGGGCCGAAGAATTGTTGGTGCCTGTCTGGGGATTGCGGACTGTGTCCGAGGCAGGATTCTCTTCGGTATCGCTCGGAGTTGGGTCGCCGCTGACCGAGATACGGGAGGCATGGTGGTGGTATTATGGACTGGGCGGATGTCTGCTCTTGGAGCTCGTCAACGAAATCCCGGAACTGGAACTTCGCTCGGACGCTGGATGAGGTTTAGCTTTACCCGGTGCCTTGGACCCCGGTATCGATAACGGTGAATGAATCAGTTGATCTACCCTACAGCTTGAGGCTTGGTGGATGACCAAGCAAATCAAGAGACAGCCAGTTTGTCAGCGCCAGTCAGCACGCTGAGCCGGTCCCTAATCTCTATTAGCTTCCAAACTGCCCTTTGCACATTCATACCGGGCTCTAAAATTAAAATAACGTATGTTTGCACATGGAGCGGTCCCTGCTTATATAATAACCGCGCGTTCATATGCGATGATGATCAATTTGAGGTGGAATACCGGCAGTGGCCGAGACCGAGGGATACCGGTTGCTCCACACCCTCTCGGAACCTACACTGCAGTTTTGGCCTAGAACCCTTGTGATCAAGACCCCGATGTCGCCTTGGCGTACCTGGTTCTGACTCTCCATTTTCGTGTTTCTTTTCTTTTCTACACTGTCTTTCTCATCCTCAGCCTTCTCCTCTCTCCAACTCAGTGTCTGCTGTTACAATCCTCCCCAGCGAAAGGGCTGTTCAATAGTTCAATTGACGCCATACTTGTTCCACCAGGACCCTTCCCACATCTGCCCCTCCACTTCGGTTCCGGCGGGGTTCCGTAGTAGATCTGTCGCCAACTTTCTCCCAGCGACAACTCCTCTCCTCCAGGACACAGCCCAGTGCGCCGGTGTAACACAATTGCCTCCAAGATGCCTTCCTCCACGCTGGACCAGAGTCAATTCGACTCCATCCCCTCCTGCATCGAGTCCTTCAGTAGGTTTCCGCGCTTCCGAACTACAGTCAGAATCGCATAGACGCTAACCGAACCGCCCGGAGTACAGAGAACGGTGAATTCCTCGTCGTCCTCGACGACCCCTCCCGCGAGAACGAAGCCGACCTCATCATCGCCGCCGAGAGCATCACCAAGGAGCAGATGGCCTTCATGGTCCGCCACTCCTCCGGCCTCATCTGCGCCCCCATCAGCGCCGCCCTGACGGACAAGTACGCCCTGCCTCAGATGGTCGCCAAGACCGAGGACCCCCGCGGCACCGCCTACACCGTCTCCGTCGACGCCTCCCACGAGTCCGTCACCACGGGCATCAGCGCCCACGACCGAGCCCTCGCCTGCCGCACCCTCGCCG